CTTTCCCGGACTTCCGCGATACTCCTGGCGCTCCCTCGGGAATCGGTGAATGTTTTCCCCCGGCCGGGGCACGGAAGGGTTAAACGCCTCTCCCTTCGCGGAGGGAATACCCGGAGTGCCGTAGCGCACCTACGTGGGAGCCTTTAAGGCCTTCTCGCCTTTACGACTCGACGTCGTGCTCGCCTAAAGGCCCGTTCACCCGGGACCGCGGAAAAGCGACGAGGATGATCGACGTCGGGGTTCCATCGCCCTGAGAACCGCGGGAGATCGCGCACGAAGGAATTTCTCGTTCACATATTCCCCACCTTTACGGATGAAAAATGTAGGGAAAAAAAAAAATTGAAAATAAATAAAAATCGACGTCGCGAAGCAAGACCGCCCCGCCAGAGGAGCGTCCGATCGATAATCTTCTCGGCGCACCCTCGGTCGGCAGAGAATTGCCAAAGTGCGTGGAAGGAAGGTAAGAGACCGGGAGGGGGAAAAAAAAAAAAGAGGAACCGACGACAGAGAGAGAGAAGAGAATTCATTCGGCGGAAATTGCAAAGTTTCCCCGGCTCCGCCGGGGTGAAAAGGCCCCGCGGATTTAATCCTTTGACTTCCGGGGCAAGGGGGGGGGCCACTTTCCCGGCTTTGAGATGACACCTTTTGATCCCCCGAGTGGTCCCCTCGACTCGTCACTTCCGGTGCGAGTCGAAATCGCGAAAGGAACCCGGGGGGGATAAAAATTGGTCCCCTTTTTCGCATTCGAGCGACTCGAGGACTCTCTCCCGCCGCGAGATCGGGGATTTCGAATGGTGGAGGCACCATCTTCCGGGAAGAAAATGTCAGCGGTTGCATCGATGGAGACTGGATGTATATAAAACTCCCCCCCCAAAGAAAATATAAAAATAAAATGAAGCTACCACGTGGGGCAAAAAAGAAAAAAGAGGCCGCGAGGTGGGCATCGGATCCAGCATCCCAATGGCTCGAGATGAAGCCGAGCCTCCTACTTGTTTGTGAAGCGAGCCTTAGTCCAACTCGGCGCATGACTCGCGTTGCGTTTGCGGCCGCGTTTACGCAAGGATTCACCTTTTTCTCTCCCCTTCTCTCTCGGTGCGTGGGCGGGACGCATGAGCGCGAGGCGTCCGCCGCGTCGACGCGCGTTCTTCGACGCCCATCTAACAGCGGTACCCGGTGACTCAAAAAAAAATGAAAAAAAAAAAAGGGATCTCCACGATTTTCAATAATCGAGGGCCTGGGAAAAACAATGAAGAAACACGGAAAAATATACTGAAAACGACGCGAATCGTCGAAGCGTCGAGACGGCAGGATTCCGAGGTGAACAATTGATAAAGCATATCGGCGACCCCCCGCGGGCATTGCGCAACGTCGATAAATCCGGGATTTATCGGAGAATAATAAGGCGATTCCTCGGGGCGCGGCTTATCAGGCCCTATCTCTCTCCCTGTCGGAAATTCGCGAGTGGGTCGCGACCGCGATTCGGGCCCGTCATCGCGTGACGGGCCTCGAGCGAGGCGTTAATTCGATCAATTCACGATTCTAACTGATGGTAGAAAAAAAAAAAAGAATGGGGGAAAGGGGAAAAAAATGAGGGCGCGGACTCAAAGGGTCCGCGACACGTGGGAGAATTCGTACGCGAGTCCCATGGCAAGCTCGGGGAGGGATATGCAAATCCAGGTAACCACGTAGGTGCGGCCCTGGCCTTCCGTCTAGGTATCTCATTCCCCGTAGCGCCTCTTCCTCCCGCTCCGCGACTCCGCGAGGTGCCGTCCTCGGTGCCGGCTTTGCCGGGCGAAAAACTCGTCGCCCGCGGTACCGGGAGGCAAGATGGATGAAACTTTTTCGCCGGAGGATATATCCCCCGTTCCGCGTCGGCGGGCCGGGGAAAAAGAAAAAAAAGGGGAAAAAAAAACGCGGCGGAAAAGTAACGGGGCCAATTTCCCGGGAGCGCGGCCAATCCGCGGCTCGCGAGAAGGGGTCGGAGGATTTCCTAAATCCCGGGGCGAATCGCCCGGACAGAGAGAGAGAGAGAGATAGTCGCGCCGATCGATCCCCGGTGATAGCGCGTCCGCGAGGCGCCTTATCGGTCGGTCCCGCCAAAAAGGTCGGTCCCGGCCCGCGGTGTCGACGCCACGTCCCTCGCGTGTCGGACTCGCGGCCCTAATGAAGACCTACCCCTGTCCTCCGTCATCCCCGAGGCAATTCCCGTCGCGTGCACTCCGATTTTACGAGGCAATCCGCCTGCGAACTGACCCGTTGACCGAGCCGATCGATTCGAGGACCCCGCCGAAGGTACCGCGGATCAATCGGGACTTTTCGCTCGATAAGAGATAAACCTCGACCAGGTGTAGGGTGGGTCCTGGGAAACGGTCCCTATAAAAGTCGCCGACACCGGGGGGAGGATGGCACGGCCGCTGACGTTAACGCCAACTCGTGGGGGCCGTGCTTTTAACGCTTGCGCGGCGCAACGGCGGCTCGTAAAGCCCGGCATGGCCGGCCGAGAGAGCGGCGGCGGTCCCCTATCTCCGTCTCCCTCGCTCGGCCGTTCGGGCCCATGGGTCGGTCTCTCTCGGCCGGCGGCTCGCTCGGTATGCGGGCGGCGACGGCGGCGCTCGGAATCACGAGCGCGGACGGCCGACCTAACCTAACCTAAACGGCCAACCCGGCCGTAAAAGGCCATTACGCTCCTCGCGCACAGTCCGCCGTTATTACCTGGCCCGGCAAAACGCCCGCTAATGCCCCGGAACCGCCGATCGCGTCGATGCCGATCCCCTCCCTTCGACGAGACGTTCCCCACGACTCCGAAAGTCCGGATCCCTCCGAACGAAAGGCGCTCCCCCGGGATCGGGCAAAAACGGAGGCACACGAAGAGACCCGGTTAAAAAAAAAGAAAATAAAATAAAGAAATATGGAGAAAGTGGAGAAAATTGAAAAATTCCCCGTCCACGCCTCGACGTCGTAAAAGCCCCGGCCGATGAATCCCGGGGGAGAGGAAGGCCGAGGATTTCGACGAGGCTCGGTCCTCGAGGCGGAATTTCCAGGAGAGGGCCGCATTCCCGTCCTTTTGCCGGGCCACGCGATCCCAGGATTCCTCCCGTGAATAGGAACGGCCGCAACGGCACCGCTTTCATTCCGGATCCGTTTAAAGAGAGCTCGCGAAACGGCCCCCGGATATCGTCCGGATAGTCGAAGGCTCCTAATTGGCCAGTCGCGAGGTCTCTTGCGTATTTCTTACTTTCTCCCCTCCTTATTTACTGCCCTAAATAATTCCTCGCGGAATTATTTCGGGCGGTTTAAAGAGAATCGCGCGGTCCCCGAGGGACCACGAGACGTAAACTAGGGGACCGCTGGAAGCGATCGAATTATTTTCTCAAGCCGGTCGGGTAAACCGGGGGGCGATTTAAAAGTAACCAGGGAAGCGGCGAGAGACGTCGCCGGTGTTTACGAAGTGCCTCGGCGGGCGGTAATAGTTTTTCGAGGGGGTCGCAAGAAAAGCCGCCGTAGCCGCTCTCGAGGCTCGATAATGGAAATCTAATAGGTACCCCTGGAACGCTCTCAAACGATTTTCGGATTCGTCGCCCTTCTCCTCATCGATTTCTCGACTCCCGACACATCTAACCCTATATATAACCCTAGAACAACCGGCAGATATATATATATATATATATATTTTTTTTTTCAATGGAATGGGCCATCTGAAATTTTTCATTTTTACCTAATCTAATAGGTACCCATGATTCCTCCCCAGGACTCGCTATCGCTCGCGTCCGGGCTGGAACGAAACGCGCTCATTTTCCGCGGAAAAATCGAAATTAAAGGTCCGATTTACAAAAAAAAAAAAAAAATAGAGAAAAAGGCCCCTCGAGGGAATTTTCGCGAACGCGTCCCCCCCCCCTCCCCCGGAATATGCTCCAGGGCTTCGTGCAAATCGACGAGGGGTTCCCGGAACGTCCGAATCGCGGAAAGCCGAAACTCCTCGTCCAGCTGACTCGTCGGAAATTACGGCGCTCGGCGCGAAACTCGGTCGAGCACACCTCGATTATTTTTCCACTCGCCGGGGGAAAAAAAAAAAAAACAAACTAGGCAAACGGACGTTCCTCTCCCCGAGTCGGGAGTCGACGGAAAATTTTCCATTGACTCGCGACTTGGTCGAACCTTTCGACCTTTCGACCGTTCGACTTTAGTGAACTTTAGTCGTAGCGCTGAATTCGCGATTCGCCTAAGACGAAAGGCATGGTCGCATCGAGAGGGTTATAATGAATGGAGTTTCGAAACATTCGCGGTAAATTCCGGCGACACCGAAAGTCGGCAGTAGGTGTCAAAAGGAATTTGAATTTTTGCGCGCCAAGTCCCTCTCGTAACCTGGGAATTTTTAACTACTACCGTCGAGAGGGGGAAGAGACTCGTAGGGTCGGTTATTAAGTTTTGCCAAAAGAATAGGTCGATTTCGAGTCGAAATATTCGACTCGTCGCATCCCTCGACTCGATGGTCGAGCCGATCGGAGCGAGGGAGTCGGCCGTCAGGTCGGGGACGTCTTCGGCCAACCTGGCACTCAGGGGCTCCGTTCGGCTCAGCGAGTCTCCTCGTGTCTCGACTGAGAGAGACGACGAGACCCGAGCCGCGGGGGAGCGAGCGAGACGCAGCTAGGGCGGTCGGGCCGAAGGTAGCCGAGGAAGAAAGAAACGCGACGAGCGCGACGAGGAGAGAAAGAGAGAAGGCGACGCGAGGGACACGGGAGCGCGAGAGAGAGGGTGCGACGCTTAGACTGGGCGAGGGAGAGAGACCAGGCGAGCAGAGGTAGATGAGCGGATAAACGGATATCTAAGAAACCGGAGATACTAGACACCTCTGCCGTGTTTTCCATGCGGCGCGGATTTGTTTTTCGTCTCGTCGGGGCGGAAACTTCAAGCGGAGATCGCGTCGGACGATCGAAAAAAGGAATCTCGACCCAGGGGCGCCGCATCGCGGATGGCCGACGGAGATTCGTTTTGTCTCTCACCTCGGTTGCGGCGTTGCATCTCGCCACGGCCGCGAAGGCGACCGCCAGAACGACGTATATCCTCGGCCGCATCGTGCTCCTTCCGCGGGGCCTCGAGGAGGTCCCGGCTGGTCTCACTTCCCGCGACGCTTCGCCGAGGCGCGAGGGAACCGACTCCCGGAGAGGGGGACCGTGTCGCGCGACGATCACCCGGATAAACGGAGCGGAGCAACAACGCGAACCACGCACCACACTAATCGATGAACCGCGCGACACTGGGGGCGCGTCGGGCACCCGCTTCCCGCATCGCTGGCGGCCATCTTGCGCGCGCCGCGCGGCCCCGACATCTACCGGGAAACGCGCCAACTCGTGCGCCGCCCCCTCGCGAAAGTCGGTACATTGGACGCCCACGCGGGACTTTTGAATGACCAATGACGAACCATGGGTCAAAAAATTGAATTTATTTCTACGTCAATACTCGGTAATTTGAAGGATTCTACGAAATCGTTAAAAGAATCGATCAAAACTTCTTTTTATTACTAGCGGGTAGGTCGCTCTCGAGTCCCTTTAAAAATCTTAAGCTCTCGTTTATGCTTTTCGTAGTGTCTTCGATTTTGTCCCGCATTGCACGAATTTCGTTTTGCATCTTCGTCACCTCCTCTTGAGTTTTTTGCTTCACCATCTTGAGCAATTCTTGATCCTGTTACGTATACGAACGTAAAGGTCGTGTAATGAATGTACGAAAATGGAAAGAAGTATTTACCTGCTTGTAGTAATATTCACTTTCGAACGCGATGTCTTTCTCAAAAAATTTATCTTTGTTCGAGGTGCTATTTGCTCTGATAAAAAATCTGGAATAATTGGAATAGCTTTAGAAACCAACCTAGTTGTATGGAATAATGAGTGCTACGTGCTCGGTTTGGCATACTTTTTTCCTGTTCGTGAGACAGGCCGAAGAGCTCGTTGAAACATGCTGTTGCTATCGATTAAATATTCGGAGAAGGTAGTTTTACGATTTGTATTTATGTGGATAATGCGCAGTTCACGGTAATTTAGACAGGTACGTGACAGGACGTTGACAATTGAACGTAGGTCAAAAAAAAACTTAGGCCCTGTCGCTACTTATAAATGTGTGGATCTTTCTAAGTACTCTACCGATGCATACGTTCAGAAAATTGACACCGTACTATAAACTTTATTAATATTCTTATAAGTACAGTAATGGATACCGACGATCAAATGGAAATTCTTTTCGCATCTATATTATAGTCATAATAGATTAAGCAAATTTAAATTTCATCATTATCCACATAAAGTTTAGAAGCAGGATGCTATATTTCTATGTATTTCATATTAAAAAAAATATAACGCAACACACTCTACTATCACTGTAACATCATCTCGATTTCTTGGAGATTTCCACTCTGTTGACAAAGATCGTAATTAAGACGCATTTCACTTGTGCATGTCTTGGATTCTGTTCTTATGGCGATTTATGGCTTCTTGATGGCGTTTGATCTGCTCTTCGTGGAAGGAGATCTCATCGTGAAGACCATCTCGCAGCTTTTCCAATTGTTCTTTTTGCTACGAGAGTAAATATAATCGATAACGTACAGCTGTACCAAAGCCTATTTATTTTTTAACAATTTATTGGTATCTCACAAACCTGATTATAAAAGTACTGATCCTCATGCGCCGCTTCCATTTTTCCAAACGATCCGCCAGCATCTCTGATGGTTCCACCGCCTCCGCCACCCTTTCCAGCTCCCGAACCACGCTCTCCAACCATTCTGACTTGACTGAAAGACAAACAGTCATTTGAAATAAATATAATTTGACATCCGTGACGATACTGGACACCGATCTCCGAATCGGAGACTAAGTGCTTCGTTAAATTCAGTACATTATGAGAAACTCTATTAACAATATTTCCTGAAAAACACTTTTTTCCGCTTTAATGCGTCTCGGATTAAATATTCAGACTAGTACCTAATATAAATCCCGACTCGTCAGTTAGACCATCCGTATAGGAGTAGCACGTTACATAAGTATCGCACACTGCCGCGTAGAATTTTTTGGCAACAACAAATCAATCGATCGCGTCAAAGGAACTATCGACTTTTCTCGAAGCTAAATAACTCGACGACACTCGAAAAAATACGGGACGACGCGCAATTTAAACGTTAAGACGTGAAAACTCGGAGCCGAAAAATGGAGTCGAAGGATCTTCGAGAAAAGCCGGTCAGAGGCATGCCGCAATTAAATACGCAGATAAATAATCTTAAATCAAGACTGTTTAACCTCTGCCCTACTTTACCTAACGAAAGCCATGTTCCGGGAAATAATCGCAGGAACCCGCTGCATTCTTACGCGAAACAATTCTAAGTTTTCCGGAGGACAAAAGACTTCTGCGAAGTGGCGAAGCTCGAGCACGAACTATGCGCGAAAGTAGACAAACGTGTGGAGGAAATATTCGGGCGTTTCCAGCGGCATTGGTTTGCGAATCGGCCGCTGGAGGCGCTCAATGTCGCAGCTCCGTGATATACCGGATGGTCAAAAAATTCCGCGACGTACGAACGATCGAAATTCTGAATTAATTCATAACGGACAATTAAAAAAAAACGCATCGTGGGTTTTCGGCTAAGAATCTTTGTTTTACATCTTAAAAGGAACTCGTTACGTCGGGCGGTCAGAATAACGCTCCGATCACCTGTAAAATTCGGCAGCCTGACTTTCGATCAGCTGTTTCTTGATCTCCGAGGTCTTTAAATGATTCACGGCGGTTTGTCTCTGTAATTCCGCTCGCTCGAGCTCGATATTCAGTAACTGGATTTTTAGATTATGTTCCTTCTGAGCAGCTTCGAAAATCCAGACCGCCCTTCCCGTGGGACTCCCCCCAGCCGGGGTTTTCAGGGAAGATGCGCTGTCCCCGCTGCTATCCTCGTTTTCCTCTGGACGACGATACGAAAAAAAAAGAAGCAATATCAGCAGCTGCCCAAAATTATAGTCATGTAATCGCAGACATTTTCACTCAGAACTACCATTTGGAAGCGGGCCCACGGCGCCGTTTAATTTTTTCCCTCTCCGGTCGGCCAGATCGATGGGCTCGTCCTGGATGTCCCTTTCCCTCTTTTCGTGGATTTCGGCTGGACCGCCGATATTTTCGAAGTTAACTCCGTCCTCGGTATTCGCCTCCTCGGTGGGCTCGATCTTGACTTCCTGTACCAAAATCTTCGGAGGCGTGGGAACCATGATCTTGTCCAGGATCACGTGGAAACTGTTCGTCCCGTCGACGTCCTGGCCGCTCTCGTCCGACCGATCCGTTTCGCAGTCATTCTTCCTCGCATTTTCCATCAATCGCCAAACCTCGACCGAGAGACTGGAGGGCTTACTTTTGGCCGCCTCTTCCGGTCCCAGGGTCCTTACCTAACTTCCAACTAAATCCGTCAAAAAGTTGAGCACAACCGTCTAAGCTCTGGACGCGTAGCCGCGATAACCTCGATCAGAAAAAGAAAAAGAAAAAAAAAAATTGAAAGCTAGGTCTCATATAAGAGGAAAACAAGTTAAGAAATAAAAGAAAAGCCTACGATCCTTTTTTTCAACCCATCGCAAAGACCGGATTTACTGTCAACTCCAACCTTCTCGGCGAAGGTGTACATCTCCACCCTGGCCTGCGCCTTCATCCTTCGCCATTGTTCCCTCATCCTGGTGATGTCCCTGTCGGTGGAAAACCTCCCTCGGAAGGCGAAATAGATCTGCTGCCAGGCGAGGGTCTTCATTGCCGAAGCCGAGGCGTCGATCTTCTTGTTCTCGATCGCGATCACCCTGGGCTTGATCAGCGAGAAAAGGACGCTCTTCTCCTCCGGTACCCAATTCTGGGTGCGCTCCCTCTTCTTCACGAGCACCGTCGTCGGCGTCTTCGAGGACATCCTCCGGGAGGAATTCCTAGACTCGCCGACGTTTAAGAGCTTTTTACGCTTTTTAGCTCGCCGATTAGTTGCTGTTTTTCCGCTTGCTTGTTTAGGCGCGGTTTTAGGACAGTCGGTTGTTTCCTCTCCTCGAGCTTCGCAATTCTCCCCTAGGTCTATCGGGTGTCTCGAGGGGGGAAGCAAATATTATCAGGGGAATAATTACCGTACCGATTCTTTTTCAACGCATATAGAGCTAGATAATAACCTGGATTTTTATCGGGAGGAAAATCGTTGTGCAAGACTTCATTGCTCTGATCAAGATGGCTTCCCCCGTAAACTGCTCGCCTCGCGTTCGCGCGACGCGAGACGTTCGCTCCCGGTTAGTTTAAGTCTCGTTACAGAGGCGACTAGGACGTACATTAGAGATCGTTAGATCGTTAGATCATTCCCAATCGATCCTCGATACCCCCTACCATATACAAGTTAAGGGGATGCCATCGTTTCGGGGGTGACGGAGTGCTCTTATCGCGGTGATGCACTTAGGAACGTCTCAGGTGAGCACATTTCTCTTCCTCGAGGCCGCAGTTGAGCAACGAAATTTAAATTCCGATTCAAACACGTGCAACGATCGGAGTTGATACACTCGATCGTGTATATCAATGGAAATACGATAACGCGATACTCCGGTATCGGGAATCCGATTCCACGAGAAGGACCCAGCGTTAATAAATAAAATAAGAAATTCAATTTCGATTTCGGTCGCTTGTCAATTTTGTCCAAAGGTACCGATCGAGCACTTGCGTCATTTCTGTGGAGTAATTGCTAGAGTAAACTCCCCGGAGAGGTGGGAAAACCTGAAACTTATATAAGTTGCAGGGGAGCCGAGCATGAAGCCTCGCCACCTTAGGGAAGGGTCGAACTGTTTAAAAAATATTCTTTTTCCTTATAATTATGTAGTCTGCAGTCGTTTTGCAACTGGCCTTCGGGCACCTTTAGTTTTCAATTCATACGCAAGGTTCCTGCTGGCTATAGATAGAACGATGTGTCGTCCTTTAGAAAGTAGGATCTCGCCTCGTCATATCCTGGACGGGCTCGTCGGGATTATGGACTAAAAAATAATTAACTATTTCGAAGGTGTCGGAAGAATCGCAGGACGCGCCGATGGAGGTTCCAAAAACGTTCTATCTTACGTGGAAGGACATTTCCTATACGGTCGCGAAGAAGAGGATAAAAAATTCAGCGAAAGAATGGCTCGTGGGTGGAGAGGTCGAACGCGTCCGGCTTCTGCACGAAGGTAATCGTAAAATCTAATAGATAAGGACGTTTTATACCGTATAAAATGGCGATAAAATTAATGAGATTCAAGCTTTGCGTCGGATCTTAAAAAATGAATTCCCTCCGCAGTTAGCGGCGTGGTAAAGTCCGGGACAATCGTGGCGATCATGGGACCTAGGTATGGAATTCATGTAATTTCATGATCTTATCCTGTATCGGTAATATCGTATAGATGCCTCGTATAAATTTCCTCTTTTCAGCGGAGCTGGAAAAACCACCCTTCTCGCAACGATCGCCCAGAGAGTAAAAGGTGTGGAAGTATGCCCGATAACGAAGCGAGCGGATTTCTTTATTTTCCATTGTATGAATTTAGGCGAATCTCGGGGAAAAATTCTGCTGAACGGGCAGCTCCTCGACAAGGAGACCATGGCCAGAATGTCCGGATTCGTTCCTCAGGTGGACCTCGCCGTGGAGTCCTTGACCGTCCAGGAACACATGGAATTCATGGTAGGTCCCAAAAAGTCTTTCTTACTTTTAATTCTATTTTCTCGTTCTGATGTCTATAAATTAATCAACGCAGGCTCGCATGAAGATGGACAGAAGATTCCGAGCTCTCCAGAGGAAGCACCGAATCCATTGCCTCCTCACCGATTTAGGCCTTCTCGAGTGCGGCAACTCGAGATTATCTTCCTTGTCAGGAGGCGAGAGGAAAAGAGTGTCCCTGGCCGTGCAAGTAAACGCGCGTTTAAATTCAATTAATATACATCGAAGGAGAGAATACTCCTCGGTTCGGATTTTTCAGCTGCTGACGGAGCCGAGTATCCTGTTCTGCGACGAGCCCACCACAGGACTCGACAGCTACTCGGCCATGTCGGTTGCCAAAACTTTGAGAGACGTCGCAGCCAGAGACCGAGTGGTGATCTGCACCGTCCATCAACCAGCTTCCGGTTTACTGGACCTCTTCCACGAGGTCTTGCTTTTGAGAGCCGGAAGAGTGGCCTTTCAAGGAACCGTCTCGGATGCGAACGAATTTTTCGCCAGGTGATTTGCGATCGAATCCTCGACACGGGCAACTATTTTTCCCTACCCCCGAATAAACGTTTCCGCGGTATTTTGAGATATTAAGTCCGCGCCCAGCGAGTCTCAGAGGCAGGGAACTGGCAGAGAATCGCTGGGAAATTGAAAACCTCCGCATTATACATCGCGGTGTCGTGCTCGAGCGAAACGTCCTTGCACGTGGAAAAGGGATGTAGGATTGTCCTGCCGGAGAGAATGGAGGAGACGGTCGCAAAAGGGGTAGTTTCCACGTCGCTCCCCCGTTGGTCCCATTTTCTAGGACGCACGTTTCATTTCCAGCCTGGACCTCCATTGCCCGGCCACTTTCAACCGAGCGGAATTCTACGTCTCCCAGTTATCCCTGACTCGCGAGAGCGGGGAGAAAAGTTACGAGAAGGCAAGCCGACAATTATTCCGACGTCCCCGAAAATTCCACCGAGGGATCCGATTAGCCAACCGTCTGTTTCCAGGTGAAGTACATCTGCGAGGACTTCGAGAGATCGGAGTTTGGGAAAAAACTGGCCATGGCCATAGCGGACTCCTGCGCCGTTTCGATTTGCCCAGAAATGCTGCACCCGATTTTTCTCGAGAAGGTCTCTTCCGTCAGCGGGTTCAAAAGGATTCGACCGTTCACCCAGATCGAGTGGCTAGCCTGGAGATCGTACGTCGATTCCAAGAGAAACCTCATGTCCCTCTTCGTGAGATCCGCGCTGTACATAGTAAGATCTTCATTTTTTAGGATCGTTATCGAGAAGCCCGACGATATCGCGTATTCTTCCCGGAAATGTCAAATTTTCTTCCAGGGGATCTCGGTGTTAATTTCGACCCCCTTCGTCGGGATCACCGAGAACCTCGACCAAAAGAATATTCAAAACATGCAGGGCCTGATGTACTTGGTGATCACCGAGACCGTCTTCACGTTCAACTACGGTGCATTTTACACGTTCCCCCGAGAATTGCCTTTTTTACTGCGCGACATGGCGAGCGGCCTTTACGACCCCGCGCCTTACTACGTCAGCAAAGTGATCATTCTGGTGAGGAATTTCAATTTCGCGCACATATTTCATTAGGGATGTATGAACGCTTTCTTCGGTTCTTCATTCGCAGACACCAGGGACGATAGTACTTCCGTTCATTTACGCCGCGGTCATCTTTAACGTGGCAGGTTTGAACGGAGGCTTCCTTGGATTCGTATATTTCCTTATCCCGATTATTCTCGGCGCCATGTCCGCGACGGCCCTCGGTGAGTTGGAAAAAAAATTCCCCTCGTGTTAAATATATTTTTTTTTTAATATACCCCTTGTCCAGGGTGCCTGATGTCAGCTGTTTTCGAGTCGATCAGCGGAGCATCCCTTCTGTCAGTGCCCATCGACTTCCTGACCCTCATCTTCAGCGGAGTTTTTCTGCACCTCGGGTAATTCCTATCAATTAGATTCCTCTTCCAGTCGAGCCATCCTTTCTACCTGGACAATTTTCCAGGAGTTTGCCTCCCTTCACGTCCTGGCTAAAGTACACATCGCAGTTCTATTACGGCGGGGAAGCAGTCTCGCTATTACAGTGGAGCGAAATTCGACACATAGGTACCGACTTTGTCTTTGCATTCTATAAAAATGAAGAGAGGCTAAATTCGCGTAATACGTTTTTCCAAAGATTGTCCTGCGGATCCCGAAGGACCCTGCGTGTCGACCGGATTGGAAGTCCTAGAAAAATACGGCTTCCAGCCCGGCAATTATCCCGTCGACCTCATCGGACTTTTCGCTCTCTATTCCGTTGGCCACTTCGTCGGATACCTCTGCATCCGCCTCAGAAGTCAGAAGGAGCCGGTTTATTAACCCCCCTACAGGGAATAATTTTAAGAATAGAAGAAAACAACTAGAATCTACTATAAAAATAATAACGAGTCTCTCGAAGCCCACCATGCGTTCCCAACTTTGATTTTAATTTAACCCCTTCGATCCCAGTCTCTGTTCACGTACGAGTATTTAAAACATGGACGTAAAAGTATATAAAAACGGGCCGATAAGCTTAAACCAAAGTCATTAACAGTCACGTACTTCATTTATTTATAACAAGGGGTGAAACAATGGTAAGCCGAATAGACCGCGTAACAATGGAATATAATTTATTAGGGCTGCACCTACGCGTACAAAAGAGAAATAGGATCAGAAATGTGTACATATACTGTTAATAATTCGTGAGACTTAGTGTAGTTTCTTTCGTCGTCGTGGAAAATAAGTACGATAAGTTGCGAGTATCATACGTGGACAGATACGTTCTATACACCGTATGGAAATGTATATAGATATATATGTATATATATATATTATATAAAAGTGTAAAGTTCCGAAGAAATGGATGGCTCGAGTGTCGGTAGGATTAGTGTAAAACGCCAGTTATTTACAAAATCTCTGCGGTCGTACCGTGCCCGTATGTACATCCAAAATGCACTCATAGAAGATTAAATTTGCCTAACCGTAGTTTAAACATTGTCCACCCGCTCGGCAGTTGTCGATTCGTGCATCCTAGTGTTAAAATCCTCCCTAAAGACCTCCAAAGTCCCTCGGAATAATCGACTGCGAACCACCTATAATCCTTTTCCTCCCCTAAGACCCCTTTGCCGAGGGGGATGTCCAATTTAATCGTCGATCGATAAAAGGAAAGCCCATAACTGGATTTCGCTACGGAAGGTCTTAATTATACGAGAAGAGAGAACCGTACGCGAGTCGGTTCGGCGTGTAAAACGTACATGGTAAATTAGTATTAAGTATTACGTAAAGGCGGAATGTAAGTACTTTCGGGCGATCCCACGACGGAGCGAGATCCAAATTATCCGAGCGCCGATCGCCCGAGTTAACGAGGAAACGGAAGAGGAATCTCGACACCGGGGGGAAACGACTCCTGGCTTTCGCGTTAACGAGCCACGACAATAGACCAGCTAGACATTCTCCGTCCATCGAGAAAGTCTCCTCTACGAGGCGAACGACAGTTTTCGCGGTTTTTACAATGTTAGGCGTAGATGGAAACGCCTTCCCCGTTTAGGAACTCCTAGGATTCGAATTATTAGGCCCGACCTCGTCGTGGAGATCGATTCTCGCGAGTACGCCCCCGACCCTGCGCTTGCGAACTCCTATGTACACGGTACGTATTGCACGATTGCGCCCTTAAAACGCAATTACGATGAAGCGCAAGAGTGCTCGAGGCGGGCTAGCGAGAAACGGTCTTTTCGAGATTTCTTCGGGAGACCGCGACGAGGAGTGGCCAGGACACGCCGATCGACGTTTCCCCGCGAGGTGCGAAACTTCGTCAGCAGGAACACGTCTTCTTGGAGCCGGTGGGCGACTGGTTCAGGGCGAACCTCTCGCCGTCGTGCTGTTCCTGGGATCCGTTGCCCTTCATGATCTGGTCATTCTGGAGGATCTGGAAAATGGTCACCCACCGTAAAGTCATATCGACTAGTATATAGATACGAAGATTCTGTAGGGATATCGGAGCCCTCGCAAGGACCCCACGACCGAAAAGAATCCCCAGCTAAAAATCTGGCGTCGTAACCTTGTTGACGAGGAACCGCGCAGCCTCCTCGATGTTCACGTTCTCCTTGGCAGAAGTCTCGAACCAGCCCGCAAAGTTCTTCTCCTTGCAGTACTCGTCCATCTTGGCCGGTGAATTGACGAGGCCCTCCTTCTGCTGGTCGCACTTGTTCGCCAAGAGGACGCAGGGTATCGGCGAGCCGTCCGGGAGTTGTACCTTGGAGTCGAGGTCCTGCTTCCACTTGATAACGGCGTCCAGGGTGGCGCTCCTCGTCACGTCGAAGACTATGAAGGCTCCCACGGCCTCCTTGTAGTAGACCCTCGTCATGTTGCCGAATCTCTCCTGGCCTGGAAATTTAAAAGCCCGGTCACATCGACGCCCGCGAACAGCCCCGTCGGTCCAGGATGTCGTGGATCGTTTTAAATAATTCTAGATGATTTTAGATCACTTTACCAGCGATATCCCACAGCTGGAGCCTGATGATCGTGTGGGGATCCCAGTTCAAGACCTTCAGGGCGAAGTCGACGCCGATCGTGGCCCGGTAGTGCTGGGAGAAGAACTGGTGGACGTATCTCTTGATGATGGAGGTCTTCCCCGCTCCCAGCTCGCCGATGACCAAAATCTTGTAGAGATGCTCCCTCTTCTCGCCGACGCCCGCCGTCGGGGCATTGTTCTGCGACGACTGTGCAAGGAAATAAAAAAAAAAGAGTCAAGATCACCGCCCCTCAATCCCTCGATAACGAGACCGAGTCGTTCGCCTTAATTCTAGACTTTAGCTCGTCGTTACCACGAAGTACATGTTCCTCGGCGGAGACTGGAGAACTTAACGGCAGGGAAAAATATTCAATAACAACTGGCTGCGATATCCCGAGTCGAGACGCGATTGTCGAGGAGCTCGCAGTGCGAGCTGGACGAGGTCTCGAAGCCGACTGATAAAGCCCGGAAAATTCGTCAAGCCTCGAGGGGATTAGAGCCGATTAGGCTTTCCACTGGGACTGGCGAAACTTTCCGATTTTCCCGCCCATGGAAAAGTACCTCCTACCTGTATTTCCACCCTGGAGGAAGGGCACAATGAGCGATACCTGCCGGAACGAGCCCAGAGGGCCGTTCCACCCCAATTTAGGCGGCGCTCCGACCGTTCCCAAAAAAAGGCGATAATTCCACCCCCCATTTTTTTCCCTCAATTTTTTTCCCCACTCGTACCTTAGATTTCCTCAGATCGAAGATCCCCAGCGCGCGTCGGACCTTCAGGCGCATTTCCATGCCAATCGGGGACTAAACTCGAGCGTCACTGCGCGAAATCTTGAGAACGTATGACGCCGAACGACCGACAGCTGCGCGAGAGCCGCTCGGACGATAAAGCCGTCTGGAACGAGGAGATGTCGCGGGACGTCGATCGTTCGCGGTCGACACCGGAAACGGATTTAACGATGAGACGTAAGACCTCTCCAGATGGCAAAACGACACCTAGAGTGACGAGAAGCGTGGAGAATTCGCCTGGAGTCACGTAGGCCAGGCAGATGCACCCAGGCGATCAAAGGTGCTCCCTCAACGGCCGGAAACCCTGACCTTCTTAACCGGGATTATCGAACCCGAGGTCCAAAATCGGCACGTGACCCCGGTCAGGTCTCCCGAGTGGCAAGAAAATGGCAATCGACTCGTTCCGAGTGGAAAGATCGAAAGGTCCCAAATCCCAGGGGGGTTAGTCACGAAGGTCTATGTACACCGCGATTACCTCGGTAAATGGTAAATACCGGAACGCTTCGTCGAAGCTCATTGATAGGAACTGTACGAAGTATACGAGAGTCACGAAAGTTCCCCCGGAAAGTTCCAATCGCGATCTGGACTTCCTTCTCCGCGTTCGGGGGGAAAAGAGCGCCGATCCGAAAAGTACCGATCGCTCCGAATAGGATAAATCGCGGCTCCTCGCGTAGGATAAATCATACAGGATAAATCGCGGTCGGGAACGCGATACTTTACGGTCGACACGGTTACGCGAAAGCGAGGCAATCGAACACCGGCCGCGGTAACCATATCCCCCGAGTCGGTTATAATAAAAAAAAAAAAAAAAAGGGCGAGGGAAAATTGATCAGAAAACAAACGAGTCGAGGGATCACGGAAACACCCTCCGTGGGAGTCCTGGCGGTCTCCGGGCGCGGATCGGGTTCGCAAAGGGCGAAACGCGGAGCATCCGCGTGCGGCGAGATGCATCTCCGGCGAGGCCGCATCCTCGGAGCCCGAGAGGGAAACCCTCGTAAAACGGCGAGTCGGTACTCCGACTCGGTCGGTAGGCATTCATGGGAGATAACGCGAGGAAATTGGAGCATCCTCCGTTTTATGGACCGAGGCGGCTCGACGAGCACGAATCGCGTTATCCCGCCGAAAGGCTCTTCCTTTATAAAAAAAGCGTCCTATCGGCTCGCTTTCGACTAATCAAAGAGTCTGAAGAGATTTCCCGATTTTTATGCCGACCCGAAACGTCGAGTTATCGAGATCGATCGATCGCCTCGTTACCCAATCTCGGGAGACCCGAGCCGACCGCGGGCGTCGATCATCGAAAGATCTCGCGATCCGATCGTTCGCCGATTGTCCAGGGTGCGTGGTTTCCTATTTTTTCCCTCCTTTCCTCCTCTTTCTCGTAACCGTACACCGCGCGCAGCGTAAACTGGGGCAGAAATGGGTTAACCGCAGCGAGTCGTTCCATCGGCGACGCCGAGCGTCGTTCTCGATTTCCTCGCCCCGATGTTAACAACCGTGTAACGAGGAATTTCGAAAAATACCCCCTTCCCGTGGAGAAAGAGAGAGGTGGAGCGATTCGCGCATTATTCCCGGTGCTTCTTTCCCGCTCCCCCGTTTCTTCGGCGGTTTAATCGGACCCCGTATCCCGGCAGCGTCGACGAGACGCGGAAATCGAGAGTGGATTTCCCTCGCCCTCGATTCCGCGAGACACGTCGGCCGTCGCGGAAACCCCGCTAGGGGTGAGCCAGGAGGGGGTGGACGTGCGTGCCTCGGATTATGCCAACGCGAGACGGTAATTCGAGCCCGCCCATTCGCCGGCGTCGCGACGACGCCTCGAGGACCGCAAAGTGTAGCCATCGACCGGCGTCGCGGAATTACCGGCCGGCGAACCTCGCGACCGGAAAGAGGCGCTCCTTCAAGGGTGGGTTTTTTGGCCCCCCGCGAATCCGCGCATTCGAGGGAGAAAGCATTTCCTCGGGGTCCTCACCGCGCTTTCCTGGCTGAAGGACCGCGCCCGGTCCTGGGGGTCGGAGGCGGTGGCCATGTCGGCCTCCTCGACCCGGAGGGCCTCGGCGGTCCGGTTGTAGGCCTCGGTGTGGTCCTCCTCGATGCCGGCCAGGTAGCCGAGCCCGGTGTCCTCGTCGAAGGTACCCTCGAAGGTGGAGAAGGTGTCGAACTTCTTGACGCTGATCTGGCGGGCGCGCTTCTTGGTGGCCTGGTCGTCGGACTCGGGCCTGCGGACGGGACTGCTCTCGTCCACGGTGACCGCGACGACGGTGAGGCCGGACGCGTCCTCCGAGGAGTCGAGCCTGCGCCTCTGGAAGGCCGCCCTCTTCTCCTCGGCCTGCGACGGCCTGCGCCTCAGCTCGGTCGGCGGCGTCTTCGGCGACACTGCGGACACCGATCGAGATTTCTTCCCTCCGGTCGGCGGAGACCGGAGCCCGAGTCGGGGCGCCGAGTCGACGCTCGAGATCGACGCGGCGCCCCGGAGTAGGACGGAATCGGCGTCTAGCTCGGGCCAGTCTCCTTTTTCCCTTTCTAGCCGCCGACCACTTTCACCCGACGCGACGAGAGAAGGTCGGGTCTCGAGAAGGTGGCCTCGGCTCGAGAGCCGAGACGAACTCCCCGGGAACCAGCGCGGTTCCCGGAAGGTTTGAGTCCTCGAGAGAGGGGACGACGCGCGGGGAGATCCCGGGACTCCTCGAGGACGAGGAGATCCGGGTTCCCGACGGATATCCGCGAAGATGGACCGTGGACATTGAGGGCCGACGTCCTTCGATCGGGTCGGTCGGGGGGCGGCGAACGCGCAAGAGGGTGGAGGCGCGATCGGGGTTGAGCTTCGGGGCTCGCTTCTCTCACCGCGGGGCGCGCCGGCGATCGTGCTCCTGATGGTCACCGACGGCGACCTGCGCTGCACTACGGTCACGGTGCTGACTGGCCGCTCGCGTTTCTCCGGCTTCGGGTCCCCCTTCTCCCTGGGCCTATCGGGCTGCTCCCCGGCGCTATCCAGCCCCTTCTTGGCGGCCGATAACGCGGCGGCCGCGGCGGTCCCACCGGTCCCACCGCCGACCGACGCCCCTGTCGGCGCCGATCCGTGGGCAGGTACCTTGGCCGGACTGTCGGACTGCCCTCCCGGAGACTCCTGAGACGATTGGCTCACCGAGCGGCTGCTGTCGCCACCCTCGGGCCGGTGTCGCGGCTCCTGCTCCCCCGACAGGCGGAACTTGCTCAGGCTCAGCTTGCGCACCAGCGAGTGCGACTTCTTCTTCCTCTTCTTCTCCTTATCGGCGGAGTCCAGGGGCTGGGGCTTCCCGGTCGAGCTCTCTGCGGGGAGAACGAGACCGGTCGAGGGGGGCTTTCGGGTGGGGGTCCCCTTCGCGCCGGAATCTCGGAGAGGAAAAACGGAGGCCCCCTTCCGGGCCCCGTCCCCGAGTCCGCCGCGAAGGGAAATCCTCGGACTCTCGAAAGGGATCCGGCCACCGTCGACGAACTAGTACCCGGAGGCGACGGGGAGGTCGTTTGGGCCGATCCAAGTCTCTATCGACCTTACGATAGATAATAATCGAAGACGCGGATGGTCCCCGTCGCCTCCGAGTACCTTTTCGCGAGCGGACCTTTAGCGGCGGCCCCGTCGAGGTCGACCTCGGCGGAGAGTCCGGGCTCGTTCTTGGCCTTCCTCTTGATCTTGAAGATGCTGCCCTCCCTCCTGCCGAAGCTGCTCTTGAGGGCGTCGAACCGGCTCTTCTTTTTCTCCTCGACGCCGGCGAGGGTGTCCAGGCTGGAGCTGCTGCCCTCGACGGTGACGTACTCGCCGGAGGTGGTGACGATCGGAGGGCGCCGACGCTCGTCCTCGGAGGGCGAGTGGCCGACCACGGTGTCCGGGGAGCTGCCGCCCTCGTTGGCGCTCTCGGGCTGGTCCGCGGCCCCGGGCCGGTCCATCGGCCGTCCGGGCCGGGCGCCGCCTCCGGTTGCTCCGCGCCGGTCCTCTCGCGGCGTCGCGCCGTCTGCGCCCGGCGCCTCCCGTCCGCGCCCGGGAAGCCCGCGAGCGGATGGCTTCCCGACCGGAAGACCCGCAAGCGCGCTTCCCCGGAAAGCTAATCCGACACCCGACGAGTCGCGCCTCGCCGATCCGAGAGCCCTGGGATCCCGACTTCCCCGCTCCGAAAAATCGACCCGCGCCGATCGACCGGCAAACTCGCCGTTGAATACGATTTTCACCCGGACATCCTCCGCGATTTCCTAATCTTGGAATCGGACGACGACGCGCGACCGAGGTACCCCGTCTATCCCCTTCGGGGTATCCCCGCCCAACTTCGAGCGACCCCCTCGAAGCCGGGAACTCCGTCCATGAATCCCGACCCTGGATATCGTCCACCCCTCCTTCGGTCGGGAATTCTCGCGGTTACGCAATTGATAGGGTCGAATCCCCGGAGTCCTCGGACGAGGGCGCGAATCGCGGGCGAGTAGCGCGCGGAGAGCCGAGCCACTGCGAGTACCGGCGAGCCTCCGCGTGCGCCAAATCTTTCTTATAAAAATATAGGAACGACGGTGGGGAAAGAGCGTCGTAAGGGGTACGACGCCTCCCACCTTGCGAGCCGGCCGAGGCGCGTCGCGACGACCGCATCCGTCGGGGCCTCCTCGAGCGGCGCTCGGAGACGCTGCCGGATGTCGCCCTTCTAGGCGATGAAAAAAAAAAAAAAAAATAGAAAGAGAGAGAGAGGCCCAGCGCGTGGAGAGGCGAAAAGTCGGTAAATCACCGCGGGAAGTGATGAATGTCCGATTAATCGCTTATTTACGCGACGGGGCATGCGTCGTCGGGATTTATTAACTTCGACTTCCACACAAGTGTCGGCTCGAAAACGCAATGACAAAATTGATCCCGAGTCTGCCGGCTACCGTGGAGTGCAATGATTGATCGAGACGTCGGCGATAGGTCGTCGATAACTCCGGATTTATCGCAACGGCGATTGACGAACGATCCACCGCCCAGGTGGCGGCGATCGACGATTTTCCCCGGGGTAAATTCGATAACGCTTGATCCTAATTACACGGTAATCCCGCAAGATTCCTCCGCATTGCAGGGATCGTATTTGGCAACTCGGCGAATCGAGATCGAGCTATTTGCAAAAAACGATAGGGAATGGAATTTTCCCTATCGTTTCCCCGGGATTACATAAGTGCGATCTGTTCGATTAAATTGAGTTCGCATTTATATAATTAACTAGTCGCCTTACGTAAATAACAACGGAAAGGGGGTCGTAAGGAGTTCAGGGAGCGAGGTAAAAAATCCCGATCCCCGCTAAATTAATTCTTGCAATTAAAACAGCCTAGATCTAGGTTTTCGATTTAAAGGACCGGTTCGCTTAGCAATTGCGAGATCCGTGCACGTACGATTTTCTAATAATTACAGCGTTTATCGCAAGGACACTGAATGGGAGGATAATTACCGCGAAAATAAATCCGTGGTAATCCCCTCGTTATATAAATCACCGTCAACGAGGAGATCGTTCGTCCCGTGACGAGGTGGATCGGGAGTCGGGAGGGAATTAGAAATGCAAATAGCTCCATGGTATTATTAATTATATACGATGTTTGTCTTTAGGAGGCGACATTCCATCTAGGACACTTTATATAAGATACTGGTTCTGGCTCCCCGAGGCTCCGCGTTACCTCCATTTTATCGTCACCCTTAACCCGACGACCGATCGCTTAGCACCTCCATCATAGCTATATAATCGATATTTAATAGCGATTAAATAAGCCTCCTAATCAAATGAACGATCGATCGATCTCGAGGTCCCCGCGGAGACCCCGAGCCCCCGTTCGCAGATCCGGGGAATGATATTCCCGATTACGTAAAAGATTTAGCGTCTCTCCAAGAATCCGACCTGCACCCACGCGGATCGTCATCCCTCCAACCGATCGTGCATCATTGATTTATAGGGACCATTAACGCGCATATTGCTTCAGAATCTACGATTCCATAAGATCGCCGTCCTCGCGATGCATCCCGCCTCGGTGCAATTAATCAGGGTTTCGAAAGCCCACTTATCGCCGCCTACATTCCTAGATCCATCAGCGCGTACATTGAATTAATACTCGCGGAATTTATATTTACCCCGGAGGCAAGAATCCTGGAGGCGCACCATAAGGTAGTATAAATCCGCGAGGGAGAAAAATGAAAATCGTGGAGATTCCAAGAGTGGCCCCGAAAGAGGGTCCCCTCCTCAGGGCGCACAATGTCGCGAAACGAGGAGCGGATGAAAACTCGCACGACGTCCGCGACAACGGCCTCGGGTATTCATGGAGTGTTCTTTTGTCTTGGAAATCGCGTCTCCGGCACCGCTCGTCCCCTCGCGAAAGGATTTCCGTTACCGCTTTGTACATGGCCACCGCAATTCGCCCCCCGCGAAAGTCGACATAACGTATAAAAAAAAAATAAAAAATAAATCGTCGCATCGAATCGGCAAGGAAGATGATTTCAGGAGTCCCGGGTCGAGTCCTCCGCGTTCGAGGAGATACCTTTCGGAGCCTCCTCGCGGCCTCTTGCTTGGCATTCTCGCCGAAGTTCATGTTGAGGTCCAGGTAGAGGTGGTTGTTGTTCAGGAGCTGAGAGGGTGGCTCCATGGGTGGAGGGTTCGCCTCCTTCATGTGTCTCAGTCGCCTCTCGGTGCGCTCCTGCCGGGTGCGGAGCACCAGCATCACGTTTCGGTCCAGCATCTCGATGGACTCGTCCGAGAAGCGGCTCCGAAGATACAGTTTCCCAGGTCGGCGGAGTTCTTCTCGACGATTCACGCACCTACCGGGAAGCTACGAGTCCCCCCTCGACTGGGAACCATGTCTTTCTGGGGTAAATCGATGCAGGTGCTTCGACTCCGGGTGAAATTGCGCCGAAATGGTCAAGACGATCTACAGGGTATTACAGTCCCCGAAGATGGTCATGCCACCAGGAAGGGTCCGACACCGATCTCGAACGAGATCTATGTCCGTAGGGTCGAAAGGGAGTCCGCACTTAAATGGCCACTCGTAAAAAAAAATCGAAAAAAAATGGAGAATTCAAGAAATCGAAGAGAATAAAAAAAAGTCGAGGACCGACCGATCGCGCGCGATGTCGGCCTCGGTCTAAGAGACGTTTTCCGAGATGACACGTACACTTGACAGCATCCGAGGATATGTGGTCCATCGGTGCAAAGTTCCTTCATATATTGGCCCGCGTCCGCGTCCCTTATCACGCTTTCGTTATCGCCCGAGAAGCCCGGCGCCTCCACGCTCGTCGACCCGGGACTTTCGACGCACACGAGTGCACCGAGGCTTGCACGCACGCGTGTCAACTGCGTCCACGCATAGATGACAGCGTACCCAAGCATCATATTGACAGGGCGACGGTCTGCCGAACTTTTATATTTCTTCCCACGACATCGACGAGTCTCAGCGCCGAGAAATGCCATCATCTCCGTCCCCCTGATAAGGAATGACTTAATAATTAAATTTCATACGCGTAATTACCTAGGGCGGGAATTCAAATGACACCGTGCCGTGAGATCTCGTCATCCCGATGATCGATTACGGCGGATCAAGAGGCCGCGGCGTAATCCCGGCATTAAAATTGATACCAGCATCCGTTGTCGATAAGTGCTCCGATAAGACGTACACACCGTATTTAAAGAGATCCTCTATATAAAAAAAGGAACCTCCTATACCACGGTTGTGGTTCTCTGGGTACTCGAAAATACTCTCGGTGCAATTCCACCGTCATCCCCGAGGAGAGGGGTGGGTCTCCATTTCCAGCCCCCGAGACCCTTATCACCGGCCGAAAATCGGAATCGCGGTCCATTATCATGTTCGGCATTTCGAGGAGTCCTCGATCGAGGTTTCCCAACAACGCGTCCGCTTACATCAGCGTGATAAGCGATAAGAGGAGCCCCCCTTATCCTTCCTCTAGGGCCTTTAATTCATATCACCAACCTCGTGAGCGTTATCACTCGACGATGGAGCTGCGCATTTCATTTTTCCCCTCGTATCGGGTTAATAGACCCGAACGATGGACGTTAATCGATAGACTTTCGAGGGTAGAAAAACTTCCTTGGAGTTTCGCTCCAGCTCCCGGAAGTCCTATAATCACAGAGGAGCACTTTCTACATGAACCAGAAGCGAGTTGCGATGGCGTTACGTGAATGAATTGCGTATCGCGAGGTCGTTCCCGTTGTCGCCGGTTAATCGAGCGATTCATCGACCCATTGTTGCCGCGACAATGGTTACTCGTTACCACGGAGCCTTGTTCCCAGGCACGGTCCGTCAAATAATTGCGCCGATCAAAGCAAATTACGGCACGCGTGCGATCGTCCCATCTCCACGGCCGAGAGACATTCGGCAGAGCCAAGGCGATCTATAAATATCTCCTGTAAACCATGTAACAACAAACCGTCCGCACCGCGTCAACGTGATCTTTCGCAACCGGGGAGAGTGAAAGAAAAAAAAAATTAAAAAAAAAATCCGAGCGAGTTGTCGAAAATGTCGAGAGTGCCCATCCCTGACCACTGACACGTACAATCTTAACAGTCGTAAAAAGAGAAATATTCGCGGTACCGCCAAACGGATTATCGTCCTATTTAATAACGCGTCGAGGGATCGAGCACGGTCGATATCTCTCGCCTCGCAATGCGGCCGATGACGCAGGGCGTGTGGTCGCAATTAGCGTGGCTAAAAGTATGCTAATTAAGGAATCCCGGCGGCATCAGGGCGGCAAAACATCGAGGAGCTCCGCGATTACCGCCAGTTTATGAATTACGCTCTTGGCGCCGATAAGCCGGCTTGATAACGAGGAGCCGTTTCTCGAAGCGACGAAAGGGGTTGTCGCGCAAAAAATTGGGGGTTACGATCGAAAATTTTTTGGGGGGGTAAAAAGGAAAAAAAAAATTGTAAAAAATCCAAGCATCCCAGGAGGACTTTTTGCGGCCATAAGTTGACGGAACAGCTGATTGCCGCCATCGAGATCGCGTGACCGACTTGTTTTACCGAGGGCATTTTTGCGCGTCTTTTTAGCGGGGTGAAGGGATCCATTACACGCAGCCCCGGCGTGTATACGTTTACAGAGGTATTACCCAACCCGATTGGGGATCATATCTCGTGGACGAAATTTCCCGTCCTCGTTACGTCGGCGGAATCGCTCTCTCGCGTATTAATAATCCCTATGTCTGGCCGAGTTCGCGTTCGGGCGATTTTTCCCGACTCGCGGATCTCCAAAGAAATTCCCCGGGCAACGTCCCGACGATAACTCGCGATACGCTCGGTCCGAGATTAAAATGAAAATTGCGACTCGATCGATGCCCTCTCTCGGCCCCGACACGCGAATTCACGCGTCGTTTGCATCGCGGCGCCACGCAGGATCCACGCAATCGTGCCGATATGGGATTTTTCCCGACAAATTGCCCGATAAGATTCGATTCCCCGGAGAAGACGTTAAAATTAAGCATCTCGCCTCGACGAGATCCTCGTAAAAGAATTTAGTAAAATATAATCGAGGTATATTAAAAAATCGCGCCCATCTCGAGATGCTCGATAAATACAAATTGTCTCCTGGAAAAAATCCTCGACTCAGCGATTCGCTCCGCGCGGCGATAGATAGACCTCAAGAGATTGCCACGTTATCAGGGTGGTCTTATCGGGAAGGTTTTCCTATTTGTTAAGAAAAAAAAAAAAAGACCCACTCTAGAGGCGCCATTTTTTTTTCGAAAAACTCGCGGGCAACCTCTCGACCGGTTATCGCACATCGAGGATCGATATTCGATTCCGTGCCCTTAGCGATCCTCCGACCGTCACATCTCCAGGCTTTCCGTGAACAATCGAAAGACCGTGAATATCTCTCGAGTGCACGGGCACCTCTTTGACGCCCTCGACATTTCGATTAGATAAGACGAGGATAAAGCGTCCGTCGTTATCGCCCGATATATATATATATCGGCTCGATGCGATCGGGAAAAGAAAGTCGGAAAGGGAGAGACATTCCGACGATAAAGGTAATTCCCTTCCGCGTGACGTACGATCAGGGAGAATATTCCCGCGAAAATGAAAATATATTACAATTCGGCATATATTAGAGATAAGGGAATTACAATCGGTTAACTTAACGTGCGCTTCTTGGCACGTGATGCGGTGGAATCTCGCCGCGACGCGATTGGTCGGCCGCTGGCCAATAGGGATGCAGGATCAATGGACACGCCGCGGTGATCAATTTCCACAATAACGAGAAAACGTCGAGTAAGGCGAAAGAAAAATCGGAGTCACTCCCTCGCGGAGGAGAGAGGAGTGTTCCTACAGCGACCGGGCACGCCGGATAGGCTGTCGGCCCGCAAGCCTTGCACCGAGGTGGTAGTCTGCTAGTTTCAAAAACAGCGCGCCAAACGTTCGAGCGGACGACGTCGCGGACCGCGCGCGCGGCGGCGGGCTCTCGACTCACCATTCGACGGTCCGGGCTGCAAGACGGGTTCCCCTCGGATTCCTCCAGATAATCCACCTCGAAACTCGGCCTGCTCGCCACAGAGGAGTGCGAATGTGTCACGATTGATCTCACCACAGCTGAGCACATCCGGCCATCTTGCGCGACGCCGAGCGACGTAACGCGACGCGACATCGTCGGCTGCTACGCCGAACGGCCGTGGCGTCATCTCGCGACTCCTCCGGGAACCTCTAACCTCTCGACCGATACACTTTGCCTAGCGAATTCCCTAGCGGGTCGCTAGATGGCGACACCGTGAAAATCCCCCGCGCTTACAAATTTCCGCAAATCTTACGAGAAACGGATCATTCGTCTCGATTATTAATTTTTCGATCTCTTAAGCCCCCTTCCTTAGATAGAAATGACATTTTCCTCGAAGATCCAATCCTCCTCTCGCGGTCTCCTACACCGGGGTAAAATTAAAATGACATACGCGTCGCTTTCGTTGCTATTTATTTTTTCATCCTGCATCCCCTGCACACGTGCATGAAAGGAAAGATCGAAGGTGTAACGCTTCACATCGAACACTTATAATCTACACCCTCGTTATACGCATGCGTACAGAAGACTGCAGTTTCGGCATTCTACACATTTAGTTACTACGGACTAAGCAGTCTGGAATTGAAAAACGATATATCCCTTATAGTTACCTCCCTTAAGAGCTCGATTATAAACCGACTAAAAGTAATCGAATCAACCCGGAACGGACATTACATGGAACAAAAATCTTATTCGAAACTCCGCACAGTATCAGTAACCTCTAACAATAGAGAGAAATAGACGTCAGGTAATTAACGGTTTAAAAAAATCCATCATCTACCTATCTCCTTCTTCCCATTACTAGAAAAAAATAATGAAACATCATTCCGTAGAGAATTCACGATGACACGAAAAGCATCGCTTTGAATGAGCCTCTCATTTTCAAATTCCGAAATTTAATCAGATTTCGTGCACGGGACACGTCGGTGCTAACAATTCATTTGCGCATCCTTCGCTTTATCAAATTACCGTAACTCCCATTCAAATTAAATACACAGCGAGCGTACATCAGTTCCTTACTTACTATTTCAGTGATCCCCTTATTAGAAATGTATGGAATTCCAATTTTTATGCGGCAGAAATTAAATATAGTGCATGGCTATGTGAGAAAAAAAAATCATGAGATAAATATTCAGCGTAATTAAAAACAAAGAATCTTAAAATTAGAGATACGCCGCACGAGGTAAAACCTATAGGAAAATGTGAGAACTAAATGAGCGTGATCACTTGTCCTACGAATTTCACAAACTCGGTACGCACGAATAATCTATGACACGCAGAAAGAAAAAAAAGACATCGAAAATGTAGCCGCAATCGGAATGATCGAAATTATCCTCGACAATTATTCTATACCGAATAATTATACTGGTAGTTATCAATACGAATAGTGTGCTCGTCGATAATGGCTTAGTGATTGTAATTCAGTTAGACCGATACTTCAAGATCTTCCTTAACCAAGTGATTAAACATGCACAAAGTCTTGTTTACTTCGGATATGCTCAATAGTGACTTACATGTAATGTATCATGCGTAATCAAATCGTCAGCTGATTTCATCTATACTGACACCGGCTGTACTATGGCACGACATTACCGTAAATTACTAAACACTTGTTATCACGTATCGTGACCATCCGAGTGATTCCCTATCGAGAACCCGAATGATTAAAATCATTTCGATCGGAGCACCGGTCCAGGAGTCGCATCCGATAAGACCGCATCTTCATAGCAGGTGCCGAAATTAATCCAAAGTTGAGCGAGATCGAAATAAGTATCTTGATAAGGTCCCGGTCCCCGTTTTCCTCCTGTCCGTTAGCTGCAGCGATTTAGCTTCTGGCATGTTTTATCGGTAACGGACTCGAGGCTGTCACATCTTCGATATTAACTGCGTTCAATTGCAGCAGATGGTGAGACACGTTTTCGTAGACAACGAAGGTGATAACAGTCGCCGGTGTCACTCGGGTAAGGTTTACCCCTAAACCTTTGTAAAAGCCACGCCAACCTTCACCCCTGTAACCAACCACCAGCAATACTCTACTTTACTAAACATTCCTCCATGTTTCCTCGCCGTTAATTAATTCTTTAATCAACGATTACACTCGCTAAATTTACCCGCGTACGATTCTTGATAAGAAAATTCCCACCCTGTCGTTCGAGCTCCAAAACAGAACGGGCCGCTCCGAACCTTCCAATTAAATAATTAAGTGAAAAATAATACTACCCTTTCATCGAGCCACACGCGAGTCGATCAAAAATCGTACTGCTGGTGGTTTCATTACATACATTGCACTCACCAGAGGCACGTTCAACTAGTACTCATCCCACGCATACTCAGTCATTCACCACTACGTAACAAAACCGCTAAAAATAATCCACGATTAATAACGGTGGAAATTGTGGTCCAGCCACAGGACACGGTTTACTCGTTACATCGGTACTAAAAGGAAGAAAGAAAAAAAAAAAATGAAAGGATCGCATCCGCAACAACGGCACCGACAACGATGGCTTCCATTGATCGAAGGCTCTTCAACAAAGAGCATCGTTTAACATGTACCAACTGTCCGAAAGGTCCCTCCATTTGCACACAACTCGCATCTCAAAGTACGACGAGGGGATTCTCTAGACCGTATCGGTTTTTTTTTTTTTTTCTGAAACTTTTAATTCGAGAGCTAAGTGCAGTACACGTTTGTGCAGTTTTCACATAAATAAATTTCACCTAATATTTACAGACCACGGCGAGGACTTCTGTCGCTGCATCGGGTGGCGTTTTTTTTTTTTTCCTTTTCTTTCCAGAGAGGAAACTTGAAGGTGGAATACGCTAATTGTGGATTCCAAATTCAGATCGCTCGTCTTACGGCAGAAAACGGTGTGTGTGTGTGTTTAAATATACACAATACACATTAAGCTACGTATCTTAAGACCACAAGGAAAATTCGGCGCAAGCCCACAATATTTTTCACGATTTTCTAAGTCGAGGTAAATCGACGAGTGACATTTAATTTCGCTATAGTTTAAAACAGCATTTTTTCTTTTTTTTTTATTTAATCGGGACGAGACCATTTTATTCAAACTTGAATTAAATCCACCGTCACGATTACTGTATTTTACCTAGTTGCTCAGTGTAATCGTACATTCATCCCGAAGAATGTGACTTAAACCTTTTCCTTCGCGATCTCCCCTTCCCTCAAAATATTGATCCTTTGAGCTACGCATAAATTCATTCTAAGAACACATCTTCGCGTTTCCATTCGTTTTCCACCCCACTTATCGCTCACTTAATCTCGTTCGTACATCTCTTCGAAATTATCGCTGTCATTCCTACACCTCAGATCTTAAGTTACTATCCAATCGAGTCCGTACAAGTACAGGTATTTAAAGTCAATCAAAACCAGTTCAATTAACCGAACATAGGACGAAATTATTAATAATCATAAGTTCTAATTATCAACCCTGACGAGGATAACTTTGTAGGGTCTTGTAAGAATGTTCATAACAAACGTGATAAGTGAACTACATGTCATGATAATTAAAGGTATAACTCCCACCATACACCATCCTGTCTTCGACAAATGTTCCTTAAGCATGCAGATACTTTTCCCACGATCCATGTTTCATTTTTTTTTAATTCAAAGTGTATTCTTTATCGCAGCACAAGACCCAGCTCATACCTTTAACTGTTAAGTATGATAGTTACATTTAACACCACATACTTAAGGGCTTGATTTAAAAGCGAATAACTGGAGAGAAGCGGAAACGTGGAATAAAACTATATTTCAGACTTCAAATGATTAATTACTTACGCGACAACGCACACACGCACACGCACACAATTCGCTTAGGTTTAAGCATACATTGCAAGATATAAGTACCGTAAGCACGGACAAGTCTTAGCTTCTCCCCAGCCAACGCATGTAGCTCAAGATATTTTTAATATTCATCTAGACCTTGGGAGGGGGAGGTTCTTTCCATTTAACGCTCTAGAAAGCTAGAGACATTAAGATTAAGTGTACTAAGTGTTCATCGTAGTGTTCCATACACTACGCCATTCCTAAGTTTAAGAGCGACACGCAATGACATGGCTCACAGCCAATTACATAATTACTACTAAATTGTTTTGCTATTTTCAAAATGGAGGAGAATGTCTCTACAGGCGAAAAATAACAGAAGAAAGGAAGGAAGGAAGGTTTACACACGATGGCGTCTCAAGTGCAATTATTAAAGAAGATCGCAGTAAAAATGCCAGCAGAAAAGTGATATTCCTTGATTACTAGAACCCATTTTCAGGAACGTTACGAAAAGTTCCCTCGACCAAGTATAAAATTCTCAAAAAATATCGCTGAAACTCGATTTCATTAAGAACGTATATAGAAAAGCCAATGTATACTTATTGAATCCCCCGAGATAACATTAACTCGTCGAAATAACTGCTTTGGTCGTCATGGCAGAAGCATCCATACATTCTTAAAGACTTGACTCCGAACAATGTCGTTTTTGTAGAAAAGAAATGTATAGAGGAAATATATATATATGTAAAGTAGAAAATTCCGTCAGTAATACTGAATCGTGTAAGAGGTCGTTTATGTGCATCTAACTATTAACAAGATGGATCCTTCCGCCACGGAAGCACCACTCCTCGTCATCGAAGTGCAAGCGCAATAATTAAGATTGCCTTTTCTTCTTTTAACTCTTTCTGCCTTTAACCCAATACTTGCCATTTGTAAAATCAAGCTAATTGACGTAACTTTGTTTGTTTTTTAATTACGAGAAACTTGTTATGGCGCAGTTTAAAATTATAGAAGTATTAAAATAAGACAGAAAATGTTGAATTCACGTGAACAAGTAATGGGTCAAAATTTGAGTCTACCGTGAAATGTTTTGTATGCCATAAACCTTCTAAAGTCATCAAGCAAAAATCAAATTGGATCAAAGAGACTTAGCTGGTTCCGGTAAATGTCTCATAGATCAAGAGAATCATGCATATATTAGGCATAACATGTAGGAGATACGGGTTTAAGCCTTTATAGAAACCCTTAATTCCTTCTGACCTCCAAGTCAGCTGAATGCAGTCCAGAGTTCCCTTGTAGCTATGATGTTGATCCTGAAGACGAGCCCTTACCACTTGATAAGGATAAGTTGTGGCTGCAGCTATTAATTTTGACACTGCCGCAAAAACAATGTACTCCAATATGCTCTGAAAATAGAAATTTCATCATTGCAAAAATACAGGTTTAAATTATTGTCCGCAAGGAATAAACCAAAAGCTAACCGAGTAATTTCAACGTACCAACTTATTGTCAATGGGGAGATTCTGGTATGTATTATATCTGTTTTTCATTTCCTCATACGTCATAAATTGAATGGCACCATGAGACACGCCAAACATTCCAGGAACTAAACCCTGTGAATTCCGACGTTAAAAGTATGATTGGATCTGGCTATACATTCATAATAGATTTGTAACATTTACATTTTTAATGTCAGATAATTTACCTTGTAGAGACCCCTAATACCCTCCGTGACGTAGATCTTTCTAACTGCATCTAAGATTCCCTTGTATCTTTTTGATTCATCGACGCTCACTTGTCCAGCGTATTGTAAACACAATCTAGTTTTTACTACCCAGATCGGATTCGTAATGAGCAGCGTGAAAATACCAGCATCCGCTGCTGCAAACATATGGCCATAAGGCCCTAAAGGCTTCTTCGCATTTCCGCCTTGGATCCATAGCTTTATATAATTATAGCTGGAAAAACGAATTTAAACGTTTCATGAAAAAAGAAATAAACAAGTTACCCGCCATTTAAATTACTCGCTTTTACAAACATATCCTCACAAGTAAAAGTAAAATCCCCAAGATCCACCCGATCCAACAATGTTCGGCGTTACTCCCCTGTAAAGCCCACGCAGCCCCTCCGACCTGACGATCTCTGTAATAGCGTTTCGAAGTCCAGTATAGTTAGGAGTCGATTTGGTGACACCGTCGTTTACTAAAACAAAGTAAACCCTCCACGTTATTCACCTAGTTCGTTACAAAACTAGCAAATCATCGTAATAAGTAATAAATAATTAAACAAGTGAACGTCACGATATACGCAATTATTCCGCACAGCAATCAGCTGGACGGAGCCACGTGCGCGTCCAAGATGTCTTCCGGGGATTTGGTAAATCGGCCAAGAAAATAGTTGCCAAGAAAAATACGACTATTATTAAATCGGCGCCTTATCGGAGTCTCATTATCGAGCCGAAGGACATAACCTAACTCGGACGTGGCGTCTGTCGACATTCCCCTGGACTCACCTGCGAATCTGATCTTGATCAGGTCAAGGGGATGTAGCATCAAGGTCGAGATGACGCCACCCGAAACCCCGGCGATGAGGTGCTCATATTTGAGCGCGCTGAAGGTGGGGAGCAGTCTCGTGTTCCCCGTGGAGCTCGAGCTCTGAACCCCGGACATGTCGAGCACGAGAGGGTCGTCTACGTTCGCTACCGTGATCGGAAGCGCGGCTCGGTGCGCATCCTCGGCGCTAGCGAGCCCCGAATCGACTCGCCGGCATATCTCCGGATCTGCGTCGGGCACGGTCGAGCTGGGCAACCCGCTCCCTGAAGTGGAATCCCCGCTCACCGCCAAACTGAACGTCGTTGCACACCGTTCGAGCTCGACTACACGTGGTTACGCAACCCAGGAACAACGGCGTCGTCAGTCGACCTCCTCACCATACTGGAGCACGGCAAAGTGTCGTTATCCCGTGCCGTCTAGTACTGCCAACGCAAAGATTCCGTCCACACATGCGCAGTAGTACTTCGTCAAACAAGGCGCAATCGTTCTGCGCAGCGTCTGCGGATTTGCGCACAACTTCGGACCTTTCTAGAACTTGACAATTGGTGCCGCCAGATGGACGGCGGTTGGCGTTATAAATCTGTAAATAATTGTATCAAAGAGAAAATGAGATTAGTCATGAACCCAACTCCGTATCCTACAGGAGATAGGACCTCGATACCCATCGATACCCGATCCATCAAAGCACGATGCAGTGCTCGCTACACCTGTCCTCCCACGCACCCGATAAGTTTGTCGGCTTTTTCAACTTTAATAATTAAAGTACCCTTTCATTTTCTTAAATTCTTAAGAAATACAAACTGAAGTTTGGAGCAGGCTTACATAAATCACTATATGCGTATTGTATGTATTCGATACATTTTATTACTCTTTCTCGAGATTTATCAACCATTTTCTTTTTAAATATAAACGTAAAAATGGAACAGTTTTCCACATTAATTTCATTTATAGTAATTATCAATATTCTTTATTTACATTGTTATTTACACGACAACGGACTCTATGTACTGTCGTAGATACCTCAGAGGATTTTGATACTCTTTACTATGTTACAATCCTGAATGTAAAAAATTATTGGCGTTACAAAGACTGTGGTTTCATTGATAACCTAGAGTCACACGACTCACCGATTAAAATAATATTCGTTCGATCGAGTACACTTTCCTTGAACCATGGTAAAATTGTTTTGATACAAATAAAATTTGAAATGAAGTAGGTAAATATAGGTGATTAAACTTTTTTTCCCTTTCTCTTATTACATCAATGTACATTCGAGCGAAGTAGATCAAAAATAATTTAATAAGTTTTCGAGATGGTAAAGGGACCACTTGTCTTTGATATTCGATGCGTTTCATACCCGATTGGAGTTTTACAGTCTTTTAATATCCTCTTAGAGAGGTGACGCAACCCGTTGGACCTGTGCTCACTAATTTGTCACAGCGAGTGAACAAAAAATGAACATTCGAGTGACACGGCATCGTGTTAACTAGATGTGTCGAAGTATGTTCATTTCTCCTATCGATTAATACATTACAGAATCGCACTTAGTGTTATCCTTCAATCTCCGCATCAATGTTCACGTCATTTGGAGCCAATAAGCGTATAGCGTCATTGTCCGATGGACTCAGCTGGGCCCCAGACATTGTTAAATAATTTAGGAAATATTTAACGTCTCTGGTTAATAAATAAAAACTTATCAGCTGTACATAATTGCTACATAGTGTACAAGGAGCAGAATGTACATAATTATACATAATATCTGAACAACTCTACAACCATTTGGTGCAGATGGTAATTGATCTTGACACTTCACCCTTCGACCATTCGTCATACTTATTATTATGTACTTTATCAATCCATTTGTTGATCCATTCATGTCGCAATATGGACGTTATTTTATGGTACAGAGAAGTTTTCTGTACTATCAACAGAAGGCAGATGTGACTCCGGTTTTTACGTGGTGAAAAATATTTTCTAATTGTGTCAAAGTTATAAAGTGTTTCTCTTGTTTTACTGGGAATAGGCAATCTGCTCAAAGTTAAAAATCGAACAGGAATTTCAGAACAATTTTCTTAGTTGTACAATATAAGGTTTGAAATAAATGGTACATTATAATTAAATTGCTTACGATACAATGTTGATAAGCAAAGGAAATTGGAAAGAACTATTTACGTATCTCAATCTGTAGTCAGTGGTAAATATGGAACAATAATTGCGGCACATTGCTTTCCACACAGAGGACTAGTATTTTGTAGCATACTTGTGTACGTGTTATAGAAACATCACTTAATTAAACCACGATTCTAGACTGTGCTGTATACTTGGATATGAATAAACCTTAAAATAATCTACAGTGCACCTTAGTGCATATAGCATAAACACGTACCAAAACGCACGCAAATTATTTTCGTGACATGATACATTATGAATCTGTCAAACTGAATTTGGTAAAAAATGTTGATAGCAACAAGACGTTTCTATTTTCCAGATATTTTAATTTAGTAAAATACATGGTAAAATATGCAGTAATTTAAAAAATTACAGAACGTAACTTCTTACAATAATGCTTTTGTTCAACAGAAAATATGCATTTTAGTTTTCATTTATTAATAAAGACCCTACTCGAGCAATATTCATTCCTGTTTTCCTTTGCTGACCTTTCAGATGCTAAAATCCCTGTTTACAGAATCTGAATTTTGTTATATCAACAAACATGTATATAACAAAATGTACATCATAGTCAACGTTTTTGCTAAGTTACAATATCTTAAGATGTTTACGCCTAATGTGTAATGTTCTGAATCACATAATTATGCGGTTTAGTCTACGTACAACGATCGATAGAAATTTGTGATTAATAATGATATTTCTTTATTGATTTGATATGAATCTTATGGAATGTGCAGCTGGTAGAATTGTAGGTTCCTTTGGGTACCTTTTCGTTTTTTTTTCATAACATTTAATACGTGCCTTATGTCAGCTATAATCCCAGAAATGACTCTTTCAAGTGTCCGCTGAAAGATTATACTTTTCTCATGATGTGAATAAATCGTGGTCAAATGATTCGTGGTTATTGTCACAATGGTCAATACGTAGTTGTAAATTACCAAGAATTACCGAATATAGTTTCTACCAACCGAACACTCTCAAAGTAGAAAACTAGATAATTCGTATAAAAATCTCTGAAGTTGACGTTTTTCTAAGCCAATTATTCACAAACTTATCGGGTGTTCTATCACTATCTTGTTTTTTACAACATAACCTTCACGATCGAAGCAGCCTGTCGAAATTCATTTCCTTCTCTTGCATTTTAAGTGCATGCCTTTTCATCTGCGCAAATTATTTGACTTTCGGTAATGCCCTTTTTGAATAGCGAATATTTTAACTTATTTTTGTGGCACCATTGTGATTCACCTTATGATTCAAAACCCATCCATCTTCTTGCACGGTTTTCAAATATTCTTCTAAAAGAGTTGCTAAATTACGTCTCTTAAATCTTAAGGATTCCTTCACGATGTCTCGTACGAATGCGAGCCGTATGTCCAAGGTACCTTGAATTTGGTGCAAATGCGAAAAGAGAGTAGCATAGTCTGAAATACAAAATATGACATATTGTAACCACAAAAATATTATCTTAGGAATAAACATTGTAAACAGTTTTGATTTTCTGAATGACAAATTTTTCTGTACATAGTGAAAACTACTGCATTAACCATATTTTCAATTTCAAATAGATCGCTAATCGGTTATTGCAAAAATAGTAAAAGTATTTCATGAAAATACTAGTAATCACTTATGGTCCATGAAAATATCACGGAATTTATACATAATTAATGACACGTCTTTAAATTATTAAAAGTGTATAACTTTGTTTTATAAGCATTTATGGAATGTAGAAATTTCTAAAATGTACTTACTCGTTCCTCTTCTCCGCACCTCTTTATATACAAGCTCTCTCACAGATAAATTGTGTTTCCTGATGTCATCCAACTCCTTCTTGGACAGAGGTCGTTCCTTTTCCAGCTTGGGCGGTCGCTTTTCATCGGTGTGATTAGTCAACCGCTCATCGGACACACTCTCAACTTTCACACTGTTTTGATTTTCAACACAATCGTTGATAGTCTGTGGTTTATGACACTCGGATTTAACATTGTCCGTCCTTTCGCTCTTTACTTCATTCTTGGTAGTTTCAATATTATTTACTACTATTGGCGTTAAAGTAGGTGGTAGATCCGAGTGATTGTTAACAGGTTCCACTGGGATCGGTTCGAAAACCGGTATCGTAGGCATTTCCGCGAGTCCGTTCACTAATTTTTCCGTTTGGTTTGACCCGCCTGGATTGGATACACCCGATACACTACTCAAGTTAGGTGAAACGTTCGCATCGGCTGTTGGTACAACTTGGTTCTTGATCTCATCCATCCACGGGATCGGTGAACTGGGTGGCGTACTTGTTGGAGAATACGATGGTCTTCGAACTATGACATCCTTAGGAATTGGACCTGGTTTTCGTTTATTGGGGGGAGGCCTGGGAGCAGGAGGACCTCCACTGTCCGATGGTGGCAAGGTTCGCTTCAGGCCACCTTTGGATGTGGATGACGTTGCTCCAACCATATCTATATCCGCTTCATCCACCATCATTCTTTTATCAATTTTGAACGGATTGCCTGTGAACAGTAAAATACATGTTATTGCTTCGAATTATCAAGATTTATTAAGATGTATGGAGACAAATGATTTTCTATATTTTTGCACTTACCAAACATATGTTGCCTGACAGGAACGCTTTCAATTTCTCTCAACGGAGGAGTCATTCGTTTCAGATATTCCTGGTAATTACCCATCTGTGCCACAGGCATAGAATGAACGTAATCGTCATCCAGGAGCTTTGTATGCAATAAACCTGGTTGCAAGAAATTGGCTCGCATTCTGACAACTTGATCTAAAAGAGATTTTCTTGGGACGTCGAAGGCATTACGGTAACTATGTGCTCCTCGTTGCTGCTGCTGGTTTCGAACTAAACCAACGACAAAGCCTCCAAATTCATTGAGCTGATCTCTCAGACCCGTAAATTTATCTTGCAATAACGGATGAGATACCTGTAACCCAATTCATTATTATTAGTTTCTACTTTGTACTTTGAATAATTTTATCGTACCACAAATTATTTATAACTCACCAAATCTTTCTTTAAAGGCGTTCTAGGAATCACTCGAACGCCTTCGGTCACAGTTGACGTAGAACCATTTCCTAAATTTTTGTTCATATTCGCATTGGCTACTTGCTTGGAAATCACTTCATTGCAAAGCCGATCAAACTCAATTTTTGCTTGATTTTTTAATCGTTTCAAGTAATTCAGTACACTGTACGATAACGAATTTTCCATATTGTCGGGAATTAACGTTTGAGCGAGTGGCGTTGGCGCACCCATCCTCGTTAATGCCCTTTTCAGTGCCTGAAATACAAACTGCGATAAATAATAATTTTCAAGCATTGGTCACTTAAAAGACTCCATAAAACAGTACTCACCGCAGCATAGTACGTAGGCATTGTCCTCATGTAATTTTGAAACTGAGTCCTCCATTCGTTCGTGGGCTTCAACCTGTGAACTTTAAAAAGTTCTTCCAGCAGTGGCAGCAGCACAGGATAATTGTACGGCATAACAAATAGGTTGACGCACGTTAGATTCGTGCTTGCTTTTAAGTATCCAAATGGATGGCCTACTTCACTGGATTTGTAAGAATTAGCGACGAACACTTGCCAACATATTGTCGGTTGCTTCCTCGCGAGAATGTATTGCGTAAGGGGGCTTGGCTCTAATTCATATTTATCAAATGGCAGATTTTCTATCACCATCGGTTCTTGACCGGTACAAGTGAATTTGACGTTTGGATGAGCTGATCTCGGTGGTAGAGAACTGGCATTCAGATCAGGCCAAAAGCTTTCAGGAATCGGCCAAAAACCAACTGCAAACCCCTTTTGGGCTGATCTTGGAACATAAATTAATCTTCTGCAGGAATGCCAGGCAGTGTTTCCAGGTGCCAATGGATTTGGAGGATACTGGGCTCGAGGACCATTAATCGCGCCATTTTCATCTTCATTGTCGTCATCTTCTTGATGTTGCGTCTCATTAACCAAGGGTGGAGGATCCGGTCCGATTTTTTCAAAATTAATCACTACTCCGGACTGAACCTTTTGCACCAACGAATCGATGCACTGCATCATCATCCTATGAGACGTTATACAGTAAGAACGACCTAAAATAAAAATAGATTAATATATACACCAATACGTCATAACTCATTCTTGTAACGTAAGCGTTATTTTACCTCCTGTAACTTCGCACATGGCATCTATCGGAGAAGCGTCACTAGCTACCAGACCGGTATCCCTTTCAATAGCTGGCGTACCGGAAAGTCTTAGAACTAACGAAAACAATCTTTGATCCCATCTGAACGGTTCCTTCGTCAATTCGGATCCAGGTATCGGAGAATGCATCGGCAGAGTAAACTTAAAAGTAAAAAGTCGTATTAAAATATCAATAGGTTAAATCGACATTAATAAAATGCTTCTGAAACTTACATCCTGATGAACTCCGCTATTCGTCGTATATTTACCACCATCGGTAATGACGACGATAACCGAGGGTTCCAGGAAAAATGGACATCTGCCTTGTCCGTACGTGTCGATACCTGTCTGCATTCGATTTATATTCAATACATCCAACGCATGTTTCAGAGCAGCTCCTAAAGTTGTCAACCCGACGCACTGCAAGTTTTTCAGCTCGTTCATGAACGTAGCCAAATTTTCTTTCCACCCGGCCTGAAAGAAAAGGGCATTCGGAGTTACACGAATTAAAGTATTTACCCAATATGCCAGGTGACCCATTGCTCTCGGTGAAGAGACTTTCCTCTAACTAGAAAAGGAGTCGAAACTTAGCGAATCCCTAAGTTTGCCCCCGAGGTAAAGGAAAAATATCGAGGCAGCATGCAAAGTCGTTGGTAACGCGGCATAGAACGGAATCACGGGAACGAGGCTGATATCTTCGTCTCGCCGAGTTCCAGCGTTTCGAGCGATTAATAAATTTGGCGCGCGACGCTTTCCGGGCACCGTAGGTCGGGGCCGGGGCGCCCCCACCTCCGAAGCCGGCAGGGCGCGCGTGCGCTACCCAGAATGCAGCTCTCCTCGGTCCGGCCGCCTCTCGCGCTGCTCGCAGCGGACGGCGGCGGCAGGTACGGCGGTCTCGAGCGCGGCGTGGCCGCGAGCCATCAATTATTCAGCCCCGTATCGGCGAGAGCGGGACTCGACGGCAACCGACATGGATGCGTTGATGAAGGAGGCGGCCGGCCGAACCCCGAGGGAGGCTCTCCTCGGTCAACATGGCAGCGGGCAGCGGGTATCGGACCTCGGCCCGACTCCTAGGAGCGGCTTACCTTGATGTTCTGGGGTGGATCTTCGAAGGTCAGCAGCATGTAGCGGTCCCCCCGGCTCTCCGGCGAGCGTTGGCGCACCTGTAAGAGCACGCGCAGCGGGTTACTTCGCGGAGAAGACATAGGTTAGCGCGTCGAGTGGCCGCTCGATGCGGGCCTCGGCCCGCCTCGGTCCTCCTCGGTCAGTCTGCGTACCTTGACGAAGTTCTCCACGGCGCTCTTGGCTACGTCCAAAAGCGTAGGGCGCGCGCCCAAGTAAGTCCTCTGATTCATGGAGGCCGACGTGTCGATCAGAAAGACTATTATGGTCATCTTCGCGCTCCTCTCTCTCCCGCTCTCTCCGTCTCCGTCTCCCGGTCGACGGACTGGCGGCCCGAGACGTTCGCGCGAGCTCCGAACTAGCTACCCAGGGGCCCTACCACGTCGCGGCGCATTACTGCCGATCGCTCCTAAGGCTCTCCGACCAGCTTCGACTCTCTCGTGCCGCCCGAAGACCACCGAAGACTCTCCTCCGAGTCCTTCCAACCGCGCGCCGAGCTAGCTCCGTCTCTTTCCCTTTTCTCTCTCTCCCTCTTTCTCCCACCCGCCCGCTCGGTCCCTCTCCCTCGCGACCGTCCGCTTCGTTCCGCGGGCTGCCAGCCGCTCGGTCTCCGTGTTGCTCCAAACTGCTCCGCGCACCACAGCTCCGGCGCCCGCGAGTGTGCCAGTGCTTGTGGCCAGCAGCTGAAATGCACCCGCGACCGCGGCAGTCGGCCAGGCCGCCCGCCTGCTCCCTCTCCTCTCGCCGTCGCACTCGCCCGAGCCGCCATCTCCGTCCCTCTCGCTCTCCGCGCCCTACTCGCCGCCGCGACGAGAGTTCCCCCACCGCGCAACGGCGGTTCGACCATACCGCCTCTTTTCGAGCCGTGCGGGGGGCGGTCGGGGGAGGGACCAGGAGACCGTGCACCGCTCCCGCATTGAGGGATCTCTTCTCTCTTTGTCTCCTCCACCGAGAGGTACGAGATAGACGGAGACGGCGCGGTCTCCCGCGACGCGTAGTGGGGGCACCCATGAGGCACCGCGACTCGAAGTTTGAACCGTGGTCGTCACCCAATACCGCTTTGACTCCGTCCTTGTCTCTCTTGCGGCGGCGAGCATAGTTCTCTCTCTCTCTTACGCGCACACCGATGCGCCCGAGCCCACGTGACCGGTGAGGAGACTCGCCATTGGCTCCCCACCTCTCGTCGCTTCACAGCCGCCGGTACGTCGCGAGGCGCGCGTCGGTGTGTCCGTGCGAGAATCGTACCGTGTTCCCTGTGTTCCGACACACGTTCCTCGTTCCTCGACGGAGCGAAGGCTTTCGACTGACCCTGCATGGCTGTCAGTTGAAACCAAGCGGCGCTGTCACGGGATAGTTGTCAGTCCGTAACAACCTTTCTCGGTCCATTCAAACGTTCGATTCGATCGACGGTAATCTTCCCGAATTTTGTTTGAATTATCCGAGATATTTCGCCTTCCTTCATTCTATGTATGTTTTCGTCGTAACGGAGAAAAAGGTACTCAGGACGAATTTTCATTAGAAATTGTATGTCCTAGGGGCGGTAAAAGGACGAATCGGTCCGAACCGAGAGGTGGCTAATTGCAACGTTACGTTGCTTTTTACTTTAATGAGAGGAAGAAAAAAAATCCGCGCGTGCGGAGTCCATATGCAAAGGTAATTCACAAAGAGGGAGGGCATCGTAATACTCGAGTACGCGAGTGTGCGAGCAATTCTGAAGTTAACGAGTGGCGGGCATAAAGCTTGTATGTTGCTTGCGAAGGCTCTTGCATACAGAAGACCGGTTTTTCGAGAAAGAGGGTATAATACCTACTGTACGAGAGCTGTATTAAACGGTATTCACGGAGGATTTTTGCACGTAATAACTCGCAATTTTGTAACGAGACCGGAGAGGTTATCGAGCACGGAAATCTGTTCATCTTAATTGTTTTACCAGGTTGGAGGACGACATCGACGAGATACCGATTGCGTCATGTTTTTTTTTTATCCACTTGTCTCGTGGACGTTGAAATGATAATCGAGTTCCTGTCCTGCCGCAAATGATCTAACTTGTAATCACCCGAGCGGAGATGGTAAGGCGATAACAGAGAGGCGAAAATAGATTTCCTTTAGAGATCGAGGTGGAAAATTGATCAACATGACGGAGAAATTTTTTAATGTCAAAAATAAAGGGACTCGAAGAGTGCATCGATTTTTGTACACTCGTGAATAGTTTATGGACAACGCCGGATTTGTTCGTACGCGTCTCGGGCTCGAACCTTTCACTAGATAACATTGTAGCACGCACATTGCGCGATCATGTGTGCAAGTGCAAATCAGGTACTTTCGCGTGTATGCAGTTGCCGTGAGATCATAAGACCTGGAAAGACGAGGATGTTACCAGGGTGTACACGTCAGGGATCTCGAAATTAATTTAAAAGAAAGATGTACGTATGCGTACGCGCATGCTTATTTCGTAATTATAATACGACGTACCGAAAGCGACGACACGCCTCGCGGATGATTCCTCCCGATCGGCGTACTCTCTACGGTTTATTGACAATTGAAGTAACGATCTTTAATCACCGCACGGGAGGAGACGCGATAAATGCCAATGACCTCGAATACCCCGAAACCTGGGCTCTCCGCAGTTTGTCATTTCGACACCCTGCAGTTTACCTAATATAAGTTTCCTAATTACAAAATCGACCCGTCGGGAGCAATCGATTACGTTCTAATTTCACTTTCAGGCGAGGCTAAGTGCAAGGGATTTCCCGAAGAGGCGCCATCCGAGGAGGGCAAGCCAGTAAGCCGCTATCGCGCGGTTCGGCAGGACCGAGGAAGAAGCATCTCGACCTTTTTCGTCTTCCCGGACACGAACGAGGCTCACCAGGTCTCTAAATCCAGCCTAATGTCTCGCCGAACCTCGGTAACGATGAATTCGACCTCTCGACCACGCGAAAAGGTATTTTAATTAGAATCGATCACGGCTAATCGTCCGCGCGGTCGCGTGCGCTAATGCACGTATCGTATATACCAGGGTATACTTATCAGGAGAATTCCCCAAAAAGCATAACGTGGACGCCCAGGGACGAGATTTGCGACCAACGTGCCAGGGCGTAGGAAAGTTAAACGTCGATCTACAAGACGATGAGCCATGTACTCGCGGTACAGTGAGTTTAGAAGTAGCGGTATGGATAAAGTTATATTTCAGATGGTTCTTTTTTTTCTAGGATTTATCGGTGGATTTTGACCCCCCGGGTGACCAACCGCCCGAGGGAAGTGCCCTCTTTCGACGTCCCCTGGATCCGGCACTGCCAGCTATGATTAAAATTGTCGTCGACGCGCCGCGTGGCGTAGCGTGGAGACACGTCCCGTGGGCCATGGACTCCTAGCTTAGGAATATATGCGGAGATATAGAAACGCAGCGTGCATCCGTAGAGTGTAAACGGGCCTTAACCCCTCCTTTTCGCGGTCTCCTGCCAGTCGCGCACCCCACGCGACTCGACTGGACACGTCTGGACCCGTTCGAGACTTGCGGACGTTTTCGGACTATCGCGGATGTCGTCTCCATGCTCGAGAACCTCTACGGACGGTTGCGAATGCGTCGGAACTCTTGCTAACGTCTTTGGATGCTTCTTGCGCCTCGTTCTCCGCGATCAACCGTTCCGCTATGTGGCAGGATGTAACCCAGGTTGTAACGCAGTTTACGGGACATTTTGCCCTTTATTCGGTGAAACGCAGTAAGAGAGCCTCGACCATGTTTGCTCCTATGCGTAGTACCTAGAATCATGTTATCACTTACGAGTAAGTCACGTTTCGGTTAACTCGGGATTCTACGTTGGGCTACTTTCATCCTCTTTCGGGGAACAATTGGCACGGTTCCGCTCTATTCTTTTCCCTTAGTACCATGAAATCTATGTTCGATTTGGGACTGGCTGTAATGTAACACCTCGCTCTCCGTAAAATTTCATGCGACAAGGCCGTCGGCGATAATCTAGAGAGCATTCCCACAGTGGCGTGTACCGTGTATACGTGTGCCGTAGAAGTGGGTAATCGACCAATGTCACGACAGGGGGGAGCTTCTTTCTGTTCGTGAACACGAGTTTCGTCGCGTGCTTACTCGGTCCGTATGCCAAATTTCTTTTTTTTAAACGAGGGAAAGGATCATTGCGGAACTGCGTTATATGGTCGCCTTTCATATTATTTTTACGCGTAACCAGACAATGGACACCTCGCTTCACGACAGCTGTGCTCGTCGTTGTTGGGAATTTAATTTGTTAGGTTAGAAAGCGACATCACATCTAAGGCTGGCTCCGATGATGTTGTCGATTTACGCTCCATGATCGCAGTCCTGGCCTCTGTAGAGAGAATTCATTATTCGGAATCATAGGAACGTGATTGCGGTTGACATCGGCGGACGTGCCATCTCGGAGGGGGCAACGTTTATATATGTGGAGTGTAACGCTCGTGCATCAGCGCCATCTTCGTTTTAAGAAATTCCGTTTCGCGAACTACATCACTCGACGCGATATTTCCCCCCACTTGGCGAACAGCGACTTTGGTCGACTCGTTTCTGTAAAAAAATGGTCTCTTCCTGTTTTATTTCGCTTTATTCCGTGATGCATTATGCTTTGTATTTCTTGCCCCTTAAACAATTGTTTCTCTGTGTCGCTCTGGTGAAATATCACGCTCAAGGTATCTCCTTCGACTTCCGCGCCACTTTCGTGGAACTACTGTAGACTCTTCCCGATTTAATTATCTATTCTAGCTTATAGGTGACTTACCAAATAGTCCTACCGTCCGCGCCGTTTATTTCCAGTTTATTTCTAACCTCTGCGCGTATTCAGTGTTCCGTTCCTAATTCTAGGCTGTGGTATTTTTTCTCGTCTTAGATTTAATTCCGTACAATGTCGACATCGATGCCGCACGTAGAATGGGATTTAGATTTAAGTAATGCTGGTCGTGGAGTGTGGCTTGTTAAAGTTCCTAAGTATATAGCAAACAAATGGGAAAAAGCTCCAGGCAACATAGAAGTCGGAAAGCTGAAGATAACAAAGTGAGAATTGTTGGGAAAATTTGTATTTCATTTTAATTTCATTTTATACGCGATTATGTATTTTCCTATATTAATTTCATTTGAATGTTTTCTATATTTCATTTCTGTTACACACTTTTAGAAGCCCTGGACAGAAAGCTGAAGTATCCCTTAAACTTTCAGAAGCAGTCTTAGCTCTGAAAGAGGTTGGAGAAGAGGATATTCCTAAACAACATAGGCTAGATGTTACGACGGTGACTCGTCAAACATTAGGCGTATTTTCTCACTTAACACGTTAGTTTTACATTGTTTGCTGCAATAGTGCCTTTCTTGATGTAATAGCAAAATTAATTGTCACTTTTATCGTATTTTCTGATTTAGCCGTAAGCAGTTCAGATGCGATTGTCCCAGAAACTGAAAAGCTATTTATGGAAGGAAGAATTGTACAGAAGCTAGAATGTCGTCCATATGGTAAGTATACTAAAGATTAATGTTATGAAAATTTCATAATTCAAAATTCATGGTTTTAGCGGATACGTGTTACATGAAGTTGAAATTGGAAAGTATAAAGAGAGCATCGGTACCGCAAAGGCAAGTTCAACAACTGGATAGGGTGGTGCACAACTTTAAACCAGTATCAGATCACAAGCACAATGTAAGTTCTTTACATTTACAATGTAAAGAATACTTCTAGTAAATGATTATTTTCCAGATTGAGTATGCAGAAAAGAAAAAGGCTGAAGGTAAAAAGATGAGGGATGACAAGGATGCTGTGATGGACATGCTGTTCGCTGCTTTTGAAAAACATCAGTATTATAATATAAGAGACCTGGTGAAAATTACCCGGCAGCCTATCGTAAGATACTTTCCATCATGTTGTATGTTATAAAATTATTTCTTAATAACCTCAACTTTTATTTAACGATTTTAGGTTTATTTAAAGGAAATCTTGAACGAAGTATGTAATTATAACTTAAAGAATCCTCATAGAAATATGTGGGAATTGAAACCTGAATACCGACACTACAAAGATGACGACAAACCTGCTGAAGGCAGTGCATCAAAGGCTGACGACTCTGACAATGACTAATTGTCATTGATGTATATTTATACATATATATTTACTGCACATACTAGATAATAAAATATAAAATTAATTTTAAGACTCAAAAATTGCAACAGATTGTAATAAGAATTTAAGACATTTTCTAAGGCTGTGTATTACATATTTTTTACAGTTAAGTATGAAATTGTCTATACATAGATGACTGGCTAAGACAGGAAGAATGGGGTTTGTAAAGTTATTGACATTTTAATGAAGGTAATTTATTATTCTACAGATCTTAACATTACATGCACTCAACATTTTAGGAAATATGTTATCTGCTGGTATCAGGTACTTATTTTGTTTGTGCTTCACCACATGCACAGACATTTTATTATAAATATAAACATAATTCTACCTCTATTCACAATACATACATATAACAATTATCGATCTTGGTTGTGGACTTTTCAACCTGCAAATGCACAGATTGAAATAGTGGAATGTATATGAAGCAAATATATTATTTATGACTGATATAGATATTAAAATATTGAACAGTGGGATGAATTTAAAATTCCTAGCAAATTGAAATGAATGATGTATTATTTTTGCTCCTTGTGTAACAATTCAATCACACGTTCTCGTTTGTACATATATCTTAGTATTTTATACACATGATCGTGATACTTGTTATAGTTTTTGGAAGATTTATCTCATTCTTGTAAAGACTAGAAAACATTTGCAATTCAGAATAGAACTACCATTTTAGGTTACCATTAATTAAAGGAAACTGTCTATGGATTAATATTATTATAGATATGTGAATGTTATTTTTTGTGCATTGGACTAAACCTGTTTTCACTCAGACCAGGAACTCTGTACATACTGTACTTCTTTCTTTTGTTGTCAGTGTCAGGTTCGACAAACAAATTTTTGAAGGCATGAGTAAACAGCACCATCTTGAAAATACGATGATACTTGATACTAGACGATTTCAACTATTATTTCAGGATCGAATATATCTAAATTTTAAATAGAGTATGTTTAACACATTCTCAAACATTCGCTAAGGCTTGGAACATTAACATAGGATGACATCCGCACAAGACTTTGATGTTCACTTTTTCATAAGCAGGGATGAATAATACCGAGCCACGATTCAAAATTTTTGAAGGCCCAATTTCTGCTTTACCATTAATTATTATTAATATACTTGCTGTACTTCGTGGAATCAAATCGTACAAGGCTCGTCCAGGCGGGATCTAAAATGATTGTCAATGTATTAAACAACAGTAATTTAAGAGTATACAGAAAAAGGATTTTTTGACAAGCTTACGGTAATTTTAGCGACTGCAAAGTCTGGAATAGGCGGACGAAATATTTCTGTGCACTCATCTTCACGGGATGGTTGAAATCGTTTTTTAGATGCTGATTCATAAGTGTACGACAACATGTGTAGCAATGTTGGAACATCTTTTAGTTTTGGTGTCAATCCTGCACGAATCACATTATCTGAACAGGCCATGCATTCCACACAATCTGCTCAAATTAAATGTTATGAGAAAATCAATACTAAACGAAAAGATATAATTTCCCTGAGGCAGAAATGATATTTTTTACCTCCGGACAGATAAGCATGAGGTTCGTTTGCTCCAAGGTATATGGCCTCTCCAGGTTGCAAATTCATATAATTGAAAAAATATATTCCGAAACAACCCACATCTTTTGGATACTGTAAATGTAAACGCTCCAGTAGACTTGCATTATAAAGTTGTCTCGTCGATTCATCTGAAACGGTAGTTGTGAAATTTCTAGTAGAAGATAAAGAGTAAATGACAATAGTAAAAAAGGACAAAAATAGTAATGATATTTATGTGAGCCACTATTGTCTTACCCAATTTTGATACTCTAGTAATTAAATTCTTTAACTGTGCAGCTATGGTATCAGGATTGCATGTCATGAGGCCTCGGAAACAGTTTTTTAAAGCAATGTGTAAACCTGCCTCATCTGTCGTAGTAAGCTGAAGTGCATTATTTTCACCTACTACTACACGAAGTTCTGATATAGTCACTAAATATTGTTTTATTTCTGCTATTGGACGGAATCCACAAAGCGCTTCAAAAGGTGTAAGGGCTATAGCAAGTTCTGGTTTATGGTTTGAATCCTTATAAATGTCGGGATGTGACTTGTGTAAGAGCTCCGCATGAGCCTATAGTCAAAGTGACAAGAATATTGTAAAACATTTGAATCGGTTAAAGATGAATGAAAAGTTAATGATCTAAACTCTACCTTATCTGGATGCGCTTGAATTGAAAGAGCTTTATTCACAGACAGAACCTTAAATAGAAAAGGCAACCGAGGACCAAAATGTTTTTCAACAGAAGGTCCAAGAACGTTTGTATTTTCCCTGATATATTCGTCCAAAGTTTTCTCAGGTTTATGCTTTAAATAGGACGGGCCATTCGGATGGGTGCCCATCCAAAGTTCGGCATAACGCTTCTCCTCGTCTAAGGTGAAGTCAGAATTAGCAGCTTTTGCTAACGTAGCAACGGTACTGTCGATTCCAAGTTTGCCCCATTCATACGTTTGAATCGAGCATTTCAATTCCATCGCTACAAGGTTTCTGTAATAAAAATAATAATATTTATTACGTGCTACAAGACTCATGAATAATGGAAAAGGAAGAAATTAATTTTGTGAACAAACATTACATCTTACTTATCCGATCAAGAGATTTTCTTACGCACGAATATTCAAAATAGGTTAAGGAACGTGTGAGTTCTATGAAAAAAATAATCAATGTGTACAACGCATCGAAAAGTCACTTTTAACTTACCGGCTCGAAACTGGTCGAAATTCTATAACATTCTATAAAATCCCATATGGACTTTTCATTGCTGACGTAAGATACCGTTTGGATGTGAACACCGGCGATTACTTTCGCATAGCCATTTTAACACATCGCCTCGCTATTGGCTCATTTTGACACGAGTAGATATAATCACACGCGATGGCCAATGACATTACTTCAAGCTGTAATGTGTCACTTCGTGCCTTGAGCCTTTGCTAGGATACCATAACCTTCATTCGTGACACGCGGTGACAAGATCTGCTTAAATTTGCGAATGGTCTGTTATAGTTTCTGACGCACCGCAACGCAAAAACTCTTAAGGTCGAGAAGTAATATTTTTCAAGGAAGTTGAAATATCTTAAAGAAAATCATGGCAACTCCTGATTACAAAAAAGTAACTCACTGCATTTTTGACATGGATGGGCTTATCTTGGGTAAGCAAGATTTTTTCAATCTAAGATGACGTGGAAATGACCATTACGTTCAGCTTGAGTTATCAAGGGCAATAATCTAAGTTTTATACAATGTGTACTTTGCTTCTATGTCTTGATTTCTACATGGAATAGCATTATTTCAGATCGAATCACGAGCTTAGATCTACCACTTTCATAACTTTCTAGATCCATTATGATGGATGAATACACGTGTGTATATGAATGTATCATTTATCGCTCATACTTGTATGTAATGTATTTAATTTACAAGGTCATAATGACAAAAGCATGCCTAAATCTCTGTACTGTGAATACTTCACACAGATACAGAGAAATTATACACGGAAGCCTTCAATAGCATTATTAGGCCATTTGGAAAAGAATTTACTTTGGAGCACAAAGCCATGACCATGGGATTAAAAATTCAAAACACGATATGCAGAATTATCGAACTCTTAGAGTTACCGATCACACCTCAAGACTTTACGGAGCAATTTAGCAGCATTGCAAATAAACTCTTTGCGGACTGTGACTTAATGCCAGGTAATTTAATTTTAAGAAATATTTTACGTCCAATTGTAGTTTATACGGTTATATGATCTTGGCAAAATATTTAATATAATTCGGTAAGTACTGCATTTTTTTACTTAGGTGCCGAGCGTCTTCTGCGGCATTTGAAGCAGAATAATGTATCCATTGCATTAGGCACAAGCTCCTCTGTAGACAGTTATAAAATCAAATCGAAGAAATGGAAACACATCTTTGATTTATTTGATCACAAAGTATTTGGGGGCAGTGATCCTGAAGTTGTTCAAGGAAAACCACATCCAGATATATTTTTAGTTGCTGCCAAACGGTTTTCGGACAACCCAGATCCGTCAATGGTTTGTTATTTACTAGATTAGTCGGATACATTTTTTATAAGAGTACACAAATGAATTAGACAATTTCTGAGTAATAAGAATAATCTCAGGGTATTGAAGACAACACGAGAATATTTTTTTTTCAGTGCCTTGTTTTTGAAGATGCTCCAAATGGGGTGGAAGCAGCGGTGAGAGCTGACATGCAAGTGGTTATGGTACCGGATCCAAATTTACCAAAATATTTAGCAGAAAAAGCTACGTTGGTTCTTAAAAGCTTAGAAGATTTTAAACCAGAACTATTCGGACTACCACCATACACAAAGTAACAGTACATATAGGAGAATTTTGTAAAATTTCACTTATGTAAATGATGGATTCGTAAATGTGACAGAGAATAAAGTAGCAACTGTAAAATTGTTAAACATATTTCACATTATATTTTAAATAAGCCGGCGGTCTGACTGCCGTAGACAAAACAGAGATATCCTTTTGAGAAACAGCATTTTATTGAAATACTTAAATTATTTCATAACTAAATAATTTATGATACAGGAGTATTGAACATCTTAAGGCTCAGGGTTGGCTAGATGCAAGTTGCTGTACCTGTCCCAAAATTTCCTCGGCATTTAAATTTGACAAAGAAACGCAACGCTCTTTTCCATAATCTGCAAAACGACGTTACAATTTATATCATTGTTCCAACGATTATAAAGGTAAGTTAATAGAATTTAGTGTACTCATTCCATTAATTATACCATGTTGTTAACATATATGTCCAAGTAATCATTGAAGTATATCTATTACATACTTGTGATGTAATAAACTTACCGTAACGCGCGTACAGCTTCGGTTCAATTAAAGAACATTCCCTAATTAACACTGGAAATCGTGGATTGCATTTCTTAAGTGGAACATAGTGCTGCTGGACAAAATCTCTGAAAATTATCTCAAAATACTACATCTGCACATAACCTATAAGTGAAATCTACTCAGGCAGAGGTATCGATTAAGAAATACCAGGAAATATGCAATTATTAATTTCTGTTATTACCTTACCTGACTCCTTGACTTGACTTTGAAGTCTGACATAGAAGTATTCTTAATTCCTTCAAGTGCGCCCCAAATTTCACCGATGCCATCTTGAGAAGCTTCTGCTAGATTCGCTTTGGTTACTACCAGCGTCATGCGAGTCATTAATTAAATTTTTTTCTTTTTCCCCGAACAATCTCAGTAAATGAACTTTTACATTTTTTTTTTAACAGGTTAGACATTTTTATCAATTAACAGATTCATAACGTACTTAGAAATGAAGAAATATATTCGAGTAGATGCAATTCCAGAATTGGCGCGAACATTGATCATTTTAAATTTAATCACGATTGGCTCTGCAGACATTCGACGTCGACACGAAATCCTCTGCCGATTGCAAACTTCACTCAATTTCGGCCTCCAAAAGAAATGAAGTCACGCTAATAATTCCTCGGTAAAAATGATTCTAAATTAACGAAATAAAAAATGCTCTTTCGGTAAAAAAAAAACGCAAAAGTAACGTAACGAACCCTTTGGGAAAAGGCTCCTGACGAAACGTTATGAATCAGCCTCCTCTCTTCGATCATCATTTTCCCTCTTTCGTCAAGGAGACATATAATAACCAAGTAGACGTTTATTGGTATAATCGGGATTTTTCGCAAAGTCGATATCCTCCGGGGCAAGAAGGTGAATACATTATTAAGTCCTTCCTACGTGCGTTTACAGTATCATCCTTGGAGTACTTGGGAACGATAATTTCTCTAATTTGGAATTCGGATGTTCATCGCCCTGTGCCCAGAATTACTAACATTTAAGCTTGTTTAATCAATCCCTGGATTTTCAACATGGCGACTTTGAAACATTTCTTTTTTAACTTGACGATGCTCGCCCATAGGTTTCATTAATTTTGGATTTCTCTTTCAGTCAGCGAGGCCTGCACTTTGATATGCTTGCTGGTGGCCCAAAGAGTAAGCCAAACGGGCTTATTGATATGGGACGTGGGAAGTCTTCATGGACTAAACATCATCATAGCGGAAGCGATTTGCGAGGGCAATGCCACTCATGCATGGATTTTGAGAAGAGGACTCATTCCACATCCATACCTGAACACTGCAGAAGCTTTAAAATACGGAGGCAGGAGTCTGAAGACCTTGAAAGAATGGGTAGAGAAATTAAGATCTACGGTTTCATCTTTATAATAGGTTTATGGTAATTAATGTAAAATAATCCGTGTATAGAAATTCCGCGTGTATTACGAAGACATAGCGGTAGGGTTATACCGCAATGTAAAGAGCTTCTTGCACGAGTGGTACGAGAATCCCAAGTCGGAGAACCTCTTTATGCTGCTCATCACCTGCGGGCGCACGATCCTCTTCATATTTCAAGAGCAAACTTACAAGGTCTGAAAATAATTAAATTGCTGTTTCATGCGGTGAGATTAATATGTTAACTTCCTTACGTTCAGATAACCCTCTTCGATTCTCACGGGCACAGCACCCTAGAAAATCCCCATCGGGGCTTGGTGATAGCTCAGGTGAGGTAACAGGAAAAATAATTAATGATTCGGCATTCTGCAACAAAAGGACGTATAACGATTATTTTGTAGACAACGGTAGATCATCTGGGGCAACTATGCGAGTGGTATGTAGAAGTTATCCTAAACGATTGTTATAACATGGAAGCGGACCAATACGAGCTGGCATTTCTGTATGATCATCGGGCTATCAGTTGTGGTTACAGTGATCCTCCTTGCGAATGTCGCCGATGCTGCAAAAATTGACTACGAGCAATTGATTATTACACTGTATAGTATTTTGATATATAAGGCACTGTCAATTGATCTTACGTGAATAAAATAACGGCAGGAATCTTTTTCTGAATGTACACGACGAAATTGATTAGGGCACAAACTGGTAAATAAGATACACGATGCTGCAATTATTTGTCACCGTTTTTTTCTTTTTTTTATTCGAACCAGCCAAGTGTATATGTAATATCATGACATCTTTTATTTACATAATATACAGCCTCTTCTAGAGTTCTTAAATGTCTATTTATAGTGCACGCAATTCTGAAGGTGTGAACTTTCGAAAAAATATCTGCCATTCTTAAAATCAAGTAGAAAGTATGCGCTGTTTAAATCTTTTGATAATGTCACATTTGAACCCGTACCTTAAGATAAATATATTGCCTAGGAATTACATTTTTCAACGATTTTCAATCAGCTTTTTTTATAATAAAATATAAAGAATTCTTCTTTAAATACTTCGTTTAGTGAACAGTGATGCTTTGTTTCGCAGCAGCATTTCACTATATTCTTGTTATACGTGTGAAACTACATTTTGTGTTTATCTAATAAAACGTATTGTAGGGGCGAAATATTTTCTTTCGTTAAGATACTTCATACTTCTTAAATATCTTCTTGTGAAAGTTTCGAATCATTTTCCTTAAACGATAAAAATTTGATAATCGGTTTTTCCCTAGACTCGATGACAGTTGTACATACAGTAAAATGTTTCTTATTTGCTTATCCTTTTCTTGTCATCAACCGATAAGTCATGTATGGTACATCATTTTTCATTAACCACTAATCGCAACACGATACAATTGAATAGGCAAAACAGAACACTTATAAGAGTTTGATAATAAAGTGTATACATGTTAGAATCTATAACGACCAGAAATAAAACTCGAAAGATATATTTGTAAAAAAACTTAATTTATTTTACCTATGGTCTCTAACTTCTGGGAATTACAATATAAATACGAATATTCTATAATGTATAAGTGAAAACAAACCTTTCTCTTTCGCCGTTGTCACTCTCCAGACAATAAAAAATGACGAAATAAGGTGCTCATCATAATTGTAATTAAAACAATGAGCTTTCTTTTTCTTTCATTTGTTTGTATTTTACAAGTGTAATATTTTAGTGCTCATTTTTTCAGTAACGATTTCCAACAAAATAATCTCTAGCAGTTACTATCTACAGAAACGTTTATATTAATTTTATGTAGAAATTTTCTTCTCACCGTTTGAACAATCCGAAATTATGGGAAATGTGATTTACGTCCTCTCTCCGCCTTTAACAATGTTCTCAGTACACCTATGGTTACGGAGCAACGTTTTTAGATTCAGGTTGTTTTCCCAGAAAACTCCTTTATACGCAACGAATTATTGTGCTACTTCAAAATAAAATATAGTAGTTTATTAAATAAAACTCATATTTATGCCGTCATCTGTCAGTACTTAAGTGGCGAAACTTCCTTTTAAGCAAATCAACGGTATCGTATGTAAAATTTGTTGGTTGTCTTTAGCGAGCAATAACAATTTGCTAATAACTAAAGAGTCGTTGCGTACAAAGTGACACGTCACAGCTCCTACTAAACCAAATTAAACATTGGCTTTAGAAGGAAAATCACTCGCAGAGTATTTGCGATCTTGCAACGTGAATAAATAATATTCTCATGAGGGGAAATTACGATCGGTTAAAGGTACGTTGGAGAGATTGGCGAACCTGTGGTTGAGCCCATTCCACAAAATCATCGATTAGTACAGGCCATGCGCCCTCTTCATCGTAGTTACTCATTTCAGGATTTATCATCAAAGCAAAATCTAGGAGCAAATTCCACGTGTCTTTTGGAATTGATCTTTTGTGATGCTCCTAGAAATATTAATCATTGGAGCAAAATGGCTTTCGTTAAACACATTTATTTTTTAACCGTTTACAGTGAATTCAGCCTACCTGGAGAAACTGACACCATAATTGTAAAAATTTGAATTTATCATCTAGTACAATATTCCAATAAGCGATTGCCATGTCAAGTTCTAATCCTTTTTGTCCAGGATTTTTTGCATAATTGAACGTAAAGTGATAAAAATCTTTAAATTTTTGAGGGTCTCTCAGTTCACCCTCTAGACTATTTAATCGTGCTTTTAATTTGTCTATACTATCCACTCTGTAAAATTAATTCCACCATATTTTTATGCAATTGCAATATAGTTTTTAACAAGACTATCAAATTAATAATAATGAGTAAAAAGTGAAAACCACTCACCCCAAGTCTACCATGCCAGTCATGAACTCGTCTTTTGTGAATTCACACTGTGTTTCTGCTCGGAATTTCCATGCTATTATTAACACTAACTTGCTCTCGGGACTTAAGCCTAAATCATCTAAAAATTTCATGATACCATCTGCCATAATTTTGTCTGGTTCATTTGGATCTGTCGAATGAATCGATTGCGAGATGTTGCATTTATTATAGAATGGACCAATGTGAAATTAGTTCCACATGTAGAATCGATCATTAGGTTATTACCTTGATATCGGCTAAAGAGGACTTCTAATTTTTTTTTATCGACCGAGCTCTTCGGTTCCTTGTAATACGCTTCAGGATTCTGAAAGTAATTATCACTGGCTAAGTCCAATTTCCAGTCATTTTGTGTTAGGCAATATATCGCCGTCTGTTCTCCAGTTTGAGTGAAGGTGATAAATTTCTTTACTTTGTCTCGTTGTGAGAACTTCAGTTTATGCTGTTGAAAGAAAACATTTATTGGTCATTCCATTAAATGTACTAATTTTAATCAGAACATTTAGAAGGTTCCTCTGTGTACTGCTGCAGCTAGTTGTCATAAACGATAAATGTACTTTTTCTGAAAAAAATTCAAGGATGTTTTCATGGTTTCGGAAGGTACATGTTTTTTTAATAGATTGTGGCATTTATTAATTCTGAAAATATTGTATGAATTTCACGTGTGAGAATAGGGAAAATCACTAGTATATCAAAACAAATAGGTTATTTGGTGGCTCCCAAAGAAGGATTTCTTGAGTGCACGATCACAGAAACAGCTGATTAATCCGTCGTCCCGTATACTCGCATTGCGAGCTCGATTACGAAAATTTAAGGAAGCTTACCATTTTAATTAATTTTAGGCCCCCGAAAGCCAAAATATTATTCCCCTCGCACTACACTTGACATGAATATGCGCATGTTCCATGCAGTTCCGTGTGGGACTTGAGAAAATGCAAATACATCGGAAAATACCAAATGAAGAATGCCGCTAAATGTTGCCAACATTCAAAGTAGCCTTTGACTTTCCATTGCAGCGCGATATTCGAAAATGAGATGAACAGTGTACGTATTTGTAAATATAAAATATCACCTCTCCGTTTGCTCTTTCGAAAGTTCATTTATTTACTAAATCTTTGTCAGAGTTTGTGGCATTTGTCAGCTGTATCTGCATGAGCCATTATTTTAACATAAAAGTTGTATGTAGAAATTCAAATTTCCCCCTGTGTCAGTTAACTCAAAATGGCGATTGGTACACTTTTCAGAACGCCAGAGCTTATATCTCTGTTGTGTGAAACTTTAATTTATTTTTCCACAATGAGGTGATGATACTGATTTTAGGATTAACAATGTAATCTACCGAATGAAACCCGTCGTTATGAGACATCACTGAAACTGTTCGAATGAAGGTAGTGATGGTCCTACCCTGTTTACGGTCTTGTGTATGCCCACAGTTATTATTAACCTTTATATCAGTTTCCCTCAGATTAGCTGCCAGGTATAATTCTTTCCATTCAACCGAAAAGCATGTGAACTATAATACCTCATCATGGTGGGCACTGCATTTGAAAGTAATTCATTGTACCATCATATTGGAAATGGTCGAGAAGTCTGGCATTGGGCAGCGCACGTTAAGTTATCAAGAATAATTATACTCATGACTGCAGTTTTATTTATTGTACCACTATTCACGCATTACTATTTGTCTAAGGTACGTTTTTATTATTTTGAGCACAAGTGAAATTTTTATGTCAAAGAATTTTTATAAAATATATTTGATTCTATCATTGCAATAGGTTGAAACAGATTCTTCAAATTTGGATAATCGCCATACCCATTCAAAATTGGAAGCATTTGAAGATTTTACATCTATGAAGGCAGCAGATCTGAAGTCTCGAATAGAAGAAATGCTACGAATTAAAGTATCGGTGAGCAATGAACTCCGAGATCTTGAGGCAAAACGCCAGAGATTACAGACGGAAGTATCCAGTTTTACGCAAAGAATTGACGAGTTAAAACTGGAACTATTGCACCAGCAGACGGAGTTAGATCGGCTGAAAATAAGTATTGTCCAGGCACAAGCTGCTCAAAAAGAAGCCGTCGAACGTAATACACCTGAATTAGCTCCTCCCAAAAGGATATTAATTAATTCAGTTCCGGTCGTGCCTTCCATATCTGATCCTCGTCCGTGCAGGATGTTTAATTGCTTCGATCACAGTCGCTGTGCACTTACGAGTGGCTTTCCAGTTTACCTTTATGATCCTGATCAATTTTCTGTGGTTAATCTAGGGTGGGATGTTGATGGATTTTTAAAAACAACAATAAAACAAACATTAGGTGCGTATTTTTTAGAATTTGCATATAAACTTGTAACAGTGACATATTTTTTGTACAATTCGCCCTATTACCGATGGGAATGATTTCAGGCTATAATCCACATATAACTACAAACCCAGCTGAAGCGTGTATTTACATAGTTTTAATTGGAGAAGCTCTTTCCATTCAAAGACGACGGTTTCCAAAGTCTTTAAAGCCAATCGATAATAAAAAACTTCAGTCTCTCCCGTATTGGGGTGGTGATGGCAGAAACCATATTTTATTAAATTTGGCACGCAGGGATCTGTCAGTTGATTTAGGAAATATATTTGATGGTACAGATACTGGAAGAGCGATGCTAGTTCAATCAACATTTTTTAGAAACCAATTTCGGGAAGGATTTGATTTAATTGTGCCTCCCATACTGGGACCACCTGGAGGTGACGTGTGGCAAGAATGTGCTCAAATGCTTCCTGCTAGAAGAAAATATTTATTATCATTTCAAGGCGAAATGAAGCCAGCAAAGAGTCCTTCCACGCCTCATGAAATTGATGATGCAGAGGTGGATCTAGAGAAATTAGCAGTGGACGAAAATAATTTGGATAGTTTTATTATTCAGCACTTGAAGGATATGAGTTCTGGAAATATTTTGGATAAATTTTTTATTCAGTTTGAATGTATACCTGCCTCGGAAGAAAGGAAGACGGTTGAATTGCCGGATTGGTCGCTCTGTGGCATTGATTCTTCGAGAAAAGCAATCTTGAAAGACTCAACGTTTGTTCTTATTCTTGCTCCAAGTAATGTCACTTTTTTAACAACCTCGTCCATGCAAGCGAGATTGTACGAAGCACTGAGAGCAGGAGCGATACCAGTAATTCTAGGTGGTGATCAAATTTTGCTTAGTTTTAATGAAGTTATCGCTTGGAGAAGAGCAGTCATATTTTTGCCTAAGGTACTGTCCTTTTGCCCTAAATTTTCTATATCGTCAATTTTTTATTGGATACATATTCTCTTCATTAGGCCAGAGTAACTGAGATGCATTTCTTACTGCGTGCCGTGCCAGACAATGATCTACTATCGATGCGTAGGCAGGGACGATTAATTTGGGAGCGTTATTTGAGTACTGCTCAAGGTATCGTTGACACAATCATTGCTTCGGTAAGGGACAGACTTGGAATACCTCCTTTACCAGCACCTCAAACTCCCAGTCCAAGTGTATTCAATGAAAGCTTTATTGTGAGTACTTTTTGAAACGTATGTAATTAAATGTGAATCAAATGCATATGAAATAATATTTATATTGCTTCAGCCTTTGAAAACGGACACTATCATTGCTGAACCGGATGGAGAGGAGAGTTTAGGGCCACTGGAACCTCCGTACTCCTCACCCTCTTTCCGAAGAAATTACACCACTATGTTGGTACATGGTCACCAGATTTGGAACGATTGGATGGATCCATTCAATTTATATCCTCAACTCCCTTTTGATACAGTTTTACCTAGTGATGCAAAATTTCTTGGTAAGTCGAGGAATATCGTTAATATAATGAAGATGTACCAAGTTGTCAGGAGTATTAAAATATGAATAATTTAAAATGATAGGCTCTGAAGTTGGATTTCGACCAATTGGTCGAGGAGCTGGAGGTGCAGGCAAAGAATTCAGTGAATCTTTAGGAGGAAACTACCCACGAGAACAATTTACGATTGTTATGTTAACGTATGAAAGAGAACAGGTTCTCATACATTCGTTGGCTCGCCTTTATGGTTTACCATATTTAAATAAAGTTCTAGTTGTGTGGAACAGTCCTAGACCACCTATGGAAGATCTTAGATGGCCTGACATTGGTGTTCCGATACAAGTATATTTTAATCACATTTCTATAATATTTAGGTATAATGGTCTATTATACTGACTTTACAATTTCAGATTATAAAAGCTCCAAGAAACAGTTTAAACAACAGATTTCTGCCATTCGATGCCATTGAGACAGAGGCTGTACTTTCTGTCGATGATGATGCTCACTTGAGACACGATGAAATAATGTTCGGTTTCAGGTATGAGAATACATAATTTATATTTGTACGATTCTAACTTTACAAATAATTTGAGCAATCTGCAACCATGTTCGATTTTAATTCTTAATTCAGAGTATGGAGGGAACACCGAGATCGTGTGGTAGGATTTCCTGGCCGTTTCCACGCTTGGGATCAGAATTATCATAACGCATGGAATTACAATTCGAATTATTCATGTGAGCTGTCCATGGTGTTAACGGGTGCAGCTTTTATACATAAACATTACACGTATTTATATTCGCATTGGTTACCACAAGCCATAAGGGACAAAGTTGACGAGTACATGAATTGCGAGGACATTGCCATGAATTTCTTAATATCTCATCTGACTAGAAAACCACCTGTGAAGGTAAAATTGTTAAATATTATTTTTATATATGTACACGTTATATCGTAAAAATGAAACGTCAGTTGAGATCGTGGAATATTTAAGACATTTCCCTTATTTGTAGGTGACATCACGATGGACGTTTCGATGTCCCGGATGTCCGGTATCGTTATCAGAAGATGATACTCATTTTCAAGAGCGGCACAAGTGTATCAACTTTTTCTCTCAGGTATTTGTTTTAATTATTTTATTTGTTTCGCTTCAATATTTTATCATATTAAATGAATTTTTGTGTGCATTAGGTGTTTGGGTACATGCCTCTTTTGAATACCCAGTACCGAGCGGATTCGATTTTATTTAAAACGAGAATACCACACGACAAACAGAAGTGTTTCAAATTTATATGAAGATATTAGTTGACGCTGCCGCTTATGTGGTCGGTGAGCACATTTACACATTTTTGGACATTTGGTATCTTCATCCAAATGAGGTTCTTCACATTCACACGTACTCATTTTCATTAACAACATTTTATAACTGATCACCGAAGCCTAAATGTTTACATAACGACTGTATGTATTGACAAATGAAAGACTGTTTTATTTAAACACGAAATGTGGACACATGTGAAGTGTCGTATATTTACTTGTGTAAGTATATTAGCGTTGGATGTGAAAAGTTACTCCGAATTACTTTGTAAATGACAACATTATTGTATTTATATTCATTCACGTTGACAGGTTTTAAAGAAAGGTGTTCAGTTTCGATTCGTAGTAACTGCTTACAGAGTGCCAAATTTATACGATTACTTTTTATCTTCATACTCCTTTGCTTCGATTGAAAAGTTTCATGGAAGAAATTTTTCCGGTAGACATTGCTAATTTATAATCTAGGTGAAAATTAACGATTGTATATATTTAAATCGTAAGTCATTTAAGTATCTTGCGTACTGTTTGCCAGATTTCCACTTAAAATTTTCGATTAAATTAAGTAGAACGTATCTGTACTCTTTAATGTCAGACTCGAAAGTCTAACCGATATTTGAAGTGGAGATCGTGCGAGTAACGTGTACAGAATTTTTAGATTTGTTCAGGATCGCGGGCAAAAGTGAATTTCTTTGATGTAAAATTCCTTTGCGATCTGCCAACGACCAGGCGTCGCTACGAGAAATGTCAGGTATTTTATGAGTCAACTTTTGGAGCACAGCAATGTGTAATTGTTTGCTTCTTTCACGTTTTGATATGTACATCTCACGTAGGCTGTTACAGATATATTTACTTCGCGTACCTGCTTATGTGAACTATGTTACGATCGTGGAGTGTCAGTGCACGGTTAGCAATTCTATATGTAAACGTAACATTTTTTGATCGAGTGTCATTTAATCAGATAAAATTCTTCGTCAATGACTGGTTCAAACGGAGTCGCTAACAAATGCACTTTCGAAACATTCCCCGTTTACTTTCCGTTAAATATATTTAATTGACACATATACGGAGGAACATTTGAATGTACGAAGTAAATCTTCAAGACGTATATATCGAAGCACGCATTGTATATATTTTAATGTCGTACCGAAGGAATCAATCGCTTACCATTTCTTCATTGACTACGGAATAATAATACCGTTAAGAAGTGGTAGAATACTTAGAGTAAATAGTACTTTCGGAGTACGTGTAATAAGTAACTAGTGGACCCACTGACTAAAGCCGACGGTCTCTTCGGTCGGCTGTAAACGCTGAAAGGAAACCTACTCCATTTTGACGTTGTATTTACTCGTGGATTTTCAACAGTGCTAATTTGTAAATAAATTTCTACCCCGTACAGAAGACAAGGAGATCTCGTTACTAATCTCGTCGTCGAAGGATATCACCGTCGAGGGAATAGAGCACGTAATCTTTGGCTTTCGATCCATCTCATCGAGGGATATGAAAATGATCTGCCAACCACCATTGGCGGGAACGGTAACCCTTGCCAGCCTATTTGGTGTACCCGTTTTTACGAGGCGCCAGATTGATGGCACCTGGACCGAAGCCAGAAACGCGATAGACGCGTTCCTTCGTAATCGATGCAATCCATAAAACCCGACTTTTTGCGTTATCAACGAGTGCAACGGGGGAGAGAGAGAGAGAGAAGAGTTTGATATTCGAAGTCGACGTGGGGTCAGCGAATGGTCGTATCTACTTAAACTCGAGTAATTCCCATTCGAGCGATTCGCTGTCGATCGTTTCCGATTCGAAGGTTGCGGCTTAACGGCACCCTTGCCGGGTGTTTCAAAGGTTCTCCGGTAGCATCGGTTTCGAGAGGAGAGCATCCGAAACGTGAAAGTAAATGCCGCCGAGTTTCGCGCAGCGTCCGATTGTTACTTAATCACTCCGCAAAGATGTCGCCACCGTGTCGCGATCGCCCCCGTCGTGTAATACGCGCGCTCTGAAAATGCCGAACACCGGGCATTTCTCCAAAGGAGTCTAAATTAGAAACGAGTAAAGTAACCGGCACGATGGCCGGTAAATAGTGCTAGATCGTCATCCGTATGTAAATTCCCTCACGGGCTTCGCCCCGGGGATTCGAAATTGCCGCCCCGGGGGGCGTTCGCCCCACGTCTCGGGCGCGCGCACGGGGCGGCGCGATTGGCCGATCTCCCGATCAATACTCTTCCTCTGGTGACGCTCGCGGCGGCGGGCGTCCCCATTGGCCGCGGTCTCCGCCGCATCCCATTATTTATTAAGACCGCACGGGCGGCCGATTTTCGTCTTTCCGCGACTTTCCGCCCCTAAAGCCACGTCCGCCGGAGCCTCGTCCCAGCTCGCGCGTCGTCCCCGCTCGGCCGCGACGCGCCCCCGCGCCCCCGCGAGCCGCGGTGCATCCGTCGAGGGTTCGGCGGGACTCGGTGCGACTCGGCCCCCAGGAGGATCCTGGCGTCGGGCCCGACGCCGCCGTCTCGGCCGTCTTGGCCGTGAGAGAGAGAGAGAGGGAGGCGGCCGGAGGGCGCGCGCTCGGCGGACGCGGGCAGACGCGGGCGGACGCGGGCGCGAGGAGGGTGGCCCCGGCGTCGCGCGCGCGTCGCATCGCAGCCGGGGCGGGGAGGAGGGAAGGTCGGAGAACATGGTGGCGCCGGCGAAGGCCTCGCGGTGTCGCTGGTCGCGCGAGTTCGCCTTCCACGAGGAGCGGAGAGAGTGACCGGCGGCGGTCGCAGCGGTCTCCGGTCGAGCGACGGTCGAGCGACGGTCGGGCGCCGACCGAGCGGAGAGTCGAGGGGCGGCGCGGGCGGTCGATGCACCCTCCGCGCCTCCGGGAGGCCGCGAGCTTAGGCGGAGGAGTCCCGCCCGGGAGCATGCCGGGACGGCGGCCACCCCGGCTCGGGCCGCGACGATGACCCGCCGGCTTTCCCCGGGCAGGAGCAGACGGGGCGCCGGATGACTCCGACCCGGAGACGCAGCCCCCGAGTAGTGGCCGTAGTAGACGCCGACCTCCGGAGCCATGGCCGACCTCCCCGACATGTCGCACCTCACCCCGGAGGAGAGGCGCATCATCGAGGGTGTCATGATGCGCCAGAAGCAGGAGGAGGAGCGGGAGAACGAGATCATGAGGTGAGTGTCTTCCGACTCCTCGCCGAGAGCCGGTCGGCCATTGCCAGCGGAGAAGCCCTCCACCCGGTCGATTCGGGACTCGTGGCCCGACTCGTGGCCCGGCCAAGGTTCTCCCTTGATTTCATACGGTAGATAATGCGATTCGGTAATAAGTGACTCGGATTTTAAATTGTGATAGTGTTTCGGTGCTTTCCAGCTGATTTCTAAATCATTCCGGGCGTTAAAATCCATTTCCTTAGTGAACACCCCCTCGTCTCGAGACCAAGGGAGTCCCAGGAGTGGACGGCGGCCCTCCCCGAGCCCGTGACTATTCGGGGCTCCGCTCCCCGTGAACGACGTCCGACGTTCCGGGCACCGGGGAGAAGTCGGGCACTTCGGCGGATCGCTGGCCCTCTCGGTTTTGCCTCGTTTCACCCTCGACGGGACACTGCACCCTTCCTCGTTGGCGAGGCTCATTGACGTCGGAGGTATCGATCGCCCGGGGAAACGACGGCGAGTCGAACGGCGGTACCGTGTAATTCGTAAAACCGCGGAAGAGCCGTTGAACGAGACCCTCGGGGCAGATCCGAGGGGTCCGGGAGGGATCGTCGTCGTTTTCGCACCCGGTGGAAACGGCGGAACGGCCCGTACCCCCGGAAGGGCTCCTAAAAAAATAGCCGACGATTTTTACCCCGAGTTGCCGGATATCAAGCCACGCCTTTGCCCCGCGGTGGAGTGCACTTTATTAGGCGAGAGGTGAAAACACCCCCGCGGCCTCTTTCGCGCTCGCGAGGGCGCCGTCCCTCCGGAAATTCTTGCCGCGAGGTCGCGAGATCCGCCGAGTCGGCCTCCACTTCGCGGAAAGGGGTTCCCTTTCCCGGGAAACCGGGAAATAATCCCGCGGTGGAGGGCCCCCCGCGTGGCACAAAAACCTCCCGCCGTTTACTTAATTTGGCGAGCTGGTTTTTAGGCTTAGATATACCTCCCCCGATTTTTCTTTTTATCCTCCCATTCTGTGGGAGAAAGTCACGATCGTCACCGCGTCGGGATTGCCGCGAGTGACGGTCGGCGGGGAAGAATACGCGGATGAGAAATGCCACCCGGGGGCTTTCGGTCTCTTTCTCCTTTTCTTTTTCTTTTTTTTTTCCCTCCGGAACGGGGAATCACGCTTTCTCGCCCTCTATTGGGATCGGCGGTACTCCGGAATGGGATTGGGATTAATAAATCCCATCCTGGCGCGACAGCGAGCACGTTGCTGGAATATCGTCACGTCGCCCGGAGATATTGGGGCTGCCGCCTTTCCCGGGCTAGGAACTTCCTCGCGGAAACGTTTCCGGCCCTGGGGAACATGCGCGGTGACGATTCCTCGGAGGAATTACATAGAATTTAATACGAACTCGCTCAGGTCTTTTTTGTATCGGGGAAACCGGAGGGACGAATTTCCGAGTGGAGGAGGAAACGCCTGGGCCGATTCCGGACTCGGTCCCGTCGAGAGGCGCGTTTCCGCGACGGCTCGATAAATCGCCCTCGAGGTGCCCCGAGGATTACTCGCACCAAGTAAATCCGAGCGTTGCTCTGCCAGGACTTAGCCCGGCGCGTCGATTAAACGGTCGTTGCCTCGATTTCGTCCAGGTTGAGTCCTCCTCGAGGATAAAGGGAGACTAATTTTCCTGCCAGGAAATTCCTGCTGAACGGGGCATCCGGGAAATATTCATGAACCCTCGAGATCTTCTTTCTTTTTCCACCCTCCGGCAAGGGGATTACTCGGCGCGGGACTCGCGATCCCATTTCTTGGCTTATCAATTATCGTTGCATCCGGTGCAATGGTCTCTCTTATTTTTTTATTTATTTTTTTTTTTTCGGTGATAAGGGACGTTTCGCGCGAGGGGGTCGTCCGGGGTCGGTTTACAGCCGGCCCCGTTGTCCTTGGGTGTGCCTTCCGCGTTCGGCGCCGAGCTTAAGGACTTGTCAGGGTGCCAACAACCCCTGGTGGTTCCTCGGGGTGCCCGCTCGCGAACGACCCGGAAAAGCTGCAGCGTGCCAAGGGTGTTCCAGGCTTTCGTCCCGGACCCGTCCTAACCCATTTGTCCTGGGCCCTGCCCCACCTCCTCGGTCCTCCTTTCCTCCCTCTACCCTCTCGTCCTCTTCTCTCCTCCCGGGAGATGCGTCGCCTCGGTTTCGATCCCTACCCTCTGACCGGCTCCGGTTCCCTTTTCCCGATTTTCTCGTCTAACCTCCCATGAAATAGAAAATTGCCCGAGCACCCGGGGAAATCCTCGATTTCGGGATCGGGTCTAGGAAGAGCCGCGATAGTCGGTATCGCGGAATCGAGGGTGCTCCGTCAACATCGCCGCCCTGTTTGCAGTCGAGATGTGCAACGCCCCACCGGCGAGAATTGATTCCCGGAGTAATTCCATTCCAGAGACCCGGGGCTGATCGCCGGTCGACTCGTGTTGACTCTAAATGTCCAGGGATCCGATTCTCGAGTTCGTGCGATCAACTTTCCCCCGCGAAATTTCCAGTTCCGCGTACAACTATCAAATGTTGACCAATGTCGCGACCCCCCAACCGTGCGAAAAATTTTCTGCTAATTTATTCCTGTGAAAAAAAAAAGATTCTCGAGTTCGTGCGATCAACTTTCCCCCGCGAAATTCCCAGTTCCGCGTACAACTATCAAATGTTGACCAATGTCGCGACCCCCCAACCGTGCAAAAAATTTTCTGCTAATTTATTCCCGTGTGAAAAAAAAATTTGTGCTCGCTACGAAGTCAACATTGGTCAACATTTGGATGTCGTATGCGAAACTCTCAATTTTGCCCGTCAATGTTAATCGTGCATGAAGAATTGCAATGGATGAAATTTTCAACTCGAGGGAGGACGGTGTTTCTTCCTCCCCTTTTCGAGGTTTTTCCTCCCCTTGTCGGAATCGGCGGTTCTACGTCTCGCGATCGCGAGGTCCAATTTTCCGGGCCTGTCCACTTTCGAATATCGGCCCGCCAGTTTTCCAGGTTGTCGGCGGCCGGTCGACACATTTCCATCATGTAAATGCCGCCCTCGTCCCCTTTTCCTCTGACCGTAGTCGAGACTCGACCGTGTAGGACAGGATGCCAAGAGGGTTCCTGGCTTCCCTCTTGTCGGACCGATCGGGGGATGCTGGGCAGACTCTCTTCCCATCTTGCCGACGGGAATGCAAATCCCGTGCACGCCTATTTTGGGTTCGGAAGTTGCGCCGAGGTTCCCACGTTTATCCGGTCTCTTTCTTTCCTCGTGATTTTTTTTTTCTTCTTCAGTTTCTCGACGATCATCCCCTCGAAGCTGGACGAGGAGGTGCGATCGCGTCCGTTTGCCCCTAGGAGAATTTTTTGGCACTCCCCGGATCGGTCCTGCGGAACGAGAAGCGGTTTATGCGCGTATATTAAATCCTCTCGCAATAATCCCCGGTTGATACTCTGTACGGGCGGAATACGTATACGGCCCGCGACCTCCCTCTGTAAACTCGCGCCGGGGGTAAATGTCTTCGGGCAAAAGAATCAATTTATCCCGATTGAGGGATGTTTTTCAATTCGCTTTCCGTCGGACCGTCCGCGCGGCGGCTAATTGGATGGCTTCGCTTTTTGCTTTTGTCGGGAGACAATGGGGCGCGCGCCGAACGGGATCGGGGGAGGGGATCCTTTATCCGGGGTGAAAATAAAATATAACAATAACTGGCCGAGGGAGAGAGAACTCCGACGTGTCCTCCGCTGCATACATCAACGCCTGGCCGAATTATTTATCGCAAAGTGCTCTCGCGTTGGCGGTTCTGGGGAGTTCGAGGGGGGTCCCTCTCGCGATCGGTCCCCTCTGGACCGCGGGGGGTCTCCCGACGACCGATACGGGATTTCTTGGCTCCGGCTCGGTTTCTCGGTTCCTGGCGCGAGAACGGGAACGAGGTCTCGGGACGTTGGCACGGATCGCGGGATAGATCGGCTTTTCGGGGAGATTTACGAGGGCGGCGGAACGTTAAGACGGCGGAGCCGGAAACTCCGAGCCCCGGAAGAGTTGCGTCCTGGTCAGCTGCACTTTAACTCCGACCTGGGCGAGACCGGGTCGAGTCGTCCCCCTGGAACGGGATTTTCTCCCCGAAAATAGGGGAAATCCTGTCCACGATGCAAAGGGAGCCACCGATCCCGACGTCGCGACGCCCCGATGTCCTCGGAGATATCCGGGGCCTGCCTCCTCGCGTTAACCTAAAAAGTCCGAGCTGTCCATTTCCTTGATTAAAGCGGATCCTTTTTCCTCGGGCCTCCGAAAGGAGCTGCCCCGACCTCGACCTGGTCTCCGGGACCGAGGATCGAGATCCACCCCCGGCTACGGGGGATCGATCTATCGGCGCTCGATCGCCTGACTTGACGACCCCCTAGAAAAATCGGACGCAAACTCGACCCCCCTTGCAAATTATCACCCCGACATGTTAATTCGACCGTACGTCAGGACGATCATCCTTTCATCCGTCAGCGACACCACGGGCGATAAATCCTGCCGAATTCCCGAGTCCACCAGATGAGGTCCTGAATAATTGCCGGGCGTTCCCCTCGATTTTTACCGAGTTTAAAGCTCGTCCTGGCAGTCGGGATTTTCTACGGACAAGGGGGCATCCGCTCAGGATATCATGGATTTTAGGGCTCGAAATCCCGGGAAGATCAGCTGGAAAATTTGATATGTTATATTTTTAATTGTTAATTATCATATGAAATGATAGGCAATCGGTTTTACTGATTTCCGAGGGGGTAGCTCCCCGAAGGGGACGGTAGATAGGTGTTTCCGGGGTATTGGAAATCTTAATGGCCGACTCCTGTTCCAGGCGCAAGCAGGATGAAGTCCAGATCCTAGAGGAGACGATACGAGCTCGCTCCGAGAAGCACAAGAAGGCGGGCGTGGAGCTGGACGCCACGTGTCACATATGTCTGAAAACCAAGTTCGCCGACGGTGTCGGCCACATCTGCGACTACTGCAACATCCGGTGCTGCGCACGCTGCGGAGGAAAAGTGACGCTGCGCTCGAACAAGGTACGGGAATCCGCAGGAGGGAAATCCCCTAGGCAGGGTCGGCTTCGAGGCCAAGGAACCAGGGTCTGGAGTCAATCGACGAGATCTCTGATCCGAAGGGAAGATTGCGGGAAAAACCGCCCCGAAAATCTGACCCTGCTGCCCGCGCGATCAGCTGATCGGCCGGTCAGCCGGAGACGATGAATTCTCCCGGCGAATTTTCCGCCGCTTCCTGGCGGCGATCTGAGAAAAATGGAGGGCAATATCTTCGCCCGGGCGACCCCTTAATCGTTAATCACCGCGGCGCAGTGGATCGAAATTAGCCGGCAAGACTCGTCGTTAGCGAGCGACGCCCACGCGGGCCTTCCGTTGGGCCACGGCGCGGCCCAACGGAAAGCGTCGAGGTTTCCCGGGAAAAGATTAAGGTCTCCCCCCTGCGGACTCCCGGGGGATGATATCATCGGGGCTGTATCTCCTACGTGCGCGACCGAAATACCTGGAAATCATCGACTCGCCCTCCCACCGCGCGGCCCAATTAACCCTTATCGCTAATGTTTGCCACCGGTGGGCGTAATGTCGTCACTAAATTGACCCGGTCCGCCCCCGACCCCCCGCGGGGAGGCCTCGGTCCGCGACTCGCGACTCGCTCTCGTTCGATGTCAATGTCGCGCCCGCGAGTTACGCCGCCCTCGTCCAATATGGAGATTGGATCGCCGTTCCTTCCCGGGCGGACACTCTCCAAGGGTGACGCGAGAAGGGTAGGACTCCGAAAACGGGGGATAGGATCCTCCTAGGGGGAAATCCCCCGGAGTCGATTCTCGCGACTCCTCGGGCGACCGAGTCGATCGGTCCGGTTTCCGGTAATCGGAGGAAGGCCTCGGTTTCGCGTTGCGGGGGTCTCACCCCCGGTGCGTGGGAGCCCATGAATGGGGCGCGTCCCTGCGTGACGTCACCGAAGACTCGGAGGGTGGAAACGCGCCGATGCTCCGGGCGGCGGCCCGGGGGGCGGTGGGTGGCGGGAGTGGCGGTTGCTCGAGGAGAACGTGACGCAACATATTGATCAATGTTTGACCGGCGGGCGGGGCAGGGGTGGCCGAAGGGAGGATGGAATACGGGGCATGTAGGCTGCCTCCTCGTCGCTTCGAGGGGAAGTCGGGCCAGATGAAACCTTGACGGAAAGAAAACGGAAACGTCCGCGTCCGGCGCTCCTCCTCTCGGCTCCGATTACGTATCGGGCTATCGATCCCCGATGGTCGACCCTCGAGGTCGATGCGAGCCCGACGGTCACGGGGGTAGCCAGAGTTTTCGCCTCTCGGGGCCTTTGGGGACGCATCCGAGGATGGTTCCGGAGATGGCGGTCCGGGTCGGGAACCTTCCTCGACGGTCAAGGGTCGCGAGGGGTTGATTCGACCTGTCGAACTCCGTCGATCGCCCCGGCCTCTCGTTCTTCCTGGGGAATATCTTCCCCTGGCTATCGGTTATCGATTCTCGCTCGAGCACAGGGTCATCGATCTCCTCGTCGGCGGATTTTCTCCGCGTCGTTTGACGAGGGGGTCGTCGAGATTCGGCGCGTCAAAGGCCGCGACTCGGACGATTTGCGATCGATCCGCCCGCGATCGAGCTGATTTTCGACCTCCTCGAGGGATCCTCGCCCTCGAGGTTGCCTCGCCGGAGGCGGGAAGTGCCCCGAGGCCCAGAGACGACGGGAAGGAGACGTCTGCGAGTGACGCTAATTCTAACGGCATCGAGCTCCGGAGAGGAAACTCCTCTCCTCGGGCGTCGCCAGCGTCTCGGCAACTTCGACGCCCTCCGCTCTCGCGATCGGCCCCCCGGAACGAACCGGCTCGTCCCAACTTGGCTCCGACTCGGTCCAACTTCCCCGAGGCTGGAGACGCTCTCCTCCGGTCGACTCGATTTTTCAAATCAGCCCTCGTCGATTCGTCTCTTCCCCCGTTTCTTGGATATATATCTTCTTCGGCTCCTCTCGAGGACCGAAACGTCGGGGGGGGGGGGGGGCGGGCAACGCTCCCGGGCGCTTCTCGCAGGATTTCCCTCCCCCGACTTGGAGTCTTAAATAATTAATTCTCGTCCGGAGGTCCTGGGATTTATTCGATTCCTAAAGCCGCTTAATCGGGATCTGAGACCGGATTTGCCGATCTCTCCCTCCTCGGTGTCCGGCCGGTCGTGCCGACCGGGGAATCGCTCGAGTTTGGGGACTCGAGTCCGACGACTTCTTTCGCGCCGGGGAAAGTGGAAGAGGAAGAGACTCCGCACCTCTACCGGTCGGGTGGGAGTTGAAGGGCCGTATGAGTGCCGATGCCACTCGACGTCTGACTCCGTTGTCTGAAACCCCGACCTCTGCTCTCCCCGGGCTTCTTCGTTAGACCCGGCTACTTCTCGACGCAGAGGAGAGCTTTCGACCCCCGACTTCCGTTTGGCCGCCTCGGACGGTCGCGTCTTCCCGACCCGGACGGCGCACTTCGGGTGCTCTTTATTTCGACGTTCCCGACCTTACCACTCCCGGCGATTTCCCCGGACCCGCTCTCGGGTTACCCGAGGAAGGCAACCAGGCGAGGCAAAAGGAGGAGAACCGACCGAGCTTTCAGGAAGCGCTCGGACGATCTTTACGCGAGTGGCTCGGTCCGGCGGCCATTTCGATGGGCACTCGAGTCCCCTCGAGTGCCCCGAATACCCAGGATATTATTAATTAGGGAAAATCGTTCCCTGGAGGGCCGCGCACCCTCCGGACCACGAGGATCGCCGCGTTTTCATTTCCAACTTACTCCCCGTGATACGATCTCATCCCCGAGATATTCTGCCGAATATTCCTGCCGACATTAACGGAAATCCGCATCCGATGGTCTCGGGACTCGGACGGGCAGGTGAGTCGACCGGAGGCAGAGGGGCGAGCCGAGGCGAAGAGGGCCTGCCCTCTTGACATATTGCTACCTAGGCAACTCGACGAAGTGCTCTCCAGGCTCTGCCTCCGTCTTGCTTCTTCGTTTCCCAGATGCTCGATCCGGCCTTCGGGCCGCAGTCTCGGGGAATCGCTCGGCGCCGCAAGGCCTCCCGGAGGGCCGCACGCGATCGGGTATCTCTCGTTCCCCTTTTTTATCCCTAATATTTGACATTAGTCGTGGCCGGACCAGTGGGTGCCGACGAGTCGACAGGAGGGAGGAAAGGCGCTCGACAGTGCTCCGGGCTCGCCCTAATTTCGGAAATTGTTACCTATGCCGTGCTCTTCCTCGGGGCACGTGTTTCCTGGATTCCTGGAGCGATCGGGATTATCCTTGCCCGCGTCCTTTGACAACTCCCGGGTCTATGTCGTATACGAGCACTCGCGATGCCTATCTCCCGGTTTTCTGCCCGGCTTAATGGATCATCGGTGGACGCCGAACCTGGAGGTGCCTTCGGAGGCCGTCGCGTATTCCACCCCGTGAGATAACCCTGGACGATGCTATCGAAAAAGTAATGGCCAATGTCGAGCGATGTCGATTTCGCGTGCGCGCCGCCGTAAATAGTCCCTACCTCGGGGAATGTCATCTCGCATAGGAAGAGCATCGTTTAACCTTTGTGCCGTTCCTCCAGGGGACATAGGTTCGCTTTGGAGTCAGGATATCCGCGGTTGCGAGGTCCGGGGTGAACGACGGGGCCGAAAATCGAGGAAAACGAAGTTTCCGGGTCAGGGCTGCCTCCGGCGACACGGTGGAGGCACCCTCGGGACGAGGTGCGCGATCGCTGGAGAGTCGAGACCGACTTCGAGCTTCGATTTTTAGATATCGATCCTGTCTCCTCGATGGCTCTTTGATCCCTGCCGACGTCGGGCCAGAGGCCGCTCCTCGAATCGTTCCCCGGTCGAGGCACGACTCGCGTCCAGATGACGGAAACGACCCGAGGTGGCGACGTCGATTCCGTCCTTCGACGGTGGAAATCGATATCGGCAGTTATCGCCGAGTCGCGTCACGGGTTCGGAAAAATCCCGACACGCGATCCTGAGTCCTCGGGTGGGGGAATTAAATCGACTGGGAAATTTACGCGTGCGGGTAAACGCGGCTACCGGTCGCCGCGTCGGATCGGCGGCGGTGGGTGGCGGTGGGTGGCGGTGGGTGGTAGTGGGTGGTCGACGCAAGTCATCTCCGCGGCGGGCGGAAAGTACACGGATTAAATCGACGGTCGGGTTCGTTGAATTCGAGCGGACGGGTCGGAGAGGGATGCGGGGAAAAAGTCGACCGAAAGAGCGACGGAGATCTCGAAACTCGAACTCGAACCACCGCGCGGAATGATTGATGGAAACGAAGGAGGCGGTGGCGTCGCCATTTCCGTGCGGTTTTATTTCCGGTGCGGAGGGAGACGGCGCGAGTCTCTCGCAGGGTAGGCTTCGGTCTGGCATTATTTTCGTTCCTGAGCCTAATTAGCAGGAACCGCGGTAATCAGGGCCGCGTAACGTCCGACCGCTAACTGGGTACGCGCTCGGTACTCGGTACTCGGTACTCTCCCTTCCCCTGGGGTGAGGAACTCCGTCGATATCCTGCGAGCGGACAGGCATGCTCCCGGATCCTCCGGAGGATGCAAATCCGCTCGACTTAATTTAACGTTACTTAGAGCTGGGCAAATTTGCATACTTCCGATGGCGACGGTTCCCTCCCGCTGTCTCTCTCGCCGCCCTCTCCCCGGGTAAACTTCGTTTTAAGAAGAACGTCACCGCCGAGCCCGGAGCTACGCGTTATCGCCTGTCCTCCTTTTTCTCGGGGTACCCTGCGAATCGATCTTCCCCAGGTTTCCTCCCCCTGGCGCGGATTCTTCCCCTGCCGAGGGTGACCGAATTCGCCGGTCTCGTTGCAGGTGATATGGGTGTGCATCCTCTGCCGCAAGAAGCAGGAACTCCTGTCGAAGACGGGACAATGGATGACGAAGAGCGGCCTCGGCGCGGCGGACACAGCGATGCTGAGGCGTATGCAGGAGGATATGCAGGGAGGCCCTCCCGCAGGACTCGCGGACCTCGGTCAGGATAAGAGGCCGAAACTCGAGAGGGCGCACAGCGCAGCGGAGAAGGAGAACCTCCCGCTGCTGCAGAAGAGCGCCGGCTTGTTGAAGAGGCAGTACTCCCAGCAGGAGCAGGTGAGCGTCGACCGGCGTCGAAGACCAGGGTGAGCGACGCCTGACCCTTCCCCGCGGTTCCAGGTGCAAGGACGACGACTGTCGACGAGCGACAGCGGGGTGGAGATGTCCGTGTCGCCCCACTCGAGGACCCTGCCGACCCCCCACGTGGTCGTCGGCGCGTACCCCATGCAGCCGGTCCAGCGGCACCAGGCCGCGTACCCCGAGGACGACCCCGGCGTCTACAGGACCGAAATCGACGACCCGATGAGACAGCATCCTCAGTCCTACCCGAGGCATCGCCAGATCTACCAGGTACCTCTTTTAACTTCGGCAGAATTTTTTTTTCCTTTTTTCTCCGTCGAATGCACCTGGAAGGGCGACTGGAAGAACGTGCGCTTTCCCCAGGACCAGAACTCGGACATTGCGATGGCCTACGGCCACCCGGCGGAGTCGAGTCCTCGAGCGGTCCATCCGTCCCAGCACCCGGGGCAGGGCGCTCACCCCTCGCAGTCGGGGATGCAGCAGCAGCGGAGTTTCAGCAGCAGCGAGGAGGAGCGCAGCACGCCGGAATGCGCGAGCGACGAGCCCGACGAGTCCGAGAAGGGTGAGTGCCGGTTCGGCCTTGACGCCCCGAGAACTAGGTCCGACCCCGTCGAGCGGCCCGGAACGAGGTCGAGCCTCCCCGGACGAGTCGAGGGTGAGTCTCCTCGCCACGAGCGAGGTCGACCCGGCCGCGCATCGCCCGCCCTCGACGACCTCGTCGCCGAATTTGGGGGTATGATCGATGCCGGGCGTCGCTCGGAGGCCCTCCACGCCCTCGAGGCGGCCCGCGACGAGGACCGACCTTCCCCAGGTGGACGGATCACCTGCTGGTCTGCCTCGACCGCGAGTCCCGTTTCCCGGGTGGTGCTACCCTTCTCTCTCTTTTTCTCTCTCTAAAGTCCCTTGGGATCAACCGCGGATCTAGGACGCCTCTTTTTCTTCGTTAAGACCGGACGACGCTCAAGGCGACTCCCTCCGTCGCGGCTCGCCGAGCGGATGGGGCTCGGTCGGCGGCCTTCGATAACGTCCCTTGGTCGATCCGAGTACCGAGTGGGCGAGGGAGGTTGCGGTAGGTTACTATTTGCGCGTCCCGACGCCGGCGGCGCACCTTCTCACAGCAGGAGCCGCGGAGGGCTCGCGCCCGATTGGCTGTGAAACCGGCGAGCCGTGAATCGGTTCGCCCGAGCGGTCATCCAGGGGAGCGCGGATGCACCTGTCCAGGTGAGCCGGGAATAGCTTGGACGGGGCGCCCTGCTCGTCCTGGCGTCTCGGCGTCCTTTTTCTCGGGTCCCCGAAGGTCGGCCGATCGCTTCCGCTCCGGATCCGCCGTCCTCGCCGCCCTCCCCATGGCCGGAGTCGACCGTGGGACGCGCGGGTCTCCTTCCCCAGGGGTGAAAATCGACGGAGGCCACCCTGGCAGGGGCTCGTCGTGGAATCGCCCCCGTTCTTCGCGATCACCGAGCGTACGCGGGGAGAACGGCGAAGGGTCGGGAGGAGGTTCTCACGGCCGCGGAATTTATGTCCCCCCGAAACGGCGACGCGGCCGACCGGAAATCCGCGGTGCGACCTCCGCTCCCCGGCCCCGGATTCCCGGGGGACCACGGCCGAGGATCCCCGGAAGCCGGCGATCGGCCGTCGAGACGGTCCCGTATCGCGTGGGCTGCGACATCCCGCAGGAATTCTCGGGTCTCTCCCGGTCTGGCCGTAACATCGATCCTCGCCCCTCCCCCCTGCCCCCTCCTCGCCGCACGCACGTTCTCCTTGATATTCTCCGACTCCCTCTGTTCCGTCCCTTCGGCTCGCCCTCTCTCTCCCTCCCTCGCCTCCCGGCCGTCCCTCTCCCGGATTTTCGCCAGCTTCCCGTCTTTACCTCCGCGATTCAACTCCCGGCCCCCGTCCCTCCCTCCCGCCTACGCGTTTCGCGTGACGTCACGGGAGGAGCACGTGGGCGACTCGAAGCCTCCCCTTCCCTTCCCTCTCCGAGCGGAACCCACCCTCTGACGCCGCGACTCTTCGGGGCGCGCCGCCATTGCGAGAGACCCTCGTCCCCCGTCTAGGTCCGGTCCATTCAGCAACCGGTACCACCGTACCCCCGAGGCCCGACTTCCGGCCCGATGACGCACGCCACTTCCGGAATCTCGACGCTTCCCCCTTTCCTTCGGCCATGACGCTCTCCCTGCCGCTCGTCGACCTCGACACAAGGTTTTGGTTCCTGGTTAGGAAAAATATAAACTGCGACCTATTGCAGGGATCCGCGGGTAGGAGACGAGTAGTTGCATCCAGAGACGCGAGGATGACGGACCTCGGTCCGAAATTTTCGACGAGCCTGGGATAATCCTTCCATCCTGACGGTAACAGTTAATCGACGTTAATCGAGGTTAATCGATGCGATCGCGACGTTTCGGGGACATTGTCGGGATTCGGTGAAACGGTGGAGGCGCGTTTTCCGCACCTGGGGGCCGCGGAAATTGTGCCGGGAACCCCGGCGAAGCTGCCAGGATGAAAGAACGCCCACGTGCGTTTCCACCGCCCGCGGGGACGGGGAAACTTTGACATTTTGAGACCCTCCCCTTGGGATTTCCGGCGTTTTCGCATCTCCGCGTCCACCTCCGCGTAACGACCGGCACAACCCTTCCACTTCGCGGGGGGTCTCTCTAGTTTCCTCCCGAGTGAACGGAACCCGGAAAGGCGGGCATCACGGATCGTGAATAAAATAAACGCACGCACGTACGTCGTTGGTTTTTGCGATCGATCGACGCGCGTTTGCGGTTTTAAGGGACGCGACCGACGGCAGTCGGACGCGGCGACGCGGCGCGTCGAGGAGGCGAGGAGTCGCCCGAGGAATGCCGACGCTTCCATCAAAATGCTAATGTAATGGCGGTAATGGAGTTTGATTCCCGCGGCCTTTTTTCCGCCCCCTCGGCTCGCCCCCGCGATCTAATAAACCTTTGTCGGCACCCCCGGCGCGTCTCCGCACCCCTTTACCCCTTATGAATTTTGAGAGTCTCCGAGGAGAGGAGCGACCCCTGCGAACCGACGTCTCGTTCCGTCGTGCCCTCGCGCTAATTTGCACCCTCCAGGAATTCCCGCACGTCCCTTTTCGGATTTCTCCCTCCCGCCCCCACCCGGGAGGGGTGCGCGGATTTACTCGCGACGAGGTGCTCCCTCGGTTATTTCTATCCCACGGGCAATTCTTTTTTTTTCCCCCCGACTTCTCCGAGGGAAGTGAATCTAATTACGCGATCGAATTGATATCGACGGTATCTCGAGTTTCTGAGTTTTCCGGAAGTAGCGCTCGCGTAGTTGGGTCCGGGTAAATCTGAGATTCTGGGGCCACAGACGTTGCGTTTCCTTATACTACTTCATAATCGGGATGATACCCGGGGGTAGTGCGCACGTTTGGCAGTTGCGGTGCCGCATAGCTGTCTGGCATAATTGCGACGTTACTACTCGCGGCTCGGCCGATCGTGCCGCAGCGCTCTATTCCCTGATGGCCGGCTGGCCGTACAATGGAATCCACCACTGGCAGGGCCGAGTGCCTCCGGCATCGCCGGAATACAAGATCCTGACCGTTGATTAATTTAACGGACCATGGGCGTCGTTAACGAGCGTTAACGAGCGGCGTAGAGGGTAGGGAGATTTTTTTTTTCCCGCGCACGGGGGAAGTCGTCCGAAATTCGTAACTCGTCAGGGGGTGGAAAGAGAGAAAGAGAGAGAGAGATCGGTCGCGCCGACCTCGAGGGCTCGACCTGCACGACCCTCCGCATGAGAACGTACCCCTTAAAGACGCGCAAAGGGCGCGCAAAGGAACGGAGAGACCCGCGACCAGGCGGCGTCTCCTCGAGATAAGTCACGGGAAGGAGAATCCACGGCACGAGATCGAAAGGACGACGTTGTTGCTCCCATTCGTAGATGCACCAAACTAGACTAGACTTAGTTGCGTAGAGAGAGAGGAACCCCGTCGACGGGTAGGTCCGTCGCGGCGCCCTCAGGTGGGGCGCCTCCGGATGCCTCCTCGAGGGGCCCCGATCGGCTGAAAGGGGGCTTTTCGTCCTCCCCCTTCCTGGATCCCCAGGTCCACCTCCCCGGCCTCCTCTCGGGAGGGGCCGGAGTCCTCGCGCGTTTCCGGGACGTCTACTTCCGGGGACCTTCCGGGGACGAGTAAATTTTTCCCGTCCCCCGGGGGACCGCCCGCGGAAATAGAAGTCGCGGGTGGAGGCCTGCGTGATTTATCCGCGGCGTCATCTAACTTTTAAATTAAGACCCGGTGGTCTTCTCCCCCGGCGCGGCGGCCGATTCCGCCGGTCCGGGCCGGAACCCGCGGAAACCGCAGTCCTTGTTTTTATCCCGGGCGACGCCCCGCCAACGCCGACCCCGTTTCCGTCGTGCCGGCAAATTTACTCGCCTCTGCTCGCGCGAGTAAACCTTCGCCTGTCGGGGGTTTAACGTTCGATCCGGCCCGGAGAAATTGGGTCGACGAGACGCTCCTCGCGGAGGCCGACGCGGACGCGTGGCGCCGGATACGCGGATTACTTCGACTTTCTCTCTTTGTCCGGATTTACTCGCCCCGGGGGATCGATCGCGATACGCGAACCCTGGGGATCGAGTATGGGAATTTGCCAAAATTTCCCGGCCCCGGAAACGCGCCCGACGATCCCCTCCACCTCCATCTCTTCCTCGCGAACAAGGCCCCTCCAGGATTCGACGACCTTCCATGTCGAGCTTAAAGAGATCGGGTTTTAGGAGAAAAACCACCGGCGATAGTGGCTGCCCCCAGGACTCCGAGGGACAAGGCAGGCGACCGAATAACCCGCCAGGCGATGCTGGACGAGAAGATCAAGAAGTTCCTCGCGGTACTTAAGCACGAACCATCGCTGATCGCCTCACGCTCGCCGATATCGCATATATATATACATATATATATATAAAACATATATATATTATTTATATATACTACTCGTAAACCTATATATATATCGTTACTCTACGTGTTGCAATTGGTCGTGCCCGTCGACACGTACACCCATACCCACACATACACCCAGACAGAACACTTATACGATGTGTCCACGCTCCGCGATTCTTGTGTCTCGCTCTCTTTCTATCTCTCTTTCTCTCTTTTATCTATGCCTCTCCGTCTGTCTCGTACTCTCTTCTCTCCGCTCCCTTTTCTGTCTCTCGTCTCCGCGCGACTACACTTTTGGTTTCTCCGTTTATCGACTTCCCCTCGCCTCTCCTCTTCCTCTGTATGTGCGTGTGCGGGTGCATGCGTATACGTGCCGTTCACCACGCGGTCCGTCTTCCGAGGATTTTCGGGATTTCCAGGAGGAGGTCGTGCCCCCTTTTCCGGGTGGAGGGTTTTCGGGTCCTTCGCGATTTTCCGCGGCTTCCGCGTTCGCTCCGGGTCGAGATCGACGGGGTCGAAGGCGCGGGCGAGACGGAGGGTGGTCCGGGTGTCCGTGGACGGAAAATGGAAAGTCTGGATCTACTGTAGGGAAAGGGTACTACCAGTTGGGAGGAGCTGCCACGGGGGCCGGGCCGGCTCATAGGCACAACGGGCACCACGCGACCGCCACCATGACCATCGAGTACAACGGACACCGGCCACCTCGAGAGCCGCGCAAGGAGGAGTCCACCCTGGTCAGAAGGAGCTTCCGGAGAAGCGGGGACGAGTGGCGAGCCGACAGTCGGAGGTGCGTGCCGCACCGGGTGATCCCCCTGACGGGCCCGCTCGTCCGGCGACGGGGATTCGACGGGAACCCTGGGGAACCTCGCGACGCGAATCGGACGAGCGAGCCCTGCAGGGGGGCCGGGCTCACGGAAGAGGCCGGGGGGAACCTCTCGTGCACGCGTGCCCGTGTGCTCGTCAGGTTCACGGAACGGAGGGGGAAAAAGACGGTGCGGTTCGACGGCGGCACCACCCTGGACGGCCCTCAGGAGGACTGGTCCTGGGAGGCCGACCGACAGGGTAGTCAGGACAGCGCGACCAAAGACTCCGGCATCGACACCTCGAGCACCTTCACCAGCAGCGAGGACAGCAACCGCGGCGACCTGCCCAAGGTACGGGCCTCGGTTAGCCTTCGGCCGCGCCCTGGGGTCCTCTTCGGGGTCCCCTCCTCTTCTTCTCGACTCTTCCTCCTCTCTCTCCTGGACGCGCCGCGCGACCGTGGTCGGATCCGGACTCGCTTCGAGTTTCGCCAACTTCCGACCCGACTCCAGGACCTCGGCCGGGGTCGACGATCTCTCGAGCTCCCAGGGGACGAAACGAACCGCGGGGACCGGGAACTCGCGAGGGAACCGCGTCCGATCGAGCCACCACCGTCCGGTTCTTCGGGGCGCGAAGGACGAGCCCCGTGGACTCACCTCCATCCCCCGGGTAGAATCGCTCGGGGTCTTCCGCGGATCCGCGATCTCACCCTCCTCCCTTCTCGCACGAAGCTTGGAATCTCTCCGGCCGACATGAAAGCGCCGCTTCTCGTCGTCGCTGTCGTCACTTTCGTTACACGCTTGCGGCATGTCCTGCCCTTTCTGCACGGTTCTCGATGGTGTCCTGTCCCTGTCTGTTCTTTTCGTTTTACACCGGGGATGAAGGCGGTCTTTCGACGAGAACCCTCGGGCCCGAGATTTAACGGAGGTAGGGAGCCTCGGCGAGGGTTTTCTCTCCGAGAAGAAATAGATTCAAAGGGGTATCCTGGTTCTCGTCAAAATTCCCGGCTTCCACAGGGTGTCCGTTCCTGGTGCATACAGAGTCCTCTGCAAGGACCGTCGTCTTAGCTAGCGATGCACGTTTTCAAACTCCATTCGAGTGCCAAGCTTTTTCTCCCCGTCCCCGAGGGCGAGAACGCCTCGAGGAACGACTCTTTGGAACCTCCGCGGTCCTCTTCGAGGTATCGTCGAGGTCTTCGGAGGACAAGGCTCTCGGGACCTCTCGGGCCCTGAGTCGCGTCGTTTCTCGAGGTCGGTTTCGTCCAGGAAACTGAAACGAAGAAACCAAAGGAGACGCTGCGTCCGATTTCGCAGCACCCTCTGTCCTGGCAAGTGAGCAGCGACGGGCAAAAGATCATCGGCCACATGATCCTGAGGAAGTCCCCGGGGTCCAGCAGCAGCAGCAGCATCCTGGGCCTGAAGGTAGTCGGCGGTAAACTTTTGGAAAACGGTTCCAGAGGCGCTCTTATCGAGAAGGTGAAAAAGGGCAGCACGGCCGACATCGAGGGTCAGCTGAGACCCGGTAAGAGGATCCTTGAACTAAAAAAAGTACGGTAGAGACGACCCTTGGTGTCATCGGCTGTTCCAGGTGACGAGGTGATCGAATGGAACGGCAGGTCCCTCCAGGGGAAAAGTTTCCAGGAGGTCTGCGACATCATCGCCGAGTCCAGGCAAGAGCCGCAGGTAGAGTTGATAGTCTCGAGAAACTTGTCACCCACGTCGGCCGTACTGGAGGCACCCTCCGCGACGAGCGCGACGTCCTTGTCCTCGAGGAAGGTGGTCGGCCAGACCCAGTGGAGGCAAAAGCACGACCCCGTCGGCGGCGCTCCACAGTATCACCACAAAGGTGAATATCTCCGACTCCAGGTGAACCCCCTACTCGTCGTTTCGGGTTTTATTCGAGACTAGGAGTCGGGACTTCCTGGGGGCTGCCCCGATCGCGAACCCGGGACTCTCCTCGACTCTCGCGGAAAGTCCCGGCCGTGAACGCGCCTCGCACCTGAGAACATTCAATATCTGCAGGCGCACGGCGAAATAATTCATACCACCTTAAAGCTCCGTCCGAGCGGAGCTTTTTCTCTTCTCGGGACTGTGCGCTCCTTCCGGGCGATGTGCCGAGAAAATTCTAAAAACGGAGCCTCGCGTATTATTATTATTAGTATTATTAACGGCCTCCATCGTCGCTCCAGGTCGTTCGGTTCTTTTTTACGGCTTATCACTAGCTCCTGCGAATCCGTAGAATCTATGCTAGACCTTAAGGATACGTTCGACTTACTCGCTATATTGTCACAGATTATATGATTTTTCGCATTCCAGGTCTTAAGAAATCTATACTGTGGGGTATGCCTCTCGCTGATAATTACTTCCTTCCACCTGTATTAAGTCGACCGTCGCCCCGATTCGGTGTGCCCCCTCGCCGTTCCCGATCGATCCGCGACGAGTCGATCGATCGATCGCTCGCGGCTCGATCGACTTCCCGACATAGCATAAAAACGACGATTCGGCCCTCGATTCCTGGAGCCCCGCAAGGAGAGCACGGCGAATCGAATCTACCAACCAGATCCATCGTGCTCGTACGCTGGAAAGAAAAATAAAAAAATATAAAAAAAATACCAAAAAAAAAATAAAAAGAGAGAAATCACGACCGACAACGCTGCGGTATCGAAACGTTACCCAGCTGTGGAATTAATTTCGAGTCTTGCAAAATTGTCTAAAAGCCAACGAGGTAAAGCAGCGTTTTACTCGCACTCGTCGCTCCGTTACTTCGGTGTAGAGCTTCAGATAGAAAAAACGCATTAGAGAAGGCTTTAGCGAGGGATCTGCGGTCCTACCGAAAGGAGGCACGACCACGTAAAAATCGTAGAAAGTAACTTTGACATAGAATCCACGTTTTATGCTACTCGATGTTTACCGTAGATACGTAGAACGTAGCGCTACTGCACCCCCGCCTAAACACCGTCGAAAATTAGACATATGGGAGCAACAACTTATGACTATTTCATATTCATATGTGTGTCTTGTATTCGTATTTCGAGATTTACGCTCTCTCTTTCTCTCTCTCTTTCTCTTTTTAACCCCGTTTCTCACGTCCTATCCGTATTCCACGGTGCTTCCCCGTTCTTCCTCCGCCTGAAATCTGGTTAACCGAGTCTACCGAGTATATATACATACATAAATATATAATTTTCGAGGGCCAATGAAAATAAGTCAATGCAAAGATTCACGTCCCGTATATTTCTTGTGCCAGAAGCTAAGTTGCTTAAGTGCTGCTTGCGCGGTCCTCTTGTGCTGCCGCATACTGCTCGTAAGGTCTGCGCGAAGTCGATGGCTAAAGTGAGGAACTAGGAAGTTCGACACCCGTCAAAATGACTAGTACATAAAGAAATGAATGCGCGATCGGGCCGGAACTCGACGACGCGCCCTGGTCGAGGTAACTCACAAGAGGATTCTTTTTTTCAGAGACTCGGTACGTGGAAGCGGTCCCCCTCTGTGTCGGTCCGACCGGTCGAACGAACGTCCCCGTCGCACGAATTCGTCGGTCCTCCGTTTTTCTGACGGCGTTAAACGTACCGCGGGTGTCTGGCAAATGTTGGGGACTCGAATGTACCCAAGGTGTCCGATCCCGGAGGACGAGGATCGATTCGTGTCGATCAATCGGAGCCGAAGGTCGAAAATCCGGTCCAGGAGAGTGGAGTTCATTTCTCCCTTAAAAAATCGCTAACGCTTCCTGGATCGAATTTTGGACGGCCCCGAGACCTTGCCCTTGCCCCCCCGCGACGATCGATCCTAAGGATCGCCTCCCACGTCGTGGTCGAGCCGATGCGAGTCATGGGAAACGTTTTCAGAGTTATACGGCATGAGGCGAGAGAAACCCGCGGTTTTGGTCACGTCGCCGGGATCTCCGGACCTGCAGGCCCAAGGACGAGGCAGGCACGGTCGACATCCCGGAGGAAATGCCAACATCGGAGGCCGTCTCCAGGTGAAACTCGGCTTCGACCCTGCCAGCTTCCAGCTGATCGTCACCCTGGTGTGCGCCGCCGGTCTCAAGCCGAGAGGCGACGGCCAGGCCAGGAATCCCTACGCCAAAGTGTTCCTGCTCCCCGAAAAGAGGTTCGTGACCATGACCTATCCCTGAAGAAATCGCCTCTGGTGCCTCTTCCTTCGGGAGAAGAGGAATTTTCCACCCTCACCCGGGTATACCCTCAAATGGCAGTTCTTCGTCTCGGTGCCGAATTTGTAATGGTGCCAACGAGGAGGAGCTTCTCTCTGCCCTTCCTGGATTCGTCCTCGGTGCCGACTTCTCAATAATAACGCGTACCTCGTAAATACCTAGGAGTAAGCACGCCCCCGTGCATAATTCATGCGGATTCGTGCATGTAACCAAAAATATGGGGCTGACACAGTTGGCGGGGCACGGGTGCACCCCTCGACGCATGGGGTGAGGTACGACCGGGATGTCCATGGGTGTCGCTATGGCGGACGAAACCGTGCCATTGGCGGGAATATTCCGGGAGCGTCCGTAAGATATCGTCGCCCCGTGCGGATACCGTTTAACGCCGCGGTAAATAATTTTCCAAGCCCTCCCCGGAGGCCGAAGGGGCGCCACCGGGTTTTGGCCAGGGTGCCAAAGACGGGCGGCGCGAAGTTCCCCCAATTTCGTAGGATTCGATCACGAGGGGGACGAGATCTAATTTTTGTCTCCGCGTTATACGAAAATGGGAAAACTATGGCGCGGGAATTTTCTCCGATTTATGAACCGAACGTTTCTGCCCCAGCGAGAAGTCGAAGAGGCGGACGAAGACCCTGGCCAACACGAACGATCCCAGGTGGAACCAGACGTTCTTCTACAACGGAATCAGGAGGCCCGAGCTGCGGCAGAGAGCCCTGGAGATCACGGTCTGGGATTACTTGAGATACGGGGCCAACGACTTCCTCGGGGAGGTCATCCTGGAACTGGCCATTTCCGCCTTTGACGAAAAACCGGAGTGGCACTACTTGATGGCTCACGAAGAGCACCGGCTGGCCGGGTGAGAGAGATTCATCCCCGGAAAGTGGATCGCGATCCCTCGGCCATCGATCACCCTTAAATCTCTAACACCTCTTGCGTGCACCCTTAGACTCGCCGAACCTCGCCGGTCGTCTTACCTTCCGTAATTCGTCCGTCGTCGCGTAAGAGGTCTTACAGATCCAAGAAGGTGGAGTTAGAGATCACGGAACTATGGTGCTCGATTTTCTTTTTTTTTCCCCCGAGACGCTCCTACCCCGCCGACCAGCGACGCGGTCAGAGGATCGGTTAGATCGGATACGCGAGATCGTCTCCGACGACGGCCGTACCCTCGGAATATGATTTAGGGGTCGACGAGGTGTAAAAATCGACGTGTGCTCTTCCGCAGACATTACCAGGAGCCGGCCGACGATATGGTGATAACACCTGTGGATTATCACCTCAGTCCACCTTCGACCGCCTCCAGACTGAGCGATTCCGACACGTCGGAGTGCGACATCACCGACTGCGACGTGTCCAGGGATCAAAGGAGAACCGCCGACGGTGCCAGTATCAGCAGCATCGGCAGTTCCTCCAGGTGGGCTCGTGCACACTCGGTCTGTCTTCTCCTCGAGCCCTAGATTATGAAAGGAAAGGTGCAAGACTCGCGCTCGTTTCTGCCAACCCAAGGCTCAAAGACGTGCCTCGGTAATCTCGAAAGAGGCTCGCCACCCTTTCGAGAGGCCCCGTGCTTATTACCGGGCTCTCTCGCCGACACCCGGCATTTTTCGCATTTTTCGCATTTTTCCTTTTTCGCGACCTTTTCGCCGGACCTACCCCAAGGACTCTTCGGTTCCCGAGAACTCGAGGACTTTTGAGCGCCTTCCAGGGCCGAAATTTGGGATCACGGTGCCAGGCGTGAATCGGTCCATGGGTGCGGATTCTGTCTCCTTCGCTTCCGGGCTCCTTGCCTCCCGATCGCGACGGAAGCTGCGGACGCGATCGTCGTTAACCGATGAGAGGAGCACGGGACCCATACGACGGTGTCGCTATTCCGAGCTTTGGACCCGTTTACAGGACTCGTAACTCGGCCCATAACTGTCCTGCGAATGGTTATTTCCATGTAGGCTGCTTCGCGGACGTAATTGGCAATAACGGGCACATACACGAGCCGGCGCGCTCTCCGTTACGGCTCCTTCTCGGTGCCGTTGCGGATAAGAAATTGAACGGTCGGCGCCGAAATTCAGACTCCAGCCAAGAGCCTAGAAAATCCCCACGTTTTCCCAGCTGATCACTCAGGGGGACCAGGATTGATTTTTTTTCGGTCGACATCGATGCCCCCAGGAAGCGTTTCTCGGCCTGCGAGTCGCGCCTCCGTATCCTTTCCCCCTTAAGGCGAGGACGCGAATCGTCGATACCCTGAGCTCAGGGTCGTTAAAATCGGTTTCCCGGGAACGTCGATGACGGGGAAATGAGTCAGAATCCGTGTCGAAGCTGGGAGACGTACGCAAATTCCCGGATTAATCGTGTATCCACCTCGGAACGAGGGCCACCCGATGTAAACGAATCGAGGATGAGTCGGGGCATGAGTCAGAGTCTAAGAATAGGGGGATCGAAAGCGAGAGACATCCGGGATCTTCTGCCCTTCTTTGTGCGTCTCCACTTCCGTTTCCCGTGGACGCGATTCCGTGTTTCCGGCTCTCCGGACGAGCGACACCCCGTCTCCTTTTCTCTCTTAGAATTTGTCCAGGATATCGCGAATCGAGGAGGGCGGCGCGTCACCCCTTTGACTCCAGGGTGCGGTGCCAAGAACCTCGGGAGGGACTTTCGGGCAGGGGTGGTCCTCCTCCGAATAAAAGCGCGATTCGTCCTTGTCTTACACCCAGCGCAGTCATTCTGACGTAAGCCTCTTGCTCGAGAGAAAGAGGGAGAAAGAAGAGGGTGGGTTGGATGCGTGAGAAAGAGAGAGAGGGACGCGGGAGGGGAGGGAGGACTAAGTTATAAAACTGGGCAACAAGCCAATTGACATGCCAGTTGGCCTGCTACCACCGTTGGCTGCGGAGCCGCCCTTAAGCCGCTTTCCAATTAATATTCCGAAGATGACGTCCGATCGTTACTCGTGAGTGCTCGGTGTACCGAGTCCCGGTCACGGATTGATCAGAATCCGGAGTGCCGAGTTTACCTCCGATTTTTCGAAACGTTTCTCTCCTCCCTCGGGGGCGGACCTGGTGCAATCGAGGAGTGCAATCGTCGGTGCAATTCGCCCGGTACTCTTATCGCGGCGTACGCCACCCTTCGCTCACCCTATCGCCACCCCCGCTGACTGCGGCGTCGTTATTAATCCCCCTCGAAATTACTATATCCAAGAAGTCTCGTTCTCGTTATCTCCGAATGTTCCTCACCCCACGTGGGGCATTAACGAACTCCCAGGGAAGAAAATTTCCCGCTAAGGATTCGGGTGAATTAATTTGTATTTCTTGTTCTATGCGCGTCCCGGCCTCGAACTCGAGTTTTATCCTCGGGGTTTAAGAAGCAGGATCGACTCTTTGTCAGAAGTCCTCTCGATTCGATGCGCCCGGTGCTTCGAGTTATCGAGAGTGCCGCGTCCCGGTTATCGGCGCGGCTTATCGCGCCGCCTCTGGGAGCCCTGGATCCCTCGATCTCTGGATCACCGGGTATCTGGATTTCCTCCTTTGAGGCGACTCCCTCTCGAATTCGAAAGCGATTACTCGAATCCCTCTCGCTTTGCTCGCGTAGGGGTCCTTGGAAAGAGCGCGAGGAGGACCGCGAGCCGGTCGCCGATTCCCCGGGGCTTTGCTTACGATTTTAATTCCTTTGAGGGAGGAGAGAGCCCTGGAAATCCTTATAAATAGTCTCGCCGAGATAAACGAGGCCTCGCACCGCAGTGCGGAGAGAAGGGCGTCGCAAGGGTCCCGAGCGGAAACCGCGGATCGTGCGGAACGACGAAAGGAAAAATAGGCACCGCCGATCGTCGATCCCTCCCTCGAAGGGGGTCTCGCAGGTGGTTTCCATAATCCCCCCGGCCTTAATCCGGAGACCCGAATCGAGCCGGGGCGCCCGGCGTCGCGACGGACCCACGACGGACCCGCGACGCATCCGCTGCCAAACTGGCCGGTGCTAATTGAAACGTCGGGACGCAAAGCGCGGCCCTCCGCACGTACTTATTAACGTCCAATATCTCGTAATAGGATTACCTAAAAGGTTTCACCGCCGCATTGATGGATGCATCGCTACGGCGCACCACCACCACCGATCTGGCCCTTATTGCATTAACTTTCGACGAACGCGCCTCCACCACGTGTGGGGAGATCCGCCGCCGCCGCAGTCGGTAAATGGTGACGCGGTCATCGATACGCGATCGGGCGCCCACCTTGTTTCACCTGGACGGGTTTACGGCCACTTTTACAGCCGCTTTTACGGCCGCCTTTACGTCCCGAGGGACCCGATGAATCCCTGGCCGATCGTGCACGCCGCGCCGTCGTCCAGACTTACCTCGATTCCGAAACCCCGACCTACCCCAAGGCCCTTCTGGAGCTACGATGACGCCGGCTGGACGTAACTATCGATCGCCATTCCACGTGGTAGACCTCGATTTAGACCTCCCACGAGATCGGTCGCTCTCCGATCCTCGGCTCACTTCGCCGGAAGTCCTCCCGGCGCCGACTTCCAGGGAACCGAGGAGGTCCTCGCGGAGAGTCCTCGATCGGGACCCAAATGCAGATCTCGAGGATTCGGGCGATCTATCTCTCCTTTAATTCGGTTCGACTTCCCCGCGCGTAATCGTAGACGCAGCCCAGCGGTCTTGCTCGACGAATTTAACCCTGTGTTTTGTTATTACTTTTTAGGTTTCATAATATCCCGTCAAATTATAAGCGGTACGGCTCTTCAAACTTTACTTCTCTTTCATAAGTCACTTAAGTCACGTATCGCATCGTCACTGCCGGTGGTCCCAGCGGGTGATCGAGTCGAACCACGATCGATCGACGTCCGGGACTCGACTTATCGAGTTCATATGAATTTTTTTTTGGTTCGCTTATGAATAGATTTGCATGAAAAAATTTCCATTGAAGCGAAGCTGACAATTTCGCGGGGGAAAGTTGATCGTATGAGCTCGAGAGTAGGGTCCCTGGCTTGATCCTCGTCCTTCGAGTCCTTCGCCCGCAAGGACCGCCGTGCTCTAGGGTCTTAGCCGCTAGAAGAGGACGACCGAATGTCCAGGCCGCGGCGATGCATCCGATTTCGCGCCCGACTACGAGTCGGGGATCCTCCTTACCTCGCGATTACCCGGAGTTCGAGTCCACCTGGACGTTTCTTCCGACCTCGCGGGAGGGAGTCGAGGACGAGTCCGAATTTCGGGACGCGGGGCGAAAAGTCGAGCCAGAGGTCGGAGGAGGCGTCCGGGGGTCCGAGTACTAGAAGATCGGCATCATAGTTGTTAGAGTCCTCGTCGTATCGCCATCGCTTTCTGCACGTAGGAACGACCCGAAACCATGGCTTTTAGTGAGCTTCCAGCGACCGGCTGCGTCCCGGCGAGGGTACTTCCGGTCTCCAGCAATTTTCAATATTCCTCGCTCCAACGAGCCGAGCGGGACCTGGGGGACCGTCGCCGGGCGGCCGGTCGGTCGCGCGATCACGGCACTCGCCTCATTTAGAATTAAGCGACACTCCGATCACTAATTAAGTCAAAACGAACGCGTGCTGGAGCAGCCACTATTCCAGCCCACCGCCCGAGAGGGACCTGGGGGTCGACGGGGAGCACCGGAGTCGGAGAGACATGTCCCCTCAAGGCCGCAAGAGGGCGGCCCTCATGACGTCCAGAGACCAGCCAGCCTCCGTCTCCGGGTACCAGTCCTACAGGAAGGTGAGTCGCCGTTCCGTCGATTACGACCGAAGAAGTCCTTCCTTGACGGTCGATTTTCCATTTCCAGGAGGAGTCGCATCGGGGGATGCTGGGCCACAGATCGCACAGCGCGGCGCCGATGGACTCCGCGAGTATTCCCTACCGAGGACGATCGCAGAGCCCGACGGGTCACAGGTCACTCTCGCCCCCGGAGCACAGGTCCATCCTCTACTCGCACGCCTACGGACCCAGGTTGGTCGAGCGACTTCCTCGGAGTCGATATGAATTACGGAATCGTCATCGCCATGCCGAGCTCGAAATTCGGTTTTCAGGTTCGGGTCGAGGTCGGCCACGGCCACGCCGACGGGGTCGCCGAAGAAGAGGCAGCTGCCCCAGATCCCGGCGAACCTGCACGCCGCTCTCAAGGAGAGGGTCGCTCAAGACTTGGAGGAACGGACGAGGTTCATAAAGCACCGGAATCGGCAGGTGCACACCACCTACAGGAACACCGGGATGGGAGGTAAGGGTCCCTGGTGATATCGGTAGGAGGAGGGTGCGGGGAGTCGTGGGAGAGCGTCCTGACATCGCTCGCCGATTTCAGGGTGGGAGAGGCACTACAGCGGCCTCTCGGACTCCGACCTGCCCTCCATGGACCACGACGCCCTGTCGATGTCTCACGGGCACCACGTCTACCGGATGCACAGGACTCGAAGGGGCCACCTTAGTCCCGACCGGGACATCCTCGGCGACCACGGCGATTCCGACATGGAGAGCATCGCCTCGGTGACGAGCAGTGCCTTCAGCACGCAGTCGGAACGACCGCATGCGTCCCGGGCGTTGATGTGAGTATCCCCTATTGTCGTCCTATCTAGGGTAACGGAGCTACCGAGTCGAAGATCCTCTCCAGGGTCTAGACCGGCTTAAAACGGTCTCCGTAGGTCGAGCCTCCGTGTCGGCCGCTCGAGGCGGAAGTTGTCGCGTGTTCCACCGGCGTCTTCCTCGAGGAAAGGACAGATCGTCCGACCGAACGATTTCGCGGTCCAGGTGACGCGTGGAGCAAGCGGCAGCTCGTCTCGAGGAGCGACGATCCCTGAATTAAATGGACATTGCCGGATAGACCCGAAGCCCCTCTAGACGCACCCTCTCTCTCTCTCTCTCTCTCTGCCTCCCGCTTGCTCTAGGCTTCTCTAGGACCCCGAGATCTCTCGTCGGGATTAGCCCTTCCGGTCTATCTAGTGTAGCCGCACCCACCCTCCCCGGGCCAATGTCCATTTAATGCCGCCCCATTCTGGAAGAAGCAGGGATCGGTGCGCGCTGCCGGCCGAGCGAGTCCCGTTTCGAGGTTACCCGGGGGAAGAGGCCAACGGCGAGGTGGCCGCCGAGGGACTCGCTCGGCCGCGGGCGTCACCTTCGGTAGCGAGCGAAGAATGGGCTCTCCGCGCGATGTTCCGCAGGACCGCTACTACTCTATATTAAACAATTGTTTGCAGACCGACAGTTAAAAACGTTTTGATACCCGGTGTCGTATCCCCCGTGCCCCCACCCCCTAGGCGCGCTAGGCGCAAGCACCGACTTAGGGTACCCTGCAGCGAATGTCATTGCCCCAGCGAGCCCATCCCGAAGGTCCGGAACGCCCCGAAGCACGCGATCCCGCCGCATCCCCTCGTACGGAGCAAGTCCGCAGTGGTGCGCTCGCTTTACAGAAAAATGCGCAAACCCTTCACGAGGTCGCGGACCGTCGACGAGAACCTGATGCGGTATTACAGCCCCGAGACCAGCGAGTACAGCGTCTGCGAGGGCTACCTCCTGAAACCGGAAGAGCCCACCAGGGGCCGCATCCCCGAAATTTACGTCGAGGACTGCCTCCGGGTAGACTTTAACGAGCGCCTTCTGGACAAGTTCCGCCGCGGCGACTACCCGGGCGCGAGCTCCCTGCCGCGGGCAAGGACCCCCGGGTGGCGCGGTCGCGGTGGCGGCCACGGCTCGTCCGGGTTCCGGAGGGCCGGGGGCCTCGCCGATTCGAGGGTCGTCGCGTCGCCGCTCCTCTCCAGGGCTCGGAGCTTCGACCACGACCGGCTGGTCGGCAGGGCCGGGGAGCGGCTGCTCTCCAGGAAGGCCAAGAGCTTCGACCACGAGACCGTGTCCGCGACCATTACCGGGACCATCTCCGGCAACATCTTCAGCGACGATAGCCTGGGGACCGCCCGGCGCAAGCTGAAGAGGAACCTGTCGCTCAGTGACTCCAAGTACGGCGACAAGATCCCCGCCCTGGGCGACCGCAGCAAGTCCTATTATGACTCGAACGGCGACGGGAAGGAGCTCGTCGCCAGGATCAGGGCCGCCCGAGAGGAGGCTCGGCCCTTCTACGGGTACGACTCGGAGCTCAGCGGGGGCGAAACCGAGATCTATGTGCCCGGCCTCGACGAGGCGGACCCGGGGTCCGCGGTCGAGGTCGAAGGCTACGGGTCGGCCCTGGACGACGGCCTTTACGACGTCGGTTTCTTCCTGGGAGGCTTCCGCGACGCCGGATTTCTCGGAGAAAACGGCGACGGGAGGTTCTCCGACCGGGAGGGCGGTCTCTACGACCCGGGTGGGGACCACCTGTACTGTAGCATCGACGAGATCGACCCTCCGGGGAAGATGTACGAGGTGCACTCCTCCGGGAGGCGGAGGCGCGGGTCCTCCCTGGGGAGCCGGCACGGGGCGCGCGGTGACGCCGAGGAGGACGACTCGCGCTCTCGGAGGAGGGCCAGGAGCAGTGACGCCTACCTGGGGGACGGGCGAGAGACCCGCGAGAAATTGGAGCGGAACTACGGCGCTGAGTTCTCCAATGACGACGAGTACTCCACCGACTGCCGGGAGTACGGGGACCGGCAGCGGTACGACTATCGCGACGATTATCGCGACGATTATCGCAACGACTATCGCGATGGCTATCCCGGTGGTTATCCCGACGATCGTCGCGACGACTACCGCGAGGACTACCCCGAGGACGCGCCCTCGGCCCGGAAGGGGTACGTCGAGGCGCCCGAGTACGCCGACTACCGGACCTCGGAGTCCGACGGAGGGTCCCGGAGGCGGAGGCGTCGCCGCCACAGCGGGGAGATCAGGGACTACGAGAACGTCCCTCGAGGACGGGCCGAGTCTACGCCCGTCCTGCCCTCCGACGAGGACTACTTGGATCCGGGCGAGCGGCGCGTCCCTCGTCGCCGGCGCAACAGCAGCTGCCCCGAGCCGCGGGTTCTGGAGGACCTGCACCGGCTCGAGGAGCGGCGGTACTCGGGGCCCGCCCCGGACTCCGAGGAGGATTTCGGCTCGACGGAGACGGTGATCGGGCCCGGCGGCTCCAGCCGCCCGGAGGAGCCCGGGGCCAGGTACCGGCGCAGGAACAGCAGCTGCCCCGAGGCGCGCGACCTCGAGAGTCGCCGGGAGCGACCCGGTAGTAAGAGAAACGTCGCCATCAGCGACACCCTCGAGTACTACGAGTACTCGATGGAGAGCGAGTCCCAGTGCAGCGAGTCCTGCGGATTTGGCCCGTGCGATCCTCGTAGACCCCGTAATCGAGCACCCTGCCCCGGTAACGCTAATTCAAATCTCTTTGATTCCCAAACCGCTACCTCCGACACTGCTAAAAACGCTCGGGCCGCCGACGAAAACCCTCTCCAATCACGCGACGCCACCCGACCGTCCACGAAACCGGCCGCCACCGTGAACGACCGCTGCGACCACGCGGACCCGCGACCTCGACCGCGGAAATCCCGCGACGACGCCGACCGGCGCGCCTCCTCGATGCCGGAATCCAGGGACTACGGCCAGTCCGGCTCCTACGAGAAGACGTCCTCCCGGCACCCGGCCGAGGCCAACGGCAAGCGCGGCCAGTTCAGCAGGAGTCTCAGCAACGCCGACGTCCCGCCCGACGAGAAAGTCGGTGAGTAGACGCCCTGGCCCTCCCTCCCTCTAGACGTCCTCCCGTTCCCAGGAACCTCGGTCGCGAGCTCCATCCACCGGCCCTGATCCGATCGTTCCTTCCACAGACGGCAGTCTCAGCGACACGGCGGTGAACCTGCACGTGGAGGACGCCTCCAGGAGGGGGCGGAAGAGCTCTCCGGGCAGCAAGAGCGGAAGCGGGAGCAGCAGCGGGGGTGGAAGCGCGGTGCAGTACCAGTCCGGCTTGGGGAAGAAGAGTAACAGCACGAGCCAGCTATCCGCGACAGGTAACGCATTAGGGGTCGATATCTCGTCGCGTCGTCGCGACCTCGTCCCTCTCGGTCGGTCTTCGGGGCCTCTTCGGCCCCTGCGACCCCGAGGAGGAGGAGAGGTCGAGCTCGGGTCGGTCCTCTCGCCTCTCCTCGGCGTCTCGTTCGCGTTCGCCTCGCCGTCGAGGCGCGGAGGTCCTCCCAGGAAAGCGCCGTCGAGGACCCCGTTTCACCGATGCGGCCCCAGGCGACGATCCGGCGTGCTCTCCTCTCTCCGCGCGTCTCCCCTTTTTTCTCTATTTTTTTCTCTCTCTCTCTCTCTCTTCGTTATGGTAATTCCACCGAGCGGAGAGGACTCGACTTGGCCTCCGTCCCTCTAATTGGAGCGAGATGCTCGGACCTCGGTGTCCCGATTTCGCTCCCGACGCTTTTCCAAATTTCTTTCATCCCCGATCTACCAGTATCCCGAAGGCGTCCGACGTTTGGTCCAATGTTGCCCGCACGCGTTGAGGAATTTCGCCCTTATGTCGAAGGAGCTCAAAGGGGTTAAATGCGATTAGGAACCGGAGGAGGGAGCGCGTCGAAGGTCGCCGTCGAGAGCACCCTTGACTCGTAGCACCCATCCCTCAGCGCCCGATGCATTCTAATCGTCTGTGTTCTTCTTTTCTCCACCTCCCCCTCACCCTCCTTTTCGACACGACACAAATCTCGAACACACCCACACACCCACGCCGACTGCGTCGCTGGATGTGGCCGAACTCGGGGCGCGGCGACTTCTCCTCCCGGATACGCATCGTCACGGAGCACGTTCGTCGCCCCTGGTAATCGAACGCCGATCGAACGGGTAATCGATCGGATAACGACCCCCTGCCACGATTACGATACGGTACCAATTTCGGCCTGACTCTTTCTCTCTCTCTCTCTCTCTTTCTCTTTCTCTACCTATCTATCTCTAACGTATCGCCATGGACCACTCCACTACCATTCTTACGACCACCGTCATCACCACCACCACGACGTGCACAACCACGACCCCACGAAAATGTCCGATACGGTGACGTCGCGGCGCCGCGACGTCGCGCGACGTCACCCCCAACTGGCCGCATGCATAACGTCGCCACGTGCGTCTCTGTTGGTGGTACATGCGTGGGCGAGGAAGGGCGCAAACGGCGGCTCGGGTTCGGGAAGAAGGGGAAGTCGTCCTTTACAGTTCACAGGAGCGAAGAGGTCCTGCCCGAGGACACTGCCAGCGGCAGGAGCGGCAGACAGCCCAGCTCCGCCAGCAGCGACGGCGAGGGAAGCGCCGACGGCGACAGGTCCGACTTCGCACCTTGGAGGTCCTCTTCCGGGTCGCCTCTCCTTCCCCGTCCCTCCTTGACGGGAATGGATCCAGAAGTGGACGTCGCGCCGCGCTCGAAGGACGAACATCTCGAAGGACGTGGTGAATTAAAAAAGGAATCCTCTTTTCTTTATATCGAGTGTTTCCGACTCTTTCGAGCGAGGCGCCACTCTGGGTCCAATCATCCGTCGAGTTCCTGGTCACCGGGGAAATGCCTCTTCTGGATGGCGCGACGGTCCGAAGGATGCGGTTTGGAAGTGGCCCTCCTCCCGACGTGGAACTCCATCCTTGGTCCCCAGATTCCGTCGATGGTCGGTCGGAGAATCGCTCGAGCGCCGAAGCCGCGCAGACCCGGAGAGACGAGGGAGGTTGCAAATCGGATGCAACCCCGAGAGAGTCCCGAAAGTCGGCTCGGATGTCCTCGCGAAAGTTCGAACCGTAGCGGGAAAAAGCGCCTCGAGCTCTAACCGCGGGTAGATCTCGATCTCGGCCGATACCGGCTCGTCCAGGAAACGTGAGTACAGAGAAGGAAGTTTCAGCAAAGGGAGGGAGAACACCCCGACATGCCCAACATGCTCTCGACATGATCAACAGTAACAACATCAACAACATCAACATCGAGATACACACTAAACGATATTACTTTGTAGGTCGCGATTCCGGGACCGCCACCGACTCGGATCTCTCGATCCGAAGAGGCCGAACCTGGCCCTGGGAACGAGAGAACGTCCCCGAAAGGACCGAAACGAAAGTGAACGTTGAAATACTCCCCGTAACCGTTTCCCGGCGCGAAAGCCGTCGCTCGCGGGGAAGTTCCTCGAGGCGCGGGAGTCCGCGTCTCGAGGAACTTCGGGACGCGTCCCCTGGCACGGGAGGGTGCAGCTCCCGTCCGGACGGTAAGTCGGCCACGAGGACGTAGAAGGGCCGCAAGCCGCAACAGGTGAGAGGCAAGGCTTCTCCTTCGAGTACGTCGCGTCCTCCTTCGTGTCGGTCCTCTCTATCCCTTCGAGATCGCTCTCTCGGAGCGCCGGTCCGGCCGTGGCCGTTCCGATCCGTCGCGGAGCCGCGACCGAGAGGGTCCGACCCCGCCGCATCGATCGTTAGGGTAGTCGATCTAGCTTGCGACCTTTCCTTTCTTAGATCTAGCGAGTAAGTTGACTCTAGAGTAGCGGTAACACTTTGTAGTGCGCTCTCGGCCTGTTTAACCGCTTCCCACGCATCATCGAGTCTCGGAGGGAGGGAGGGGCTCCGGTCGCCGGTCGCCGGCCGCCGGACGTCCGTCCCTCCGGTCCGACCGGAGCCGGTCCAGTCGACGGCCGGCCGGGTCCCGGCGTGAGGCGACGCCACCGACGCTTCGCGTCGTCCAGCCGGGAGTCGGAGCGAGATAGTTAGCGGTATATCTGTTTGGTTTACAAAGCAGAGTGCGGCGGCGGCGTCGTCGGGGCCGGCCTGGACGCCCGGGGGCCCGGGTTCGCCCGCAAGCGAAACAGCACGCCGAGCAGCATTCAGCGGTCCCAGGAGGTCGTGCCGACCTACCAGCGACTGGCCGGAAGGCAGGCCGGATCGGTCACCAGCGACACCGCCGGAAGTCTCAACTCGATCTCTAGTTCCGAGGGAAGCTCGTAAGTAGAGCCGCCTCAAGACCCTAACCTACGTGGGGGCGCGCCGCGTCTTCTCGTCTCTCTCTTTCTCTCTCTCGCTCTCTGTCTCTCGCTCTCTCTCGCTCTTTCTCTCTCTCTCGCCTCCGCCTCTCCCCCTCCGACCCGGAAGCGAGGTTCCCATCCTCCACCCTCCCGAGGTCGCGCTGGAAATTGAAAATCGGAAATCGAGAATCCTCCCGGAAGGGAGGCTCTGGAAATGGCGTCCTCGGTTCCTGCCTCCTCTTCGTCGCGGTTCGTCCGGATTTTTTCGGCGCCTCCGTGTCCTCTTTCTCTTCCCACCCCTCCTCATGTCCCTCCGAATCCTGGGGACGGTAACTTCTAATTAAGTATCGGTGTCGTCGCCTTGGCTTCCTGCTTGGCTATAATCGCAAGTGATCGTTTATGCACCCTTTTTTTGATGCACCGATGTATACGTAACCACGCACCCCGCGACGGGAGCGGCTCGTCCGTCTTCCCCGGCTTCCTCGTGAACCGCCGAGAGAAAAGAAGCCCCCGAGGAAGGACCCGGTGCAGCCGTCGACCCTCTCCTGCGCGCAAGGGGACGTCGGCGCCTCGGCGGTAGAGTAGAAACCGAGGGGACACTCGCTCAGGAAATCCAGGATATCGATGCTCGAATCCCGGGGAAATCGGCCGGAAATCACCGGAAGTCATCGAGACGCCGTCAACGATTTAAGACCGAGGGTCCCTAGGTCCCGAATCTCATTGTTTGCCATATGAAATGAAAGGAAATCGTTTCCACTGATTTCCAAGCGAATCGCCCCTCGGTAGTGATTGGGTCTATACTTTTCCCATCCTAGAACGTGTCTCTTCCGGATGTAGACCTCGGCCCTGACCCACGGTGGACGCCTCTTCGAGATCGACCAGGAACGGCCGATCCTCGCTCTTCCGATCTCTCCCTCCCTCTCTGTCTTCTCGAAGCGCGTGTGTTCCAGACCTTCCTGACACCGTTCTACGCCTTGCCGAGTGACCTAGGGGTCCTCTTCAGGGTCTCGACTCTCGAAACTCCAGCTCTTCGGTTGGACTCAACGATCTCAGTAAAGATTAGTTCCCCTCTTAGGCCGATCTCTAGGTGCGCCGACCACGAAGAGGGTGTTCGCAGGGTGAGCGGAAAGTCCGCACCTTTGCGCTCGTGGACCGAATTTTCGTTGCTCGAGGAACATCTCGAAGAGCACCGGGACCTGGTTGCCGAAACGACGCCGGTTTACCGTCGTTTGGTCGAAGAAGGAGGAAGAAGAAGGGACGCGCGGCCTTCTCTTCTCCCTCCTTTGACATCTCACGTGCGACAAAGTGCGCTCTTTCCGAGTGCATGCATCGACCCTAGTTGCAATTCGATGGACGTCTTCCTTCCTCGATATCGTTACGATTTACCGCAATTGCTCCGTACCGTATCTTGTATCCGTGTATCCAAGTACGCATAAGTTTTGGCCTACTCTTCACGCGACAGGGCATGCCCTTGTACCGTCCGGTCGCGGTCGGCCCATCGGATTTTAATCGTTTTAATTCTTTTAATTACATTGATTATTTTTTTTATACCGCCTTCCGGGTGGCATTCGCGTCTCCGGGATGGGCCCGCCGCGGTTGGACGTAATTATAGTTGGTCGCGCCTGTATGGACTTATATGGAATGTGTATCTCTCTCCCTCGTGCATGCTTATCTCTAGCCTGCCTATTATTACTACCTCCTAGGATAAGTCTCTACGTCGCCTCTTTTCGTGTACGTCGTCATTCTACTCTTCTACACATTGTCACATACACGCCGACACGATGACACTCCTCGAGGTGAGTTCCTCCAGACCTTGCCTCGAACGGAATGCGATCTCTCTTTCTGACACTTCCGAAGGACGCCGCCGGTCTCCGAGAGCTCTAACGCGGATCTGGACGTTTTTTAAACTCGCCTTCCACCCCGTACCAGGGTCTCGCACTTGGCCCCCGAAGAGCCCCGAGCACGAAGTTCCGAGGCGCCTTCGAGGGCGGTTCTTGCCTTCCGAGGACGACTCCTTCTCGGCGGGAAGTAGACTCCGAAGAGCCTCGGAACTCCGAGTTATCCTCCGGAATAAGAAACGGCCTCTGTCCCGGGGAAAAAAGGTGTAAGAACCACCGAGTGCATTTTTCTTCTGCCTCTACCTCTCTCTCGTTCTCTCGCTCGTCCACTCGAAAGCCGAGTGCCACGAGGTCGAGCTCCTCCGCGTAGATTCTCCGGCCGACCACCGAAATCCCGAAGCCGGCCCCGCGGATTTCTCTAATGGTCCTTTCTGAAAACAGTTGGTCTCCGAGTCTGCGAATGGCAGGCGAAAGCGGCCAGTTGAGCAACTTCATCGACGGCTTGGGACCCGGCCAAATGGTGGGCAGGCAAGTTCTGGGTGCACCCTCCCTGGGCGACATTCAGTTAGCCCTGAGCCACACCAAGGGGTACCTCGAGGTCGAGGTCGTCCGCGCCAGAGATCTCCAGGTCAAGGAGGGGAGCAAGGTGCTACCAGGTTCGTCCCGTCCTTGGAACCTCGAAACCGAAGGCGAGCACCGATATCAAACGCGACCTACTCTTTCAGCACCCTACGTCAAGGTCTACCTGGTGAACGGGAAGAAGTGCATAGCCAAGGCCAAGACCTCCGCCGCGAGGAAAACGCTGGACCCCTTCTACCAACAGGCGTTGGCGTTCAAGGAGAACTGCGATGGCTGTATACTGCAGGTGAGCGTCCTCGCACTTGACGAAAACGTGGAATTCCATCAGGACCTTCTTCTTGATCTCCCGATTTTCGGTGAATTCCAGGTGACGGTGTGGGGTGACTACGGCCGGATGGAGGGGAAAAAAGTATTCATGGGCATAGCACAGATCATGCTGGACACTCTGAACCTCAATGAGATGGTGTTCGGGTGGTACAAGCTGTTCGGCACCACGTCCCTGGTCAGTGGACCTCTTCCCCTTGGCTTATCCCGCAGATCCTCCGCGGCATCCCTCGAGTCCTTGAAATTCTGAAACCCCTTGTTGCCGATCGGCAGACTCCTCCACCCCCGGGGTTCCCTCGGCTGGAATCCCGAGTGGACGATCGACCGATCCGTGTGCAAGATCGCCGTAACGAATTCGGATGATCGGCCTTTTGGATTCGGGGTGCTCCAGTGCCCGAATCTCGGGGTGCCGATCAAACGTCGCCTCGATTAATAGTCGTTAAGACATAAGTCGTATATCTGTAAAGTAAGGGGCTAATTGCACCCTCCACCGAGGAGACTTGCACCGATCGACGGTCGTTCGTCCGGTCGGGTGAACGATCGATTGGATCGATTAGCTAGAGACCGACGGCTCTGAATACGGTGCGATCGGATCGTCTCTGGATGAGGATGGGAAAATGGGAAAAAAGTACCGAAATGGGGATCTCGAAGGAGGGCAAGAAGGGGGTAACGACGTAGAAGGGCTCCTAGCAGAGAACGCGGGCAAGGGACATGTCTTTCTAGTGTCATCGCTAGTACACCACATATCATGTACGGCATATCAGACGAGCTACTAGCTGTATGTTGACTAGCCGTAGACGTAGCAGCTACGTTCCCGGGGCTCCACTAGCTCTAGGTACGCACTTAGTTCAAGGCATTGTTCGTAGATGGTTGCTCTTGTCAGTATTTTCCGCCCCAATTGCCTGACAACCCCTAAAGTCGCCGACTTGCGCAAACTGTCTCGAGACCCTTGCCTCGCAGTGGTCTTTATCCAAACCCTGACGTTTCTTTTCGATTTCTTTTCTACATCCGTTTGGTGGAAATGAGTGCCCTGGATTGATGCTACCCACGGCTGCTTGTTGGTATAATTGGTTAATTAAGTGGTTAATACTTCGGATCACTTCCCGCCACCTCAGCACCTCCAGTTTATCCTGTCGCACCTGTCGCACTGGTCTTGCATCTTTACTCGGTATCGTAGTTCGATTCCCTTCTGTCGAGCTCGTTGCACCCGCGTAATACCACTTGCACGAGTGCGTAGACGCAAGTTCTCCATCGACGAGGTGCCGGGTGCCAAGGCATGAATTTTTATCAATCCTTCGAGTAAAATGGTACCTCGTCGATGAGAGTCGCCGGAGCTGGGTAAAGAGCGACCCGAAGTAGTATTGTTCTCGGCACGAATTCACGGGGAAAGTATTACTCCTTGAAGTCTTCTACCCAGCTCCGGAGGTATCATCTCATTATCGCCACGTGGGAAAAGGTTTAAAAAAAATATTCCACGTCATTTCCCCTCGAAGGTAAGTCCTCGCCGTATTCGGAGTCTTGTGTACGACGTTCCCTTTCGATGTCTCCCTTAAATCCCGTGCCGCGTCCTCAGGACCCGGAATATTGATCCGGGAATTCTTGTTTCCAGTGAAACCAACACGAGCCGAGTTCGGGGTAGCTTCGAGACGAACTCGAGCGTGGGTTATCGAGGGCAGAAAGTGCGCGATCGAGGCCGATCGAAATCGATGATCCCGTCAGGACGAGAAACCGATCATCGTGTTCCGGAAGAGCCTTCTCTTGGCGGCCCTCCTTGGCGACGTCGGGGGATCAAGGGGATCGTCTCCGTCGTTTCAGTGGCGAGGAAGTGGGGAATCGGTATCTCTTGACAATTGACATCGATTGACTCTTCGAGGGACAAGAGGGACCGTACACGAGTATACCCGCGGACTCCGCTTGCGACTTGTACATAAACTAGGGCGAGAGTTTTTCTAATTGTTCCGCGGCCCGATCGGCGGAAACGACGAGCCTCGAGGGTCGTCCACGACGAGCCTCGAGGGTCGTCCACGTCGAGCCCTCGGGGATCGTCCACGTCGAGAGCCGATCGGCCCGCAAACTGCGCTCGCTTCAATTTGGGAAAAGCGAGTTTCGCTCGCGAGAGCGCGACTAGCTTCTAGACTCGACCTTAGGCGATGTAACTGGATGAAGCATTCCCTAAACTAGCTCGTAACTTTATGGACCCGACCCTGGGGTCGCGTAATACGTTCGTTTAATCCTTCGGCCAGGACCGGTGCCTCTGAGACACCATAAAGTACCTATGAGGTACGCCAAGGTGGATCCAACGGCGAAGGGTTAAAGCGAACTTTGTGAATGTCTTATTGCAGCGGCTCTTTCGGATATTACACGGTTACGCGATCCTCGAGGTCTACCCCGGAGATTAGCCACGATGGTTCATCCATGTACACATAATTATGGGCTCGACCTAGTCCTGACCCCATGGCGGAAATTCGCCCCTGTCGGTCATCCTTGACGGAACGTCCGACGTCGGACATTATTCAAAATTAATCCTCGCGTATCTCCAGGGATAATTAACGAGATAATTAGTCGTAACTAAGTAGCTCTAGCGTTATCATTGTCGTTTCATCGAGACCGTCTTTGGAAGCTGATTGGATCTTTACGTTCGTTTGGCGAAGGGTTGTCGATGACAGAGTCGGGCATCGGGCGGTACGTCAAAATCAGCTGATCCGACTGGGCCAGGACGAAGTCATACGGAACACCGTAGAACCTCTTTGAAAAATAGTAAGGGATAAATCGAAGCACTGTATCGACCGGTGTGTACAGGCGGATCGTCCAGCAATGTCTTTCTTCGTACGACCACGTCGCGTCTGAAACCGTTTCCGCTTTCTTTCCTTTGACTTCTTCGCTGTGCAAGCGGGGCGCGCGCCCCGGGAGAGAATCGTCCGATTTTGCCGAAGGTTGACATCGATTAAAAAAAAAAAAAAAAATCGGATCTATTCCCCTCGACGCGATCGCCCCGACTAATTACGTTTCTCACTCTTCTTGTCGCGTCTGCGATCAGTAGCGGAAATTGCAAAGTGCATCGCTCGATTGCCAAAGTGCACCGTTTCTTGGTCTTTGTCTTACTTGCCGATTCTATGTTGCACAGGGCACATACACACATATGTATACATACGGGTACTTGACAATGGCATCCCGGAGGATACAGGGACAACCGAGGGAATTATTTAGAAACGACGAGATGGGATGACAAATTTTCAGTCCGTTTGAAAAATCGCGTCACCTTGACTGCTTTGACAATTCGAATTTAATGCCAAACGAGGGGAAACGACAATCGGGGGATTGACCAAATTCCGATTAAAATGGGATCATTCGACTGACTCTAAAATCCCGTGGTGTAAAAAAGATGCGTGCACAAAAAAGAGGGAAATAGAATTTTTTAACGAGACGCCGGCTCGAATTATCCGAGAGAGAAGTGACGGGGGGTTAGAGATTGTCCGTTGTCATTAATTTATTATCATTACCGGTGTCGGTTTACGGTAACTATTCTCGTCGCTATCGTACCTACGGATAAGACGCGAGAGGGAGGAGCCACCTTTATCATATCTATAACGTGCTTAATTGAAAAAAAAGGAGCGATCGGCAGGAAGAGCTTTTATACTTCGGACTAAAACGGAGGGAGATGGGATAATCTTTGTAGAGCCACGTAATTAGGGGACTGGGCGGGATGACGGGGACTACGTGTAAGTACTGTGAAAATTACATATATCGTAGGTGATTTCTAAGCGAAGCAAGGCAAAAATGAATTTTACAAAACGTGCGAGTGCAGCTGCCGGGAGTGCGATCTTTGAGCAAGAGGCCGAGTGAATGCGAGCGAGCGAGAGAAGCGGAGATAAAGGAGTAACAGCGGGAAAGAGAAAAAAATAAATAAATAAAAAATAATAAGTAAACCGAGGATCACGCGAGAGCGACTTTACGAGCGCATTTACCCGTGTGATGGTAAATCGATCATTGATAAATATACCAGACTATCACACGTGACACGTTCGGTTCGTAATCTGCCAAGAAAGTCGGAGTCCTTCGTCGGTCGGATTGTTCATTTCTTTCATTTCGATTCGATCCCCGAAGTCGTTGATAAAAGGTAAATCGCGAGTTCGGTTAGCTTCTGAATATCTCTCGGGGAACTAAGGTAGATATCCTCGTAAGAGGAGTCCGCGGATCGTGCGCTACCGACGCTTAAAACATAATAAATATTGCATATCCTATACAGACATAGTAGGACTTTGATAACCAATTAACGGATCTTATAAGACTATAGCCGCGCGAAAGTGGATCAGCTCGACGCTCTTTTGTCTGTCTTTTTTACGAGGAAACCAAAAATCGTACACGCCTTTCGTCGGAAGTGTTTTCCGAGAGAAGTCGAGGTAAATTTTCGGGAAATCGGGGATTCCCATCAGGAAAACGGGGATAGGAGGAATCGGGAGAAAAGGAGGCAAGTCCCGCGAATCGCGGATTCGAGAGAGAGAGAGACTCCGACAACCTGCAACGCATCGGGGACACCTCTGTATACATAAATGTATGTAACATAAAACTGCACTATACGTCGTACGATTACTATACATATATAAATATACCTATAAATATGGAGATATAAATATAAATAACAAGCGAGGATATACGTATCGCGGCGGCCGGCGATTATACATAATAACACTAACGATTCACATTAAGAGTGCGCTATGCTTCGTTCAAAACGCAAACCGGCATAGCAAGAGCTCCGACCAGATATTCGCTCGTCCCTTTTCTTTTTTTACGCAAGTCCAAGTATAGTTTGCCGAGGCAAGTACAAGGGAGAGAAATTTCCCGACGCGCGTACAGGTGGGATGAGCAAGGGGTGAACATTTTCTCGCGGATTTTCAGGATTTGGGCCAATCGCTCGGATCGATCGATCGCTCGGATGCGAGTCGATCGACCGGGCCAAAAAAAAGGGAGGAGGCGCGACGGCGCATGGGACGTCGATTCTTGCGTTGCCGATTTGTACATAGGCATGCTCAATCTTAGATCGACACCCTGGAACACACGGAAAGAGGGGACAGGAGGTATACACGGTGGATCATGTACGCTTATAAATATGCATGTATATATACACATATTATAACATTAATACTAAAAGATTAATATTTGACTTTGTACCTATATACTAGTTAACTTAAAGTCTTACGATGTATCGGCTCGATTGGCGAGACGACGTTGCTCGGTGGGGGTGGAAATCGGAGCCGTGATATGGGGCTGCGAAGTGACGGAGAGGGTGGCGGACACACTTACGACGCGTTACACGGTCATGGGGTACCACTTTTGTCAAATCTAGCGAGCCAACTTAGGATTACCATTACCATGGGGAGCGGGCCGGGGGACGGGGAGACGAAACCACAATGCCAACCGTTGATTATCATTAATTACTACCTTAATTACTAAATTAACGACTACCTAGAGAGAGAGAGGATCCACTCGTAGGATAGGCGATCTCGTATCTCGAACCGGGTAGGACGAATGGCTCGTGCCCCGACCTCCTGCCGTAGGGAAGGAGGGCAGGATCCTCTCGTCCTGAGCGAAACCGAGATACATCGGATAAGGTCGAATTTCGAGCTCACCTCGCAAAGATCGGGGCACGAGCGATTTCGGACCGACGTGGACTCTTTCTTTTGATACGAAGGAGGGTCCACGGAGACCCTCGATACGCCTTCGTATGAGATTTATCATTTTTGTCAAGAAGTTAGGGGTAAGGAGACAATGTGCGAGAGAGCGAGTCCTTTTTTCTTTTCCCACCTCGAGGGGTAGGTGCCTGTCGTCTCCCGAGATTTCGAGGAAGGAGGAACGAAACTAACGAGTACGATTATAGGCGGTCGTTTCGCGAAAAACTGCCCGGAACTCGTTGGAGGGCGGCGTGTTTCGGTTCGGAGGGAGGTGAGAACTAGGAGGTGCGAGAGCGAGATTGGCGCGAGAAATCGGGACCGATCGTTCCCCTCGATTGTCCGAGGGCTCGGCCAAGGAGTTCGGGCGGCAGCATTGCGTGGAACGATTTCATTTAAAGCGTTAGTGATTGTATCCAGTATAATATACCAGATAAAAAGATACCCCCAATGCCAGACTTGGCGTGTGACAATAAAGTGATTCAATGATACGTCTCTTGGTGTTCTCCCCTTACCTGGCCTAGCTATACGAAATTACGCACTGATTGTCACGAGTGCCAAACAAATAAATACATGCCAGGCACATGTTTCAACGGCTGTCAAATATGTAGATAACCACTAAGTGTGGAGACACTTTTTCCAAATTTACGTGCACCCTCATCGGACCCTCCGAATTTCTACCAACATGTAGATGACGCTTCACCGTCTTTCCAAACTCCTAAATTGTTAGTTTCCCTCCACTCCGCAAATCATGTCCCATACCCACGTGTGCAGTTGCGAACATACGAAAGTTGTGGAGGGAGTATTCGGACAAATGTGCTCGGGTAAATTGGTATTATTAAGTACACGGACGGGAAGTATAGGAAAGAATTTTCTAACGCGATTCTTCCAGAGTATCCTCAAAAGCGATGCTCCAGGAAATCCGAGGAAGAGTGGAGTGGCTCCGAATTAGCTCTCGGAGAAGGCGATCGCTCATTCGATGAACCAGCTCAGCTGATCGTCAAATCCTACACGATGACGAATTCTAATCGCATGGAAGTGGTGATCATCACTTGGGGAGCTACGATCGTTTCCCTAAAATGTCCCGACAAATTTGGGCGACCGGCTGACGTCGTCCTCGGCTTCGACAACCTGAAGAGTACATATAAATTAAACGTCGACCGTAATTATTTCTAATTTTTTATACGAATATTTTTTGCAGGCTACATGGATCCGACTTTAAATCCATTCATCGGCTGCATCCTAGGAAGGTGTGCGAACCGCATAAAGGAGGGATGCTTCACTCTGAAAGACAAGCTTTACCAGCTTTCGACGAACGACTCCAATCTTCATCACATTCACGGAGGGGTACGAAAAATTGTTCTAAAATTTTTCTTATAAAGGAAAAGAAAAAAAATTCAACTCTTGATGCTATTAATCGCAGACGAACGGATTCGGCCGACAAGTATGGAACTCGTACGTCGACGGGTGCAACGTGGTGATGACGTACCTAAGCCAGGACGGAGAAGAGGGCTATCCAGGTGCAATGCTCGTTACGATTATATTTCAATTAACGGCCGATAACAGACTGAACATAAATATGCGAGCTACGACTTCCAAAACGACCATAGTCAACATGACCCATGGCACATTTTTCAACCTGGCCGGCCACGTGAGTGTGAACGATTATGAAATATTGTGAAACGCGGGGGAGAGAAATTAATATTCTTGCAGGGTGCCGGAGAAAAAGAGCTGGGAAAACACCAAATCTCGTTGAATTGCAACCGATGGACATTCGCGGATTACGAGGATCCGATTCCAACCGGAGCCATTCGCGGAGTCGGTGGAACCATAATGGATCTCCGAATAGCACGACTCCTGGCATACGTGATGTACAAAGTAATGACAATAATCGGGTAGCTCAGGCTTTTCCTACATTTTTCCCTGCTTTTCAGGTCCCTCCAGGTGAGGGCTACGATCACAATTTTTGTGTCGTTCGAAGTTGGGAGCCGGGAATTTCTTTCGTGGCTAGGGCATTGCATGCACCTAGTGGAAGGGTTCTAGAAGTCTACTCCGATAAGCCCGGGGTGCAGTTTTACACATCGGGTCGATTTCCCCCACAGCCCGTTCCCGAATCGTCCTCGTCCTACAACAGCTGCCTGAATATCGGAAAAGTGAATATCAATTTGATTTACGAATTCTTCGGCGTATAAAAATCTTAATTCTATCTTTCCGCGTGCAGTGGGAACAGGACATGGAGTTGGATAAATTCGGGAGTTCCCCAGACTTTCAGGGCGAGGAGGAGGAAGGCGAGCAGGACTTCCGGACAGAAACTCCGCCTTCCAAGCCGCTGGAGTTTATTCCAGGGAAAAATGGAGCTCGCTACAAGAAGCACTGTGCATTTAGTATCCAGCCACAGAGTTATCCAAACGCCGTTAATATCGTACGTAACTCTATTATTTAATCCTTTCTGAAAACCTGAAGAAATTATTTCTGATCGCAGAAACACTTCCCATGTGTGATTCTCCGCCCAGGCCAAGTATACCTCCACGAGCTGGCGTACAAATTCGGAATTCAATTAAGAAATTATATGTAAACGTTGGCAATAAACATATTTTATAGGTCGTTGCTTTATTTGTTCGATACGTCCGATCGGAGCCTGTAATTTGCATCTGTTTACATATAATTTGTATATTCGTGCTTCTCGTTATTCGCTTGTAAATGCCACGCTCGTTTCCGATTGGCCAATTCCGTTGGATCTTGCTCGGTCATTGGAGGAAAAGTTCTAGTCGGTGAATAACCTGATAACGGTGGGAAGTGGGACCACGTGGATCCAATGACGTAGCGTCCCGCGTTGCCATGGCGACGAGTGCGGCATGTAAACAAACCCATCTGTCAGTGTCAATGCGTTTCTAGGGAAGGATGAATTATCTGAGCAGTAGTGCTGCATTTCTATTCTATTTTATCTACTTTTCGTCTTCCAACGAAGCGTTCAAGATAGAAAATGAAATATTCGACTACGCCGACCCCAGTAAATGTAAAGCCAACGAGTATTTCGACGCGGCCACGCTGTCATGTGCGGAGTGCGATTTTACGAGGAATCTCGTCCCCTCGGATGATCGTAAGTAGGAGATCGATCGTTATATTCGTATCGGGTAAATTGAGAGAATCTTTTTAGGTCGGAAGTGCGTCTGTAATAAAGACAGCAAAGAAACCGGCTGGGAGAATGGCCTCCCGATTTGTGTGCCCTGCGGTCATGACGAAGTCGTCACGACAAGTGGTACAGACTGTATTCCGTGTAAGAAGGAAAATAATCGGACTTCCTGTACATGTCTGCCCAATGAAATAAAAGGTAAGTAGTAGATATTACTAAATACTGCTTAGCATTATTCGTACCAATTCATTTCAATTTTTTTTTTTTTTTCAGTGGAGAGGAACATATCCGGGGAGCTCCTAGACTTCGTGCAGTGTCTTCCATGCTCGGAGAATTTTTATCCAGCATCCGATGCGACTAAGTGTCTACCGTGCCAAGGTGTAAAAGGCCACGTAAATTGTGCCTGTCCTCTAGTGTCTCACGTTAGGATACAAAATTACTGTCTTCACAAAAGTGGCCTCGGGGAGTGGCCCGATACCAGAAGCACATATTTAGTCAAGTTCAAGAGTCAAACCGTCGACAGTTATTACTTAAGAACGGAGTTACGCTTGACGATGTACCTCTGCAAGGTAAGTGACCCATTACTAAAAAGTTTAATTTTTCGTTGTCGCCCCCCCAAGTAAATAAAACATATTTATCCAGAATGGAGACACGATAGCCTGCGAGCGTCTGTCCAACATGTGCGCTCTGACTTTGTTCTCCGAGGGAGTGGCATGTAAATTATTTACAGACAAATCTCTAAAAGACTCTCCGGTGTGGTTATTCTACAGAGAGGGCGACGCTTTTGCCGTGTTAAACCGCAAAAAGATATCGCAAAGTTACAGTCTCGGAAGAAACGACGAAGTAAATTCAACATCGCGCTTATATATATATTTTTTTTATTATATGGAATATTTTTGCAGAACAGCAAGTTGAATTTAACAGTAGCCAGGTTCTCCTTGGAAGGCGAGATTAAGTCAGTAGATGTCCCTGAATTATTTTGCCACTGGCTGAGAGACATCAGGTTCGGGGTTAACGTTAACAGACGTTGCAAATTGTCCGCCAAGGCTCTGTTAAATTCACCAACGGAATTCTTCTCCCCGTACCTTGCGTACAACGAGAAGGGCAAGCTTTTGCTCTACACCTTGCCAGTGTTAATTAAAAATTTAAATTTCGTACGTCCCTACGATATAAAATTTCTTTACGCGCATGTAAGTATTGAAAAAAAATAACGCTCGCCCTTTGTCCGTAGATGCGGAATGAAAATGACTTTACACAGTGGCAGCTGGTCCGGAGATTTTTTTTAGTCGACAGCGTGACTGGTTTTAAAGCCCTGCCAAATTCTATCGGGGATTCTTACAAGAGAGAATCGGAAATATCCGTCCTTCGCTACCTCAAGTCCCTCAGTGTTCTGTAATTACGATAATTAAATTTCTCCAACTTGTATTCTTAATTCTACCGACATGTCTTCATTTCCAGGATCAAGGTACAAGACAGGGAGGAGCGAGGAAAAATATTTCCTCCCCAGCTCGTCTTGGAGTACAGTGAATTGACCAGGCAAGAGATTCTCGACAACGTGGAGGTCATTTTAGACTATAAAGTCACTTACGACTTAACGGACAGCGATATGGACAGTGCTGTTGAGGTAAAAACGGAGGCTCAACTTTGAACTTCGCGAAATGTCAGGCCAAGACGTCGGCGTTTTATGGGAAGAATTTTTTACAGGTAACCATAGGGATTTTATCGGGCTTTGCCGTGGCCTTTTCCGCAATAAAGGCCTGGGGCTATTGCCGGCGAAATTACAACGGCGTTCCTAACGCCCTGGTCTTCCTTTGGTTTTTAATCTATTGCCTGGGAACTGTGGGAAACGTTCTCATTTTAGTATCGCTCAGTGCGAGCATTTACACCTTCGTTTTTTACAAAGGCCAAACGGTTCTACATATCCTACTCCCTAACGATAGCACCGAGACTAATATTCGAGTCTGTACGATAATAGGGTTCTGCTTCAAAGTAAGTACAATTGCCGTAAAAAATTGTCAAATCTCTTTAACCGCATATAAGCGTATAATTGTTCACAGACCGTAGAAGTAGCGGCGCTTATATTTCGATTAAGAAGCGTAAGCATTTTTTTCATCGACTGGGAACAGCCCAGGACGATTCAAGTGCAATCGCAGTATGACTCGCCTCATACTTCCCTAAGAAAACTGTACACGAATCGGTTTACCCCGGACACAATGCACAGACCTTTGAAAAAATCTTCAGAGATCCTAGCAGCCAAAAGAAGCAAAACTCCTTCCAAATCCAGTAGAGAGAACAGTCCTAGACGTAGTGCCATTTTGTTAACGCGTGCCAAGCATGAGGAGGATTTGTTAACAAATTCCTCGGCTACGAATTCTTCCGTGGGTACTCCTGACGATCACGATCAGTCCCAGAATGTTCCCGTGAGCATTTGGAGGACATACTTTGTAGCAAAAGCCTGGTTAGAAATCCAGACTAAAAGGAGAGTCAATATGTACGTCCAGGGGATTCTTACACTTATTCTTTTGGAAGTACGTACTGCAATAAGAAATAGGTATCATTATTTCCTGGAGCTTTTGACAATTTTAGACAGTTTAATATAATGTTTGCAGGTCGTCGGATTAAAGTTCTGGGCCTTGGCAGTGCCAGAATTGATTACGGAGAATGAGGGAGATTACTTTGAAACGAAGCAGAATTTTACATTAAGACATGCCATCGGAGGATCAACGTACATATCGATTTACATTACGCAATGGTTAATAATTGTAGTATTTTATGAGCGATTTATAAAGAATCGGATATCAGATTTCATAGATATTTGTTCGGTAGCAAATATCAGTGTCTTCATTCTAGCCCTCGACTATTATGGATTTTACATACATGGACGGTGAGTTTTTAAGAGATATTTGTTACAAAATATATGGAATTAAAACACTTGCAGATCGGTCCATGGATTTGCGGACACTGACCTTGCTACGTTAATAAACAATCTCAAAAAGGAAGAACAGAATCTATGTGCACACAGAGGATTAATTCCAGGGACTACAGAGCAAACTTTTATAATGTCTGTATCGAGAACGTTTCGAGAGTTTTATAATAAGATTTTAAATATGCAGGCTACTGTGAGTACAGTTTTGCGAATCATGTAATTAATGGAAACATTTATTTAAATTTTCACGCGATATTGACAACTTTCGGTTACAGAATAATGAAAAAATGTTTAGGAGGCATTTTTCTGATACAATAAATTCCGATAGAAGCGTACAAGGTCACAACAAGATGAGACGATTTTTAACTAACTTCTTGGACCATTGTTTCAAAGATCTGGATTACGTTACCAAAGAACGGCAGTTTCTAGAAAAGTTGTGCGGCATCGAGTTTACGGATACTTCGGACAAGTCTGTCTTTTACATAGGTAATTATTTTTGACGTATAAATAATTATCCTCCTAACCGAGAGTAAGGTTTTTAACTTTTATTTTCAGATAACAACCATTCATTTGATCATGTTATTTTTTATGGCAACGAGTGGACATTGGCATCATTCGAGCTAACAATATTCTTGTTTATCGAACTTTTATGGGGTAACTACATTCTTGCAGTTATTATTACCGTCATACTCTCGCAAGTGTTAATTATGTGCACTAAATTTCATGATAGACAAAATGTAGCTAAAAAAACATTAATCGACGAAAGACTTCTAATGTAGATATTTTGATGCCATTGTAAAATCTATATAACATAACGATGCTTCATGCATTTATCTTACAGATAGGCTTATCTAATATATATCTATAATAAGTACACCTGGGCACTGATTACTGTAATATTATAAAACATCTGTGGAATAAACAGATATTTCTTACATATTTATTTGCTCCTGCTTCGGTTTTCCTTCTGTACAACTCATCACGTATATAAGACTACACAACGTAACTATACCCCAAAACGATCCATTAGATTCAATGATGTTTATCGGACTCACCATGTTCTCCATGGTGCTTATCACCATTTAAACCCAAAGCATATTCAATTCCGATAGTTACCAGGAACGCCGCAAAGCCGAATTTAAGTCCTCTAGTAAAGAACTCGAAACCACGACTCCTAGAAGTCCCCCAATCCTTGGTGTATCTCCAAACTTCGTTCCGCACCCAAGGGTCTTTGAGTCCATGTTTCGCTAATCGTTCTTGAAGTTTTATTAACTTGGGGCAGTCTTCGACTTTGAAAGTTTCATAATTTGGAACCACATAAGGAGGTTTATGGTGTCCATGAGCATCTCCATGTCCAACCATTATCTGTATTTCAAGACATTTCGATAAATCACATAACTATCTACGAATAAACCAATAATCAGAAGGAATATTCAATCGTGAATTAAAAGTACTACGTTCGGAAAGGAGTAGGCACATTGTAGGTTAACCGCGTTGGATTTCTGTCTAACAACTAAGTTCAACTTACGTTATTTGAATTAACCTCAACCACTCAATGATATAAACCGTTTTCTTCTATCCCCACAGTAATCTCTTAAAATCCTTAGCACTTTAAAACCTTTTCACCCCTTCATGAATTTACGTAATTTAAAGAACACGAGTACCCAGTCTCGGAAAATTCTCTCGCGGAGGTAGGACGCACTCTGGTGGCCGGTCTTGAAACTGGTCCATGGAACATTACTGCGCGTCAAGCGCGGTGTATTCAAATTTCAGCTCCAGCAGCTCTACCCGCTCGCCCTCCACCTCTCTGCAATTCATTTTACCACACTCATGATTGAGAAATAGTGTCGAGATACTTCTGAGATAGTTGTAAAAAGCATTTAAAGCAACAGGGGAGGATATACGTCGCCTCGGGCGCTCGAAACCGAGGGGTCGCGTCGCCTCCCTACATCCCTGCGACGGGAGTGATTTTTCGGACCACTGTACTCCCCGTCGGGCGAGACGGGGGTGTGCGCATTCTCCGCGGACCGATCGATGCTGGAAATAGCTCGGGCCGGAGTGCGAGGTGAGTCGGTTGCTTTTAACCAGAGAGCTTTCGGGCCTCTCCGAGAGTTTCGCCGGAATCCATTCCCGTGAACTTTCCGGTCCCCAGCCGTCGCCTCGGAAGGCACCTCCGCCCTCCTCGGCGGGCTGCTCCACGGCGGGACCGGCCAGGGGATGACGCGGACCAGCACGACCCACCGCCGACCGATGTGACCGATGAGGCTCAATTTGTGAGTATTACCTTCTACAGTCCTCCATCTTGCTCCATTATTCACCGAATGTCTGCCATTCCCTGCCGGTCCTGGGAGGGAAATTTCCCCGGGGAAGTCCGGGCAAAGAAGAGGGACCGCGGTCACCTCCTCTCGCTCCCACCCTCCGGTTCTCAGGTTTTGAGGTCATCCTCTTGCGCGGAGAATTTACCGGCCCGAGAGGTCGATCGCCTTTAGTCGAGAAAGGACTCCGGGGTAATTTTCGCTCGTAAAAAGGATCGTAAAGGAGAGGTCGACGTAACTCGGAGGATCAGGCCGGTTCCCATTGATTTTCTTATTTTATCCATTTTATTCCCCGACCTCGGGGGTGAGAATCGCGAGAGTGCAGGGGAAGAGGTCGATCCCCTTGGGAAGGACCGATTATTTTTAGGATAGTACGAATAGCGTGGGGTCGTTGGTTTTAGGAGTAGTTTAAGGTGTTGGTAAGGTACGACTCGATGGTACATGGACGGGAGATCGATTATTGGAATAATTGATAGCGGGGCTTCTGACGCCTCCGAGTGGAAAGCCGGACTCCTATCTCGGTGGATTATTCGTTATTGATCGCGAGCTTTTTTTCCTTCGAAAAGCGGAGACGTCGAGATTGCGACAGTACGGCCGAGGGAAATTATTTTCGGCCGATCCGAGCGGGTGGGACATTTCGTTCACGGTAACACCCTTCGATCGATCTCCCGCGATCTTAGCCCACGATAGCGAGCCGTACTTAGTCCTCGTTCATTGAATGGCCGGGAATACAGGTCCTAAAAATAAAGCACCCTCCGCCACGTCGAGAATAAGCGGCTCCTTCTCTTGCTTCCTTTATTTCCCTAAGAAAATAGCCATGCCCAAGAAACCGACGCTACACGCCAGGCATTGAAGTCCCCAAAATCCGAGTCCCCGACTTAGCCTCGAAAATCTTAAAAAAATATTTCCGACCTATTGAAAAAAATTCCCATATCATTTTCTCCGCATGCCTATACTAATCCACCCGTGTGCAATTAATCTAACACTTGCGGATCGAATTCCGGCATTTTAATCCGGAGCGATACACCTGTCGCTGGTTGGAGGTCTCTTTTTTTCGCGGTACCGCTCGGGGCCTCGGATTTTTAGGAAGTGGGTCAGTTTTTCCGAACTCTGCGGGGGAATTCGGTCCTCGAGCAGCCGAGGAGCTTTTCGTTTCGAGGCACATGTCTCTTTGCGTCAGCAACCCTCGATGACGCGGGGGTGGAAGTCGCGGTTGGTGGGATGTCAAGCTGCAGAAGCCGCGACCCTCGCTTCTTCTGCTTTCGCGTATCGATTCGAGTCCCCTGGTCACGTTTGCGGGTGTCTCGGTGCCCGATGACCCCTGACACGACATTAACGTAAAGTAGTTACCCCCCGGTCGACGAATAATTAATATCCGCTTCCCATAACCACTGAATATAATTTCTTTTCATTTATCGACAACCCCTAGACCAACAGTGTAGCGACATAAAAAATTCATTAACGACCCCGAACGTTAAAATGACATCTCGTTGGTTTACTCGGCAATGATTGTCCTCTTTTGACGAGCTCGGCTCTACTTTTTGGAAGGCTGTAGTTTCCAGCCAAGTGCACGTACGAGCTCGGGTCCTTAAATGGATGCCAATCGATCCGTGATGAAATGCAGTTACCCCAAAGGGCTTCCACTCTCCTGGAAATGATGCACGGTACATAATGCACCGCATAATGTGCACATATTGAATTATGTCACAAGCGGTGTACTAAAGATAGAGCGGTTCTTAAGTTCTCCCAGCACGCTCGTAGACCCCCCGCGAGGTTGGATCAATTAATAAGTTGATTAATAAAATCCAGCAGAGTACTCTTATACAGGAAACAAGAAGTAGAAAAAGTGGCGTTTATTTAATTGCACCTCCGGGGTGCTTACAACCCCGATCCAGGTGTAAGCTCATTACCTGGAGAGCGATAGGCGTGTTTATGGAGAAGTACAGACACGGACTAGGGGGCCCAGGGGGAACGGACGCCTCTGCACCTGTCCGAAATCGATCGACCTCCCTGGCAAAGATCCCAGAAAGTGAGGACCATCCAAGCTAACGATTCACTCGGGTCTATTTCTGCCCCTCGGTGCCTGAAAAGCCATATCTAAAATCGGCCAGAAATTCGCGATAATAAATTTAACATCGCGAAGTCGATTTTTCCGAACCCTGTTATTTCTTTTTTCAGAGGCCTCCACCACTCCGCGTTAGCTCCCAGAGGATGCACAAGCTAGCCAAGGGCCTGAAGAAGAAGAAAAAGCAGAAGAAGGGCAAGAAGGGGGCGGAGGAGGACGAGTTCGACCCGGAGGAGCTCGAGAGGTACCGCAGGGAGCGGGCGGAAGCCCAGCAGAAAGCGGGGGAGTCAGGGGAAGCAGGGGGTGCAGGCTCCGACGAGTGGCGGAAGTTCGAGGCCCTGACCGCGGGGGTAGATTCGATCTTGAAGAAGACCCAGGGCGACCTAGACCGCATCAAGTCGACCTCCTTCTTCCAGCGCAAGGCGCCGCTCGAGGAGGCGAAGAAGCCGCAAGAGGAGACCGAGGCGGAGAAGGAGAGCAAGAAGAGGTGGGTGGGCTTCGACAAGGAGGGCAACCCCGTCGAGGAGGAGCCAGGAAAGGGGGCCGATGAGAAGAAGGAGGACGGAAGAGAAGGCAAGGGGGTAGAGGCCGGCTTCGTCGAGGTCCCGTCCGAGGATGAGGAGCAGGATGACTCGGCCGATGAGGACGTCTTCGACACCGCATACGTCGAGGTCCTGCAGAGCATCGACGTCCAACTAGCCTACGTTCCCGATAGTCCCACTCAGGAGGAGGCAGGGGACGACCCCTTCGACACGACCAGCGCCGACAAGGTGCTGAAGACCGTCGACAAGAAGGGGAACAAATTGGTAAGTCTCGGGAATGCCGTCGAGGTGCTCTCGGGACGCATCGACCACGTGAGCACCTGCAAGTTAGGAGCCTCCAGGAGGCCGAGGACCCAGGACCTCTTGTTGGGCGACTTCGAGGAGAACGGCCAGGCGGAGTTGGGAGCGACGATCCCGGATGAGGTCCCGGAGGTTGAGAAGACCCTGCTGGACGACGACTCGGATCTGCCGGACGTGCCGGTCGATCTGACCAAGCTACCGCCCATCCTCGACCTTCCGAAGCCGGTACAGGAGGGCCAGGACGCGAAGAAGGAGATTTCCCTGGACCTCGCCGAGTTCGACGAGCTGAGAACGAAGGAGAGCGCGCAGGAGGAGGACGAGCTCTTCGACCTAGACACCGATCTCGAGATCGCCTTGAACGAGGTCGTGCCTTTGAGGGAAGAGGAGGATCCGTTCGCCGAGAAGGACGCGCAGGCCGAGTTCCAGACGGAGATCATCGAGGCGGTCTTCGAGGCTGCCACGTTCGCCGATGAGGAGGATCCCTTCGACACGACTATCGCGGATAATCTTCTGCCAGGGAAGACGGAGCTGAAGTTCATCGAGAAGGAGTTGGAGGAACTGCCGGTCTCGGAGGTGTCCATCTCCCTGACGGACCCTGCCGGACTCAACAGGGACTACGAGACGGGGTTGCTGAAGTTGCAGCACAACGGAGACCTAGGAGCCGGGTTTTTAGGTTCGGGGCTGCAGGCCAAGAAGGATCTTCTAGGAGGCTCCACGACCGATCTGACCCAACTCGCCGACGAGCCCATCAAGCCGATAGAAGAAGAGATCTCTTACGTGGACCCCTTCGACACTTCCAACATCAAGGAGCCACCGCCGGGCAGAGGGGAATTAAAGTTCCTGGAAAAGGAGATCTTAGGCGAGGCTCCGTCGAAGATCGACCTCGACGACGACGACGACGACGACGACTTCGACCCACGCAAGGAAGAAATATATTCGACGAGACCCGCTCCTCCAAGGCCAGCACCTCCTTTCCAAGTGAATTTCGACGAGACCGAGGAAGAGGAAGATCCCGGAGCCAGGCGTCAAGATCGAAAGCTGTCGAGACCGGAGGCTCTGGAGATAGCTCCTACCAAGGTTGTCGCCTTCGAGCTTCCGACCCCTTCTCAGCGTCCGGATTTGCTGGCAACGTCCGAAGAGGAGAAGGCTATCCCATCTAAGCCTCTGACACCGTACTACTCGCAGAAGTCGCTGGAGGAGTGCCTGCCGGAGGAGGACGTCGAAGAGGAACCCGTCGACCCGTTCGACACCAGCTTCGTGGCCAACGTCACTCCAGGGAAAACCGAGCTGAAGTTGATCGAATCGGAGCTGCTGGCTCAGCAGGAAGTCCGTCTGCCGCACAGCGTGAGCGACCAGGACCTGGAAGCGAGGTCCCAGGAGGTGGATTTTGGCAGGAGGCGGTCCGACTTCGCGGCAGGCTCCGTGAGACCTAGGGATTTGAAATTCGAGCTCGCCAGTTCGCTCGTACGAGCCTCTGCAGTGGTACCGATCGCCGAGGAGCCCGTCAAGGAGGTCTTCAGGCAGGAGAGCTTGTTGGATGCGGAGTTCCAGGTAGACGCGAAGCCTCTGACTCCGAAGATCGAGACCAGGACCATCGAGGAGGAGGTTCTTTCCTACGCGGATCCCTTCGACACGTCCATCGCGACGAACCTGCCTCCCGGAAAGGCGGAGCTGAAGTTACTGGAGAACGAGCTAGGCCAGATCCCGGAGCAGCCTCCGGCGGCGCCCATTTCTCTGGTCCAGGCCACCGTGCTGGGAGTTTCCCTGGAAGACGACTTCGACCCCAGGGCCGAAGAGATCCGCGAGGTCAAGGACTTCCTGACATCCGAGGATCAAGACCCGGGCACCAAGGCGCTCACACCGCTGAACAACAGCTCCAATTTCATCGAGGACGAGGAGATCGACCCCTTCGACACCAGCTTCGCCGCCATCGGGCCTGGGAAAACGGAGCTGAAGCTCCTCGAGTCGGAGCTCATAGAGAAATAACGATGATCTCGTGACTCTCGATTCCTCTCCTCTAACGGTGTCCCTCTTGCTCGCTGGACACCGCTCTATCCGCTTTACGCTCTTTCCGATTCCGAAGGTGCGGACTTTTCTCGCCTCTTCTCCCAGGAACCCACCGATCTGTCGGTAACTCGTTATCCGGTGTCCGTGAATTAGAAGACTAATCATGGATTCCAAGGGAGGGAACCCGTTCCTGATGGACGACTACGCTCCTCCAGCAGAGGCGTCGAACCCGTTCCTGCAGGACTACATCGACACCGCGCCACCCTCTGGAGCCGAGAACCCATTCCTCAACTTCTCCTCCGATCAGCCCTACGAGCCACCCATGGGTGTGGACTCGACCAACCCCTTCGCATCCTTCGGTCTGGAGACGACCGACTCCACCGCCTTTGTCGACCCCACCGAGTCCACGGGGCAAACGAACATCTTCGCGGACCCTCGGTCTCCGGAAGCCGCGAACCTCTTCGGGGACCCTGAAGAACCGACGATGGCGCCAGAGGAGACGCCAGTCGACGTCTTTGCTCAGCCTCTGGAAGCTCCCAGCGAGGCCCAGCCCAAAGAAACAAAGCCCTCCAGGCCTCCGCCACCTCCCAGACCCCAACCTCCACCCCCACCTCCGAAGAACACTAAAGATCTCATCCTCTCCGTCACTGGCGCCATGGATGCCACCTCCAACCACCTGCTGGACCGTCTCCAAGCCACCAGGACGCCCAGTCCGACCCTGATGCACTCTCCCTCCCCAACCCCCGAGCACAGTTTCGCCGACCTCCTGGACGTGGACGGCAGCGTGCCCGATCTGCTCTCGGACGATTCCAAGGTGGAGACCTCGAAGACTCAGAACATCCTCGACCTCTTCGACGCCCCCAACACGGAGACCCTGCCGGCCACCTCCGCGGACTCGATATTTTCCGCCGCAAAAATGCCGGAAGCCACCGTCTCGGTCTCCAGCACGGACACTTCCTTCTCGGTGGGGGTGGTACCATCGGTTGCAAGCTCCCAGGAGTTTCCCTTCACAGGGATCCAGGAAGAATCCATTGCCGTGGCTCCTGGTGCCGGCGAAGTGGACGTCTCCGTCTCCAGTGACCTGGAGAAGAGGCTATCCATCGGTTCGGTCGGCTCCACTCTGTCCGCCGTTGGTGCCGACCTCACCTCCGCGACTACCGACGCCTTCTCGTCCATCTCGAATGCCGTCGTGGATTCTGCAGCTGAAATCTCTTCCGGAGTGGCCGAACCTCACCCTGCTGATTCCACTTTCTTCTCCATGGCCGATACCAAGGCCTCCGATATATTCGGAACTGGAGACGCGGTACCACCTACCTCAGCCTCCGGCATGCCGTTCGAGGAGCCGGCCCTCTTCTCTTCACCGGAAGTTGGGTCCACTGCCCAGACTCCTTTCTCTCAGCCTAGTGACGCCTTCGCCTCGGATTTGTTGGGCGACTTTGGAGCCCCTGGGGGAGACGTCACCGCGACTTCTGTCAGTCCAACTTCTGGAGAGGAGTTCCCTGGGGTTCAAGCCTACACGCCCGAAGACCTGGACACTTTCGCTGCCACTACCAAAGCCATCGAGAGCACCGGCGATGCCTTCGATGCCTTTGCGTCCAAGTTCGACAAGGCTGCGGAGCCCGAACATGCCGGAGATCCGTTCTTCGATCCGTTCGGTGGAGGGCAGACGGCGATGGACACTTCGAGTGATGGTGAGTTCTTTGAGATTTAGGAAAGACGATTTTAGGCCTTCTCCGGGCGGACAATTAAGGATATCGTGTTATCCATGTTTCAGTTTGGGGAGACTCGTCGGTTGCTGGCTCGGAGACCGCAACAGGCTTTGGGGAGAGCGAGGGCTTCGACTCCTTCCTCAGCATGACGGCTCCACCTCAGGAGTCGAAGATGAGGAGGTCGGAATCCGCGGACTCCGACGAAGGACCCGACTTTAGCGTCTTCATCAAGTGAGGACTTAGATCTTCGACTTTTGCGGTCCTTGGTGAGGAAAATCAGGGTTTGATAAATTCGTCCTAATTTCAGGCCGAAAGAAGGAGATCAGAGCGCGGTCTTAGAAGGTGGTCCCGTACCAGTGTTGGCTCCACCTCCTAGAAGTCCTCAGAACACAGCTTACGTCGATTCGTCCCCGCGGTTCAATCCTTTCGACAAGTCCGCAGGATTCGCCCAGGAAGCTGTCACGCCCAGCGACACGGCTCAGCCAGAGATGACCAGAGAGGATTCCCAGGTGACTCTTGATCGTCCTAGTCGATTCGAGTTAATGGTCCTCTTCGAGGTCTTCAACGTCACGTATTCCGTTCAACCTCTTTCCAGGAAGGCCCACCGACTCCGCTCTTCGACGAGGACGTCAGCCAGCCATTGGAGGACTTCCCTCGAGTCACCTACACGGGAGATGGTTGGGAGATGCAGCTGCGCCAACCCAATAAGAAGAAAATCACAGGCCAGCGGTTCTGGAAGAAGATATTCATGCGGTTGGTCTACCAAGGCGACAGTCCGGTTCTTCAGCTCTTCAACGGCAAGGACGACAAGGATCCCTTCCAGGAGCTACCTCTGCAACCTCACTATTCCGTCTCGGATATCGGGGCTCAACAGTACGATCAATATGGCAAGATCTTTACGGTGAAGGTGCAGTACATCGTCTACAGAGAGCGACCTGGAGTCCGACCCGGTCAGGTCACCAAGGCCGAGCGTTTGACCAACAAGCTCAGCCAGTTTGCGGCGTACGCCATTCAGGGTGACTATCAGGGTGTCAAGGAGTTCGGGAGTGACCTGAAGAAGCTCGGCCTGCCCGTGGAACACGCGCCTCAGGTAATTTTGAATAATTAAAAATTTATTAATATACATTATTTTTCGATTCTTCACATTGGACGTTTCTTCGTTGCAGATTTCGCAGCTCTTCAAGCTCGGGTCCCAGTGCTACGAGGACATGAAGCAGTTCTCCTGTGCCGTGGAAGAGGCTCTCTTCAGGTTGTCCGCTCACAGGGACAGGGCATTGACTTACAAGATGGAAGAGGTCCAGATCACTGTTGTCGATGAGCTCTATGTGGAACAGGACGCGGAAGGCCACGTGGACAAGCAGATTGCCCGCGTGCGGTTGTTCTTCCTGGGTTTCCTTTCAGGTTGGAGGGCAGCGCTGACGTCACTTAATTTATGTATTGTCGTAGATTTTCATTTCTTCACTTTTGTTTAGGAATGCCGGACGTCGAGTTGGGAATAAACGATATGTGGAGGCAGGGGAAAGAAGTGGTCGGCAGGCACGACATCATTCCTGTGGTGACCGAAGAGTGGATTCGCCTGGAGAACGTGGAATTCCATACTTGTGTGCAGCAGGACGAGTACGAGAAGTCCAGGATCATCAAGTACGTTCGTCCTTGATACCGATTCCTTTGCTTCTGCCTGCAATTTATTACTAACCAATTTTTTTTACTTAACCAATTTTTCCGAATGTCTAACACTACTAACACGCGTTCCAAGGTTCAGACCACCCGATGCATGCTACATCGAATTGATGCGGTTTCGCGTGAGACCACCGAAGAACAGAGAATTGCCTCTTCAGCTTAAAGCCGTAATGTGCGTCACCGGAAATAAGGTGAGGCTGAAGATAAAAAAATCCCCATGAAATTAAATAAATTAGTACGAGTGCAATTAAGAGTATTAAACTCCGTTCGCGATTCAGGTCGAGCTGAGGGCTGACATCTTGGTTCCCGGGTTCACGTCCAGGAAACTGGGCCAGATCCCGTGTGAGGACGTGATGGTGCGGTTCCCCATCCCCGAATGTTGGATCTACCTCTTCAGGGTGGAGAAGCATTTCCGCTATGGATCCGTGAAGTCGGCCCACAGGAGAACTGGGAAGATCAAGGGAATCGAGAGGATCCTGGGCACCATGGAGACCATGGAACAGCAGTTGATGGAGGTCACTTCCGGCCAGGCGAAGTACGAGCACCAGCATAGAGCGATCGTCTGGAGAATGCCCAGGTTACCCAAGGAAGGACAAGGTAATAAATGGAGCGCTCCTAAATTTGATTTAATATAAATAACATTGTTTTTTTTTTACTACCTCCAGGAGCGTACACGACGCATCAGCTGGTCTGTCGGATGGCTTTGACCTCGTACGATCAAATTCCGGAAAAACTGGCGGAGTATTGTTACGTGGAGTTCACGATGCCAGCAACGCAAGTATCCCACACGACGGCGAGAAGTGTCAGTTTGCAGAACCATGACAGTGACAACCCACCGGAGAAATACGTCCGCAATTTGTCCCGTCACGAGTACAGGTAACGATCTTAGAAAGGTGTAAAAAATTAATTAGGGTTCTAAATTTAATCCGTGAGTTCTGATTTTAGGGTAGGCATCCAACACACTCAGAGCGAGGAACCCGGGGCATATGTCACCGCGACGATCACCAAGATGATTCCGGAAACGACCGAAACTCGGGAAGAACCTCCGGAACCCGCTGCGGATGCCGACTTCGACTCTTCCGAGTGAAGAACCACAGGTTGCATTTACTTTATGTCTAGTCTAAACCAACTTCGTAAGTTAAACCGTACGGATAATAATTACCCGTTCAAGGTGTACGCACTTGGAGGCATTGCGCGAGTGGTCGAGATATACATATATATATATACATAAATGAATATACAAGGGACATATAAATATATCGCGTCGCTTACAAGTTTCTAGTCAAGCTTAAAGGTGGAAGCCATTATAGCTGAGTGCAAGTGCTGACAGGGAATGCCTGTAAGCGAGAAAATAATTGCCCACACCGGAAGACTTGGAAGTTCGCGTCACCCTGATTTGTAGGGAGTTCTTTTGAGGAAGACCAGTCATCCGTGAGAATTATTTTCAAGCCTTCCAGTGTGCGGGAACCAGGACACGTGTAATCGCAAACGATAAATCAGGTAGCCAGGTTGAATGCGGAGTACCTATAAATACGAGGGAATTAATTTCTAAGGAGAGACAATACAGCTTTTTCGTTGGGTTTAGAGGTAGTTGTAAGTAGCGACCCGAGGCGATTGCGCTTTGCTCGCTCGACGGAGTTTCAAGGACTGACATTGCAGCTTTGCTGGATTTTTTCGAGGCAGATCGACCGGCGGTGAGGCCTTTTATTGGAATCAGGAAATGCGCCGTGTTTCCGGGTCCCATTAAGAACCGCGATTCTCTTTGAATTTAAATTCTATCTCCCTGAACCCCCAAGTTAGTCGCGGAGGGGAACTCCCAGAGAACTCGTCATGAGTCCCGAGACCTTATTTAAGTCAGGCGAACTAACTCTAGAGGGCTTAATGTAGAGCTAGTCGTTTTCTAAGCCATTGATCGTACGTCGTAAGGCAAGATCGCATTATAATTTGAGTGGTCTAGAGATCGCAATTGCATTCCGATAAATCGTCCTAGATAGCACCATGCAGGTGAAATAACAAAGCGATCGTATCCTATTGTTTTCCGTCAGCAGATGATCTACGGCAGTGTTATCTAGTCACTTTAGGTGATAAGTCGCATATATTTATTCGGCGTGTCTAGGAACTAAGTAGCGAGGTATCGACAATTCTGGGGGAGAGAAATATAATTGTGTGCATAATATTGACTCGCGGCAGGATTAACATTAACGTTAAACTTTTAAGCGTAGTTTCGCGTTAAGCCTAAGGCGTCGATTGAGTAACGCGAGGCCACCGATCATAATCTAAGCTTCAGTTTTCGTCCATTTTGAATTTTCTTTTACCTTCGGTGATTTCTAACGTCCATGTGGAACGTACAAGAGACACACAGCTAAACCAAATATTAAGATTAACCCTCGGATTCGAGAGAAATAATTATACGGGGGCTCGTACGTACCTCGTATAGGAAAGATTATGATAAAATACTATTATAGGTGTACTGTCGTAAATAATACTAACGTACATATAAGCATGAAAATAACACGAATATATATATGTACACATGCATGTATGTAATAACTGTAAAATGTCATGACATCGCATGTAGTAACTTTCATCGATCTAGGATTACACGAATCGAGTGATTAGGCTAAGCGACTTTTAGCCGTAAGTTTCAGTTTCTGTGGTTTTTTGTTGACCCGTTCTCGTCCTTAATAAGGATCCAAAGAGTACACTCTAGTCCCTAGTTCATAAGGAAACGAACAACGTAACGTTAAGGTTGAGGGTGTTGTATCTGTACAGTTATGACTATTGTTGTTATTAGCGTTATTAATATCATTAACGTCACTAACATTATTATTGCGAACGTAATTCATGACGAGTTCTATGTCCGGAGATTGTTTCGAAGCGTGGACTTTAATAGACGGCGTAAAAAATTAATTATTCCTCTCTTGGCGTCCAGGTCGGTGCAGTAGATCATATTCAGGGATTATCCATATTATTAAATACAAGGAAATTAATTTGAACATTCCTACGTTGGGAAAAGGTAACGCAAAGGATTCCGTCAGTCCTTGAAAGAAATTCGATCGTGCAAGTCGCAAATCGACCAGGTAGGGGGAAGAAAAAAGAAAAAAAAAACTGTTCTGTTCCTTTTGAAACCTTAAACGAAATTTGGGCGAAGTTTCTCGTTAACCTTCACCAAAGAGTAACGTTTCCAGCTCGTGATCTCAAAATATACTCGCACGTGTGAATCCGATGTGCATTTAAGGAATCGTACGAATATGTGCATGTATAGATTAGAATGTATCCAGTATCGTGTAGTATGAAATGAAAATGAAGAGGCCCAAGTCGGTAATTTCGGAAGATCGTTAGCGTAATATTAAAACTCTACAACTGGTATATATCCTCCCGGGATCTTAAATCCTGGCTGTTTAGAAAATTAGAGACTAAAAGGCGCGTTTCCTTCTTGATAATTCTGAAATTACCGATCATTATCAGGTTATCAATTTCCCTACGGGGATGCGATATCCTGGCGGTGCTCTTCCGGTTGCCACACTTCCGATTAATGTTATCCAAGCATCCGTTGATTCCTCCAAAAAGTGAATTTCCATTTCATGCGAGTTAAGCGAATAGGAGGCAGAACGCCTCGTCGATCTCTCTCTTATTTAGGATTACTCGTAGCCATTACCGTAGTCGTACGTGTGGCCGTTAATGTATAAATACGACAAATCGGAGATTAATCGAAGCCTCTATGTACGATGACGTTGTTTCTACGTCACTCGTTACACCTCTATTAACTAACCCTCTGGGCGAATAAACCGTGCACATAAAAGGGAAGCGACTAAAAAACAAACACTAATCGAGAGGGCTCTTAAGGATTAGGTGTAATGACTGTGAATACGCCCTACCTATTAAACTAAACTAAACGTATACCATTGTTCTTAATGCGAGATATAAAAAAGAAGTCTGCATTGTCCGGCGCCATTACGCTCACGAAACGAGGGAAGGAATCGCGTATTAAATTATTATCGGCGAGTCGTTACGCAATTGTTCGAGTTAGGAATTACGAGATACGTTGGAAGCAACATCTAATAACCAGAACGTAATTATAGGATGCATCCTTACGTCCCATCGATTCGATCGATCGATGGACAACTGAAAGTCGGTGGCGGGATCACGTATTAAAGAATGCAATTATGCAACTATGGAGATTTAAGCGAAAGTAATTAAGTCCTCGGGGACAATACTCGAGGCCGGCATGTCGCCGCGATTGGCTGTACATTAATCACTTAATATCGATTGGTTAAATACATTTTCATTTATTCTGGATCATCGACACTTTTCGTAAGGAACGTTAGTTACGTCTTCTCGCAACGTACTCGAAGGGGTGGAGGATAAAGTCGACATTAATCGATGGAAATCAACCAGCTTCCAGGAAATAACATGTGAAACGCTATCGCAAGGAGTTTGCTTTGCGCGTGTAACTTACAACTAGTACCGTGAACACTTGTAAGAATAATCGTGTAAACCAGTGTAAACGTTATATACATGTATACATGCGAGGGCAGAAAGTGTGGATTTTCATTATCAATTTCGTAATGAGTTCGCTCGTTCGTTGCGCTCATCCTGGGCGGCATTTCTTGGGCAAGCCCTCGGGACTGGGATTTTCAAAACATTCCAACGTAAGAGAGAAGTTAAGGATCACTTTTGAACATGCAACCGAGTGCCGCAACGAGTCTCACGAGTAATTCAAGGATTAATGGATTAAGACAATGGAACGAATCTCTGGCAGCGGTCGGTTGCACGATTAAAAAAAAATGATCAAACCTGCGGTCTGTAACTTACTATACATATATATAGAAATACACATTTCAGTGTAGATACATCTCTATAAAAGTATATATAATTATATACATATGTGTGCGCGCGTAGTCTTGCTACCACGTGTCAGTATACCTCGTGTAAACGTGTACGACGTATCGTGTATAAGTACCACCTCCGAGGGAAAAGCAAAAGAATTATCCCGGTGATCGTTAGAAAGGTAATAGAGAGCCAAAAAGGTATTCGAAATAACGAACGCTCCCTCGAAGGAGACCTTAACCCACGTATGTATCATACTTCGCGAGGAGGGGAAAAAGAGGACCCGTAAAACTGTTAGCTAAAGGAGTCGTCGATATAAATTCTATGTATCGATAAATAATATATAAAATTGTTTAAGCGATGAAACGAGCCGCAGTTGTTCATTGGTAGTCGAGATGCGATAAACGGGTAGTCGCGAGCCCTGAGACGAGATTCCATCCTTAAGATTAATCGAGACTAATTGCGGCAAGTGACGACTCCGGAGATGCGGAAAATTCCCAGACTTCTCGGGGTTCTTCGGTCGAGTCGTTTCCATCCACGTGCTTTTCCTGAAATGAAGAAAATACCGTGTCAAGAAAAAGACGTCGGGGAGTACGTACCTTAGGATATCATGGCACATCGGGGGAGGTCTCCTTTCGTCTCGCGAAGTTGGCCGCGGTCGATACGCCGAGGTTCGGTGGAGTCGCCACCGGCCGCGCGCGGCGCCACCGTCGCCTCCACCTCCAGCGCGGCTCAGCTGTTTCTGTTTACTAAACAAAGGAGAGCCCAGTTCGACGGTGGACGGCGAGCCGAGAGCTGGCAGCAGCGTCGCCGAGTTCGCCAGATCCACTCGCGAGCGGCGGTTCCGTCCGGTTTCGGGCGCATCTCCGTTTCCGCGGAGCCTCGCCTCCGCCGCAACGAAAAGGTGCCTTGGAGGTTAGTGCGGAGGTTTCGCCGCGGCCGCTCCGTCGAGTGGCCTCGCGGACCACTCGCCCTCGGGGGACCCGGACGAGCAGCCGGATCGAACCAGTGAGTAGGAGCGCGCCCAGGACGGTCCGGAGGCTTGGCCATAGAGCAACGAGAGGAGCGAGAGCCGCAACCTCGTGTGCGTAATTCCGTACCCCTCATTCGATAGCTATCGACATCCGCAGTCGTGTTATTCCCATGGGCTAGCGACATCGATAGCTATCGAATTGGCGTACAGAATCCCGGCTGGCCCCATGGCAAGCTCGAGAGGAATTTCCGACTACGTTGAAAAATCGGAAATTCCTCTTGGAGCTTCTTAAAGGGGAATCTAAGAAGGATTTAATAACCCGTCTCCGCGGAGAAAGTTCCTGGTGAACTCCTGGTCTTGGGCCTAAGGAGAACGCGGATGCATTCCGCGTTCTACGCCGCGTGCTGCGTCGATAACCACCTCCTGGTTCCCAGGGACGTTTCAACGAGTCTAGCGTGATTTTAGTCTGTTAGAGACCGCGAGTGGCGAGTTTTCCTTTCCGTTGAAGAGGGCGCACTCTGGCGGAGGTTGCCGGAAGCTCGCCGATCCTCGCGACCGGTCGACCTCGGAGGCGGCGAGATGGGATCGAGCTAATCGGTCGACTACGCTATGTGAAGTTCCCGTGCACCGTTTCTTCACCTCTTCACCCTCGATTAAGTTCCCAGACAACGGAACGAAGAAATCACGGGAGAAGCCGAAGAAGAAACGAAGAAACGGGTACAGGACGGTGCTGCCGATTTGCCGAAAATCTCAAGACTTTGCAACACTCGATGAACGGGATTAACCTTAGCATTAATTGCCAACACTTGTCGGCCGGTAATTCGTCCAAGAGCCTCCGGAAGGTCGACAGTCTTTAATAGTTTCTCATCTGTCGTGGCTAGAAATAGGACGTAAACGGGGACGGTTCCGGGACCTCGATAATGCAGTTTGTCCCGCGTCCCTGACCCGATTTCCCGTTTCTTTCCTCTTCCTCTTTTCTCGAAACGCTTCCTAGCTCGTTACACAGTTGTAAACCCTTCGCCCACGTGGCGGGGACGAAAATCGAGCGCCAAGGAACCTGTTCGCTTTCGTTCCGCAACGCGTTTTCTTTGTTACGCCACCGAGCGGTACACCAATTTCGTCAAGTCTTATCGATTAGCATCGCGCACGTCGGCGTGGAACAAAAAGCTTGCCCCTTATCGACGACGAATCGATCGTCTGTTATCTCTGCGTAGATAGGTTTATCGGTGGAGGCTTCAAAATGGCTACTGAAATTTCTTAATCGGCCGAAATCCCGTGATCGCAGGTAGAGGAAGTAGGAAATTATTACGGTTCTTGGATTCCCCAAGGGGCGGATTTTTTTATCCTCGTACTTAGTCGTTATAACCAGGGGTACTTAAGATGCCGTCGTGGGCGCAAGTTTGTAGTCTCTTCTAAATCCGCGGAAGACCCGCGAGCGACGTATGAAGGTTGGGACGATTGTCCCTAATTCGTTATTCGAATTACTCGGCGTATAGGATGAGCAGAGGTGCTATGCCGCGTAACGGTGGGACAGATATCCAGTCTTAATATGTCGCTCCTTGGGATTCCCAGTGCCGATTTTATTTACGTTCATACGCGGTTTAAAGTACCCGCTTACACAGACACGTGCTTCTCCGTGACTCATTTCGGAGCACGGGAGCGACTTTCTACCGCGTTCTGCGATCCCTCTGTTTTCCGAGCCCGCCGCAGTAAAAAAGTATCAACGCGACTACACGAACGGGGGATTTTTATCTCATTCTCTTTGCCCTCTCTCGGCCAGTCTTTTGCTCGGCTTTGTTGCCCGCCATTAAATTTCGGTCAACTCGTCTTTCCCTCTATCCGGGTTTCCTCCACCATCCGGCTCTTTTTGCTTCCCGCTTATCTCGGCATCGTGGCGTATCTGGTATGCCTCTCTCTCTCCCTCCTCCCTGGACTCCCTATCTCCGTCCCTCTTCCTCCTATACCAGCACACAACGCGATCGTTATTCAGCCGCGCGAGGCGCGAAGACGTGGAAAAGGAACGATGCGAGAGTGGCCGCTCTCGCGTTCGACCGACCAACGGTTCAACCTTGGGCTCGACGTGAGTAATAACGCGCTACGTGGACGCGTTCTACGCAACAACGCGGGACAGCCATTTTTCCGTCTTACCAGCCCAGCCGGAATTTTTTCTTCCCCCCGTTCTTCCCGAGGAAGATCGCCAGGAGTGACGCAGCCCATGGACGCCGCATCGTTACAACCTAGATCGTCACTCGTGACGCTGTTCAATTAATTTTGTATCATAGTAATAGTTATTCTCTAAGTATTGTAAAAGTACAATAAAAAAAATGCGACAAGCCTTTACGTTTGGGTTGGATTTATTCGAGCGAGGTGTCGCGGATTCCGTTTCGGCCGCATTTACGAAGCAATGTTAATGTGGCTTAACACGAATCTCGCAGTGACCCACTGAGCGAATACCTCGACTTGACATTTCGTAACAGGACCTGGCGCTAGTATATTTAGCAATGTAGCGCAAGTCGTCGGTTTGGACTCCCGTGGATTTTCTTCTCGACGCTTTAAGCCGGCCGACAAAATCGCTCGTCATTGAGCTTTTTGCTCGTCCCTGAAGCGAGACGACGTGCCGACGGATCTTTTTCCATCGTCTTTGTGCAAACCGATCCACCGCTGTTGGTCGTATGAGATCACCGAAGCGTGGAACCTGTTCCTCGTTCCATGCGTCTCGAGATAAAAAATCGGAGGGCAATGTTTAATGGAGGATATGAAACAACGTTGCATCTAATGTCTCTTACGGGACGAACGTTGGGTTGACACGCGCAGGCTGCAGTTACATCGCCACCCAATACCTATCCATTGCATCGAGATAATTGAATCGGCAGTGACTATTCATTCCCGAACTGGTGACTCGGAAAAATACGCTTCTTTGAAGCGAGACCAAACACGGAGGGAGGGATTTGCAAAAGATCCTTCGGCCCGATCGATTTCCACCGCCGGCGAGCCATTTTCTCCTCCTCGCTTCCTTGATTCCAAATGAGTAGTCAATTAGTGGTCAAACATCGAAACATCGGCCACAATGGTAGTCCTCGACCTCCGCCAGAAAATGACTAATATCCGGCCGAAACGTAGGGACGGACCAGAGGCAACCGGAAACGGTTGTGCACATCCAACTCGAGCAAAGGAGGATGCAGGACAAAGTGAGCGACTTCCTCGAACACCAGTTAACCGATTTCGACGAATCTCGAACTCATGGAAGCATCGGACATCATTTACGAAGAATACCACAACGGCGGAAACAAAGCGACGACATCCGCGAGGACGCCGAGGATTTTCCCATTACCGCGAGGAAGACCATCTCGGTCGCAGAGCAGAAGATTAAGTGAAATTAAGATGGAGACTTAGCGAGGTGTTTGGGCGGCGATACTTTGCCCGTCTCGAGGCAGTTCTGGAGCAATCTGGATTAATCGACAGGGCGGTTAGGACGGCGAGCGGAGCTCGAAGCTCCTCGGACTCGCGCAGCCAACAGTGCAGGCCACTAGAGAAAGTTAATTTCGCATGGCCGTTGAACCGATCGCGATTACGTAGGTGAACAGAGAATAAACCGAGTGTTACCAGCTGGCTGGCACCGGGTAGACGGACCCACTCCTCGGTCCTCGGCGTGCTCTTTTTACGCCTCGAACGTAACGGGAGAGAGAGAGAGAGAGAGCGCGCGAGAGGCGAGGCGAGGTCGACGTTAGAAAATAGAAGGAAGGGAAGAGAAAGGAAATCGCCGGCTTTCCCCGTCCTTAAGTCTCCTAAATCGCCGATGGAAAGTCGCGGCCACCTGGGATTCCAGAAAATGGCGGACATTCGACGTAGACTGCGCGTTGGCGCTGCCTTAAGCGAAGAGCCATGCCGAGTCGGTTCCAGCCCGTGGGATGCAGAGACGCATTGTGTTTCGGCAGAGATCGAAGAACCGAGGAGACTACAGCCCACGGGGTTCGATCTAGGCGAATTCCTACATCCACTTTACTCCGAGGCACGGCCGAGCCTGGCCGAGATCCAACGCGGGATCTCTTCCCCCTCGGCATCCCAGTTCCGTGAGGTTGGAGAACGGCCGCCATCTTGGTACCTCGAACGAGAAGAGTGTTATTCACTTAGCCCTAAATCTACGCCTGGGATGGAAACTTTACGCGGTGTTCCGGTCTACTTTAAGGGGGAAAAGCCTGCATGGGGCAGAAACGGTGATGGGATCCTCTCGATATGCCTGAATGGGGCACCTGCGAAGCTACTTTCGAAACAAATGGCGCGCGATTCCCTCGTTTCGCGCCTTTTCCTTCGACTCTGCCGAAGCGTGCGCCTGCAATTTCTCGCGTGGGCGAGCCGCCTCGACATTGGCGCCGATGCATCCACCGAGAGCCGGTTTGCAGTTGCAACGCAAAAAGGACAATGGCGTCCGACCTCGATGGATATGGTCAAGACCAGATTCTTGCCCAGGTGCATCCTGCGCGTCCCTCTCTCGGATCCACCGTGTCATCTGCCTCAGGGCCGGCGTTTCCGTTTTTTCCATCTTTCATCGAGTACGGAGCCGGAGATCGCGAGGTATCGAGGCTAACCGCGAGCACCTTCGGCACGGGACCGAATGACCTTTAACGACAGTAGACTCGCGCGGAAAAATGATCTTCCTTTCTACGGATATCGGGTTCACGGGAGGTCGGCTTCGGGAACGGCTCGGCGCCATTTTGTACGTCGCGTTTCGGTATCCGGCCTCCCGAATACCGGGAGTTCTTCGGGGTTCGATGGCTCTTGACAGCTTCTTACGGGTCCTCGTCCAGGTCGCCGTAGACTCTTTCGAAAGCGTCCCCGATGGCTTGGGTGGTTTAAAACTAATTAACGTTAGAGGCTTAACTCGGTAACCTAATGGAACTTTCGTCCCCCAGGATGCTCTAAGATGCCGTCCCTGCTGGAAGCCCTGGAGCTGAAGTACGGGAGTTCGACAGCTGAGTGCTCGCTGACGGACGAGGAGACGGAGTCGAGCTCGCCGAAGACGGCCCTTTCGGTCAGCATCTTCATCCCGAAGAAGTCGCCCCGTCACACGGTCCCGGCCCTGCTGGTTCTTCAAGACTGCGACATCGAGTCCGCGGGCAACGACGACGAGAAGCTGAGGAACAAATGCAGGAACGTCGAGGAGCTGGACCTGGCGCAGAACAAGCTTACGCAGTGGGACCAGGTCTTCGGGATCCTGCAGCACATGCCGAAGATCAAGTTCGTCAACCTGAGCTTTAACTGCCTGGACGAGGCGCTCCAGGTCAAGCACGGTAACTACGAGTTGCTGAGGAACCTCGTGCTCAACGGGACCAGGGTCTCCTGGTCCACCGTCCAGGGTCTGGTGCGGCTGCTGCGCAACCTGGAGGAACTCCACCTCTCGCTGAACGAGTACAGGACCGTCGACCTGGAGCACCATGTCGAGAGCAACAAGAACGCCTGCGTGAAGAAGTTGCACTTCACCGGAAACCCCATCGAGACCTGGTGCGAGATCTGCAAGCTGGGCTACGCGTTCCCAAACCTGGAGAGCCTGGTCCTGGCCGAGTGTCCCATCAGGTCCCTGTCCCTGGAGCAGAACCGGAACTCGCGGAATCCGAAGACCAAAGCCGAAGAGCCTGTCGCGGGGTGTCCAGAGGACAGCGAGAACATGAACATCCCGAGGGACCCCGAGGCCTCGGAGAAGCGCCCCGAAAATGGGATTTTCGAGGGGAAGAGCAGGACCGAGTCCGAGTGCGAGTCCTGCAGACCTAAGGTCAGGTCCTCGCACGACCCCTTCAGGATGTTGAGATTCCTCAACGTCAACGGAACCCTGCTTTCCACCTGGGACGACGTAGAGAGGCTCGCTAGGTTCCCGGCATTGAAGTCTCTGAGGATCCAGGGGTGCCCTCTCTTCGAGGTGAGGAGCGTCTTAAAAATCCCCCTTAAACATTTTTTTATGTATTCCAGCGCCAGGTAACGTTTGGCTAAGCCGGATAGGATCGATCTCCCAGAAACTGATCAGAGGTTCCCCTTTTCGCAGAGTCCTCGAGAGTACACGGAACACGAAAGGAGGCAATTACTGATCGCCAGGCTACCAAATGTCGAGACCCTTAATGGCGGCGGCGTGATCTCCTCGCAAGAGCGAGAGGACGCCGAGCGAGCGTTCATTCGCTATTACATGGACAAACCCGAAGCCGATCGGCCAGAAAGGTAATTTTCCACGATCGTGCACTTTCTAGTCCTGCGAAAAAAAATACTCACCGCAGAGATTCAATTAAACCCGGTATCACGTTCCCGACCATAATTGAATCCGCCGAGACGCCGAAGCACGGAATATTAATGTTTCTTTTTTTTCCGCTGCTTTCTGGATTTTTTATTTTACATGGCTGGATGTTCAAGGGCACGGGCGAGGACTCATCGTTCGGTGGTTTTTACAGATATGCAGAACTCGTCGGCATACACGGAAAATTGGATCCCCTGGTTCACGTTGACCTGACACCCGAGAAGAGGGTCAAGGTGACGTTTACGTACGGCGATCTCATTGAGGTTGGTTTACGGATAAGTCGCAAGCTAGTTTCGTTTTACCGTCCCCGAGGAGACGGTCTGGCTCCGTCGACGTTTTGCAGCATCCGTTAGAAGTCGTTTTAATTTTATTTCACCATTTTCCAGGTACGGTTGGTGGACGTTTACAGGACGGTCTTCGAGCTGAAGACGAAGCTAGAGACGATGGTCAAAATACCGGCGAATAAGATGCGGCTTTTCTACGTGGATCAGGTGAGGTTTCCGCGTCTTTGGCTCAAAGTTCCCCTTTTTGCTTCCAGAATGTCTGGTTCCTCGACGGGCGATTTAACAGCCCCGAGTTTGCGATTTAGACCCGTCCTCCACCTCACGATCCTATCACCTCATATCGTCCATTGTTGAAATTCATAATTCCTTCGGCAAAGTAACGTATCACGAGAGGAGAAGGGCGTAGACCTTTTATAAGTAATTCTCCCAAGAAGCGATAACGATTGGCAGACGTTCAATTGCAGGTGATGAAGGCGCAATACGGCCCCGAAGAGATGCTATACCCCAACAAGCAGCTGTACCGGTACAACATCAGAAACGGGGACGAGATCATCATCGACAGCAAGCTGAATCGATGCTCTTCGTCGTCGAGCACGTCTTCCATTCGATCTTGAAGAGCCACCGTTCTTTAGAAGCCGAGGGTATCGACACGCGAGAGCGTATCCCCGCGCCACTTTCGAGGAAAGCTCCCCGAGCTTTCCGGAGCAATCCGAACTGTACCGCGAATGCTCGTCGCGAAGGATTGTCGAGAGAAAGCAATAACTCTGAGCGTAGTTTTCGAGAGAAGAGAGATAGAAAGGGACAGAAAGAATGAGAGACGCGAGAATTTTGATATGTACGTTCTAGGTGTAATCTAGTGGCTGTATTCATCGATTCTTCAGGGTTTGCGGACCAGCGCCGTCCCGCGGTAGTATCGGAAACTAAGCGTCCGCATCCGGCTCAAGCCACGGAAGGAAACGCTCTTTTTCTTCTTGCGAGCCAGGCCAGCCCGCTTCCGGTTCGATAGACAGCGAAAGATCCATCCAGGGTGGAAGAGGGTCACCGACTCGGGCACCCCGATCCTCGTTTAATGTCGTTTATTGTCGAAGGGCGAATGGTTCCTCATCTAGAAGATCATTTCCGTCTCGAGCCACGACGAGGTCGAATTATCGCGCAAGGGGATTGCTCGACAATGTATCGAAATCGTGAGGAGCTCTCAGGAGCCGGTGCACCCTTCGAGATCCTGGAGGTCGGTTTATTTTTGTAAATCATTGTTCACGCGCACCGTCATCGAGTCGTCCGCTCGAGGAGGGTATTTCGCGAGGCGGGATGAGAGAAGGAAGTACTTAAAATGGCCAGAGGACCAACCCGGAGGACGCAGCCTCGAGAGGACGAGGTTATCGAGAGGACGGCAACCTTGAAGAGTCACTTAGTGCCTGCCTTAGCGTGTAACTCGGATACTTCTAACACTGCCCTGTAAATATTAAAAATGATTTCGACTCGCCCGAGTCCCCGGATCATCGCGCCCGGCCCGCAAGACCCGAAAGTCGGGATTCGCTTCTCCTCGGCCTCGAAACCGGCGAGTTCCCGCCGGAAACGACGAGGTGGCACGTCAGAGCCTTCGAAGCGTCGCTCCTTCGACCTGGATCTCCGAAGCGAGCTTCGACGGGCTTTGGAAGCCCCTCTGTGATGCGTCTAGTCTCGGAAATTGAAAATTCTCCGTCATTCTGATTTTATATGACACGACCGCTTCTTTCGTCTTTTTTCTTTGTGCTGGCGCAAATGTGTACGTACTAACAAAATAAATCATTTATACCCGAGGCGATGGGTGCCCTTCATGGCGAGATCCGAAATTCGAACGCTCTTCAGGGTCGACCCGGCCGCGCCGGCGCGTCGCGGCGTCGTCGGGGCTCCCTTAGTTGGCCATCGTGCCACGGTGTGCGTCTCGCGGCGTCGTCCGGTGGGGGAGGTGCGTCGGTCGGATCGATCGCGCTCGACGCCAGGCGTCGCGACGGCACCGTGCCCCGCGGGACGAGAGTCGCGCGGAGACCGAGAGACGCGAGGAGACGTCGAGGCAGTCCGCGGGGGAGCGAGCGAGGCGCTCCTCTACTTCCTCGACGGCCGCAGGGCGGATGGCGCCCGGAGGGTCCGCGAGGACCGCGCCATGAGGAGGCCCTGAAGAGGCCACGGAGCCCGAGCCCCCGCGCCAGAGGCCCCAGGGACCGGTCCAAGATGTGACCGGCGAGCAGCGGCGCACGCACCGGCCTCACCGGTCCCAGCGGTCCTCGCCGGCCCCAGGGCGCACCGAGCGGTGCCGAGGGATCGATCCGACCCGATAGCATGGGGCGAGTGCAGGGGTAAGTCTCGCAAAGGAGGGTTGGATCGACCTACTCGTGATTTTTCCTTCCTCTCCAGTCATTACTTATTTTATCTATTTTCATTTATTTTCCCCATCCCTGAGGACTTTAAAAACGGACTTCCCCTTACACGTGACGGGCAGTTATCACGCGTAAAGGACTTGGAAAAATTGCGACTTCGGGGGGCTCTCGCCAGGTCGGAGGCCAGGGGGTGGCAAATGGGTCAAGAGGGCTTTCTTGGATTTTTTTCCAAATTTCGAATTGGGGAGCAATTTTCATTTATTTCCCCCATCTCTGAAGACTTTAAAAATGGACTTCCCCTTACACGTGACGGGCAGTTATCACGCGTAAAGGACTTGGAAAAATTGCGACTTCGGGGGGCTCTCGCCAAGTCGGAGGCCAGGGGGTGGCAAATGGGTCAAGAGGGCTTTCTTGGATTTTTTTCCAAATTCTAAACTGGGGAGCAATTTCGTATATGGGTCAATTTGTGGAGGAGGTGGGACGGGCATTCTTGCCTCCGAAGAATGGGACATTGTACCAGTTGCACGCAGGGCTGACTAGCTCCGAGGGGATGTATCGACTCCGAGTGCCCCCACTGGCATCCCTTGCTCTCCCCGAGCGAAATCCGGAGGAGTTTCGAGGTGGCTTCTCAAAGCTTGGTAACCGGACTTTTTTTCTGCGGCTTTCAAGGGCCTCGGATTCCGAGTCACCTCGCGGGTGAGTTCGTCTTTGGACTCCTGTGCCATGCTGGGAAAAAAAGACAAGAAAACGGGTCACGAGAGTCGTCTATATGCAAAGCGCTTCCATTAATCTCGCGATCCGCGCTTGGTACGACTTAGTCCTCGAATCCCCGTTTTCTGGTATTTGATCGCTCGGAGAAGACTTCGATTTTCCGCTCTCAAAAGGGGTTACTCCTTCCCGGGGAGGACGCCACTTTGCGCGCACCTCTTTTGAGAACCTCCAGCCTGTTATGAGATTCGGTAAAAAGATCAACTAGACCGGCTCCTCAGGAACTGGGCGGAGATTGCAAACATCCTTGACTAAGCTGATTACTTTGCGACACTTTTGCTAAACTCGCTAACCGGAGTTTGCGACTTGGGGGCACTCGTTAAATAGCGTCTCCCGGTTCTCGTTTGTATACCGACTTCAAAGGAAGTTTCATTGAATACGCGCGACCGGGAAAATGCCACGAAAATTCATCTCACTTAAGGGGCGAAAAACATACAAGGTGTAAGGGCAAGAATACAAAGCGTCTAATGAAAAGACCTTGTACATGGGATCTTTGGCTTTCAGCGTTCAGAAGCAATAATGAGGAAAATGGCGTCAGGGCTCCCGAGTGCCCATCAGAGGAAGCTTGGACCAGCGCCGATCGCATCCTTCGAGGACTTGTCCGACGAGGTGGAAAACGTAAGTTCGACTTTACGCGGATAATTCCAACCGCAGTCCTGGTACCCAACTTCCGGCGGCATTGAAATCTCTAACTGGGCGAAAAAATCCTAACTTCGAGTCGCCTTCGACCTAATTGCGCTCCCCTCGTTACGTCCGTCCGCGGACTTCGCGAGCGGTTATCGTTTAATGGAGAACTCGATCGCAAGAAGTTGGTAAATTCCCGGGGGAAAGTTAGGAGGGAGGTTGAAGGTGATGAAGAGTGACGGCCGGAATTGCTAACAGGGAGAAGCGGTCGCCCGAATGCCCGGAATCGTGGAAGTGACGTCTCCCGTGACACCCGGAAGCTCCCTGAAGACGCCGAGCACCCCGAGGATCGACATCAGCAGGGCGAGCAGTTCGTCCCACCATGAGGACAGCAACAACTCGAGAGAATCCTCCCCGGAGAGGGAACTGCTCGCAGGTAATCCCGCGACGTCGATTTCCAAATTTTTTTTTTCCTTTTTTCTATTTTTTTTTTTTCGCAATCTTAGTCGTTCCACATCGATTTTCCGGATCTTCCTGGACTGCGAGTGCCTCGAATTTCAGGTGCCGAGCCTCCTCAGGGGACGAACCTGGTCCTGGGCTACAAGGAGGACGCGCAGGACCTGCGGTCCTCGACGGAGGAGCTGGACCTCCACGACCCCGTGCACGACCAGGACCTGAGGAGAGACTCGAAGAGGGCTCGAAGGAGGAAGGAAGACGGTTCCCAGTCGGAATGTGGAGGCATCAAACAGGACGAAAGGGAACGCAAGGACAGCAACTGCTCGGAAATCATTCTCCTCAACATCAGCGGCAGGACATCCAGACTGTCCTCGGTCGGAAGCCAGGGTTCCGGAGCATCCGGGAAGCTGTCGGTCGTGTCCGCGACCTCTTCAAGGTACTCGCGTCAGCTGTTTCGGCGAATAGATAATGGTTAACCGGGAGGACGTGCCGGAGATGCGCAAAAGGCGGTCGCCGTGCCGAGATAAAGGATAAAGTACGTAGCACCGACGTGGTAATTGGCAGAATAAACGCAATTAGCGCCGACAAGGCGGTCACGCGTGTGACGCAATTGCCATTGCGCCATTTCAATGCCAGTCACGTTGCTCCTAGCTTTCAATCTTCACGTTATATCGGAAACGGAAATCCCCGCCGAAGAAGAGTTCTCCACTCTGGGATTCACTGTATGCAATAATGTACCTCAGCCTCTTCTTCAAGGTCCCCAAGTCCGCACAAGTGCCTGCTGGAGACGTCCTTCTGCGGCAGCAAGCCCACCCTGGCGGACAACTTCATCGAGCCGTCGAAGCCGGAGACGGATGATCTCGAGAAGATCCTGCTCCAGCGGGAGGCGGACACGACGAAGGCGCTCATCCCGGAGAACATCAAAGTGCCCATGGTCGGGGGTAACTTGAAGCCGGATCCTCTGGACAAGCCCAGGAGGCGAGGTCGCGAGGAGCGGAAGGAGATCTTCAGGCGAGAGGTGGAGATCACGAAGAAGGTCCTGGAGAGGGTCAACATAGAGGTAAAAATCGCCTTCGGTTATTACAGCGATTTATCAATCAATATCCAACCAAATCTAACGGTCCCGGGTGGTCCCAGGTCCCCGTGATGAAGAAGCAGTCCCAGCCTCAGGAACAACCTCCGGAACCAACCTCCAAGGTCCCGCTGGAGGTGCACAAGCCGGCCAGCCTCGACCTGAACGACAAGCGCAAGAAGCCGCAGAACTTCAAGGAGATCGTCCAGACCCCTCCGACATCAGGGGCTGCTGGTGGGAGTCCGAAGCTTCCTCGGCACCAGAAGGTGCGAGACCTGGAGGGTTCCCGGACCCCGAGTCCGTGCTCGGTGTCGAGGAAGAGCAGCTTCGCGTCCCTCTTCAAGGGTCGGTCCGACAGCGTCGTCCTGAGTCCGGTTTCGCCGACGCCTGCGACGAAGCCCCGAAGAAGTCTGACCTCGAAGATCCGAGACACCACCGAGAGCCTCAGGAGCAGATCCAAGTCCAGAGAAAGGTCCTCCATAGACCGGGGCTCGTCCTTGAAAAAGGAGTCGAAGAACAAAGGCGTCTTCTCGTCTACTTTGAGTCTTTTCAAGAAGCGCGAGCGCAAGAAGAGCTACGACGAGGCGGTCGGCACTCCCATGGACGGAGACCATCCCTCGCTGGAGAGCATAGGGAACGTGGAGTTCACTTTTAACGCCGAGAGGGAGAGGAAGAGGGACGACTCCATCTTCATAAGTCTGCACGCGGACGACAGGAATTACGAGGAGGCCCTGCCCTCGGAGAGCACCTCGATACCCCTGGAGACGCCGACGAAGCTGCTGGACGAGTACGACGCCGAGCATCGGATCGTTGGTACCAGTATCGTCACCGAGGCTTCCATCGAGTACAGAGACCCGAGTTTGGGGACGATCAAGGATCAGGTGAGGACGGAGGTGAGGATCGAGGAGCGACCTGCGAGCAGGACCTCTAGAGAGGAGGTCCAGGTCTCGCCCAGCGTCTCTCTGGGAGATCGGGTCTCCAGAAGCTCTTCCAGAGACTCGAAACTGGGAGCCGCGAAGGTATCCGACGAGGGAATCAAGAGGGCATCCGGGGAGATGGGGTCACCCGAGTCCAAGATCACCAATGGCACCACCAGGAAGCCCGAAGTGGTCAAGCCTGCCAGGAAAAGCAAGGAGGCGTCCACTCCCTCCAAAGAACCCGAAGAGAAGCCAGCCTCGAGGAGGGTAGAAATGAATGGAGGAGAAGTCGGGGTCGTGGAGGTTCCTGGGAAGTCGACGGAGGCGAAGTCCAAGCAGGAGACTTCGGAGGACGGGTTAAAGATCCCCGAAGAGACCCTCGTGAAGACTCCGAGCGTCATCTCCGACCTCGACCATAACAGCTCCGAGTCCGAGAGGGACTCGGAGATCGAGTTCATCAGGAACAAGGCGATGAACATACCCAAGGAGCTGCCGGATGAGAGGAAGGGTCTCTGCTACGAGGAGAGCTTCGAGGAGGACTTCCCTTACGTTCCTACGACTTTGCCGATGGAGAAGAGCGTCGCCGTTCCGATCCTGCCCATAAAGGAGAGACTCCAGGAAGTGAGGTAGGTCCTTCGGTTCTCGAGCCAGGGACTCTTAAAAAGTTCCCCCTTTTTTAACCCCCTTCTAAGAAGCATATATTTTTTTTCTTGCAGAACAATTCCGATCGAGAGGCCCAGATCCACGACGCCGATAAACCCGACGCTACTGGACGAGTTCGTGATGCACACCTCCCTGGACGAGCGGCGGGTCGAGAAGATGAAGATCTCTCTGCCGCACAGGGAGAGCTTCAAGCTGAAGAGTCCCCATAGACAGGCGTCGAACACCTTCACGGAATTCGCCGGGAAGGTGCAAGAGTCCTCGAGTCGGCGGGTCGCCGGCAAGTCTCCGAGTCCTCCTCCGCTGCCTCCGAGGGCGGCTCCCAGGCCGACCAACTGGATCAACTTCGAGGAGATCCCGGAAAAGCGCAAGGCTCCGAAGAGGATCCAGACCATCCCCAGGACCGAGGAAGACGGCAAGGCTTCCGGGGTCGGCACCGGCTCCGCTGGCTACAGCTACGTCCAGCCCGAAGAGTGCAGGTACTCTCACCTGCGATCACGAGTTCTATCGATGCGTACTCCACCCTGAGGAGTTCTAGAAACTCTTATCAAGCGACGTTTCGTCTAAAGTACCCCATGTCTTCCAGGTGCGAATGCCACGAAGAGTCCAGGAGAGCGTCCTTGAGGCAGTCGTCGAACTGCACCAGCAACGGCGAACGACCCTGCAACGGCGAGAACTGCTCCGTCCCGGCATCGACGGGGGACCGTGCCAGCATCGTCAGGTAAACGTACCAAGACAGAACCCTCGTAGACGAGGCACCTGCGCGACCCGAAGAACGACCTCCCTAGACGTTGGTGATGAGTAGAAGTCTGTTTCTCTACTTTCAGTGACAGCTCCCTGGAGTGTAGCCTGAGCATCGAGGAGACGGGGGCGCAGGGTCTTCTGGGGGCGGCCAAGCCCTTCGGCATGGACCTGGACGTCAGGTCCAACAGGTCCAGCATCATATCGCAGGAGGAGACTGACGACGTCCACTGAAACGAGGACGACGACCCTCGTTACTTCGTTTTACGTCGGGCACGACTTCGCTCCTGATTTCGCTCCCGCACTTCTTCGCCCGATGCGTAAGGACGGCGGTTTCTTCCTTTATTCGGTGTACGTTGATTTGTAAGGCTTAAACGTTAAGGGTTAAATCGCGTTAAGGGGGCTCGACCTCCCTTAATGGCGGACTAGGACTACTCGGAGGATCGGGCCTCCTTGACGTCGCGTCGATTTCTTTTTCTACTTTTTTCCTTTTCTTTCCAACGATCTGCAGATCTTCCCCTTCGCTCATTCGCTCGTGATCGTATTCCTTGATTCGTGTTGATTGGACTTTGCGAACTGTCGGGATTACGGGCTGTTGGGAAATCCTCGATCTCCGTTCTCCAGGGTGGTGGAGAACGATCTGGGAGCGAGTACGGAAAGGATTTCGGAGTTTTGTAACAATTAAGTCTGTGGCGCATCCTCGTCCCGAACTAGTTTGGGATAATGGTTCACTATTTTTTTTTCTAAAGGACTACATCGAACTAGAACATCGTCACTCGGTGATCCACAGATATCGAGATCCCTCGCAATACGTAACTAGTTCCTCGCCACAGCTGTCCGAAGTCGAATAAATCGCCAGTGACCATTGCGACTAGTTAGGAGGAAAGAGGAAACGCCGGCCCGGCTAACAATGGCGAACCTTAAAAAATCGACCGTCCAGGACCCAAGGAAAACAAAAACCAAGAAGCGACTATATCCCGGACGGATGTTTCAAATAGTCCATTTCGCTGAATCGCTCTTCGGAGACCATTATAAAATTCAAATCCTTTGAGTACGGCGAGACGGTTCGCCATTTTCCAGGACTAAGGACGGGCGCGTTTCCTCGGGAATAAGCCGCGGATTTCTCGCGTATATCTTTCTTATCGAGCTCCTCCTTATCGTTTCTCTCTATTCGTCGGTGTCCGGGATTTCGAGAAAGCTCGCGCTACCCCATAAGTGGACCATTATCGGAATAAGGAACCAGAATAAGGGGAAATACTGGCTAGGAACGCACTTCCTTCGTTTCACCTTTTTGGAGGGGAAACGGATCTCCTGAAGAAGCCACGGCGAACTAGCCGTGGGACACCACGCTACCCTATGTGCCACGAATCATTGGAATTATTTCATCTACCTCCAGAAACGTGTACCAAAGGCAATCGAAGGCCCTTTAAATCTCGTTTCGTCTCTGTAAAGGCTCGCACTCACGACAGGACCTCCGATTGCGTCCAGCTCTCGGGTCGCTCCTCGACCGTCGAACTGCTATAAGTCTAAAAATTCCATAATTCGAGGTCGCCATTAAATTAAAATCGAGAAAAATTCGAAGAGGAGTATAAAGAATGTAGGGAGATGTCACGATTTTTTTTTCTTCTTTTTTTTCTCTCTTTAAGGATTTTGCAGAATTAAATCGCAGTTCGACGGCGCCCGGGGTGAGTCCGGGTCTCCTTGTACTTAAGGTTAAAGTTTCTAGAATTAAGATACTCGCGAGAGGAGAATAACTCGGAATATCTCGGTAGTGGTGAGAGGAAGTCTTTGGGTTGGCTTAGGCAGCTTCTTAAACGCTTCTCAACGAGAGTTTCGTTCGTACTGACTTTTCCATTACGCCTTTCATCTACATCCGCGCATATTAATCGTAGACTCGCGCACCCCCCAAACCCGAAATCCGAATGCCATGACTCATGAATGATCTCTGCTCAATTTCCTTTATTCGCGCCGTCTCGCCCTCTTCGATCATGTTTTTTCTACACGAGAAACTGTACTGTGTTCAAACGAATTACCTAACGAATACTACGAAAAAAAATGCTGTGCTCGCGGCGTACCGAGGGGGCTGAAGTACAAGTCGGTTACTATCGCCAGGGATCATTTCGGAATTCCTCCGGTATATCTAGGTCGACAAACAATGCAATGAGAAATCCGCTTCGCTTAAGAGAGAAAACTAACGCGCCAGGTTTGCTTCCGATTTAGAAGACTATCGTTTAATTCCGAAGGAAAGTGGGGAAGGAAGAGGAACTTCGCGTTTAGCCGTCTCGTGGTATCAAGTATCCTGGACAGTAAAACGGTAGATAAATCATCTTCGGGAATTTCAGCCCTCTCGGTACCCCGGAGTCGTACTCGAGTTCCGGATAAAATGTGCGCATCGGAATTGATCGGACCCCGAAGAGAGTGACCAGCTCTGCCCCGTCCCTCGTCCCCGGTCTCACCACTCAATAGACCCAGCTATCGAGAGTAATGAATAATTCTTAGTGTAAGAGCTACGTTACAGAAGAAAAAAGATACCTATGGTTCCAAGATGGACGAACGTACTATTTTTCCTCCCATAAGTGTAAGGGGTCCTAGGGGGAGACCGAACGCAGAGCCCTGAAGAGGACACTCGGGCCGAGTGTCCTGCTTCCGCTCTTTCTGCAACGTCTCTAAGCCTCCCTATCTACAAATCTGTAATTTTACAACTATACTACTCCTAGGAGGTAAACAAAAGAGAAATTACAGAATTACGCGAGGCTTAGAGGGCTTGTGGAAGGACTCGGAAGGGGCCGGAGGGTCTCCGGATTACTGTAGGTAGTGTACCATAAAGATCTTTTTTTAGATTTTGATGTTTAGGCAAGACCTCTCGAGGCAGAGAGAGAAAGAGAGAAATAAAGAGGCGAAAATTCTATTTCGAGCCCCAGGCCGACCGTGCGAAAGAAATGTCGCTTCGTCGAAGGTCCTCGTATCCTGTCTAAATGCTCGGCGTTCAATTTCGGGGATTTTAATCGAGCACTTCCGAGCAGGATTCCAGGGATGGCAGTCCCGCCGAAATCGAAAAAGGCATCGAATAGCGTTCTTCGAATTTTCTCACGAATTTTCTTTTCCCTCCCCGACTCTGCAACGAAACGTAAAGCGGTCGAAGCTAAGAGGAGGAAGAGTAAAGAAATGATAAACAATTAAGAAACTGCCATCCGAGCCCCCGAAAGGACGCATTTTTTTTTCCCACTTTTCCGTTCTCCTTTTCTAAGCGTGTTTAGTACCGAGAAGCGATCCCGTAACTTAACCCAGGCCTTGTCTCCGTGGTTGCCGAAACCGTCCAGGAAAATCGCCGTAATTATTTACCGCGAGACCCGTTATGAAAGATATTATTCGTCGCCGGAAATTAGAGCACTGCCGGATGTCGTCGGAGAAGTCGAGGTTCCCTAGGACGGAACGGCAACGCATCCTTTAGCAATATCTAAACGTTCGTCATTATTTCTAAGATCTAAGGTTAACGAGGGGGACAACAAAGTATTTAAATGTTTCTAATGTTATGTACATAAAATTATCGAAAGGGTGACATTTTCAAGCGCTAACACCATTAGACGACACGTTCGACGACCTCATGTTCGGGAAATAAAATGTTTATGTGTTTTAAAGCGAGCGAGTAGAATTATTCCTATGGCTTTAAGGGACCGAAGTAGAAGATTCATTTGGTCGGGGCCTATCCTCCCTTGTCGGCATTTTCGTTCTTCTCGCGTCTTCCAGGGTTCTTCAGGGTCGTTTTTATGGGGACCAGGTAAGCTTCCTGGGATTGCTTGGTTGCTTCGCTTCCTTCCCTTCCACGTAGAGGTTCCTCTTCTCTCAGTAGTACTGCCGTGGTCATGGGAGTCGTCGTGGCATTGTTATTAGCCAGAGATTGCTGATGAGGGGAATCGACTTAAGTTATCTCGCTTTGGGGAAGGGAGGAGAGAGTAAAAATTTGATAATGACCTGCATGATGTTGAGGAGAAACATGAAGGCCAGGAGAGTCAGTGCACTCAACGCTGCTCCACTTCCGTGTCCCCCGCCTTTCCCTCCACCCTTGTATCCCCTAAAATATGATGTTATTATTGATGCGCCATTAATTATTAATTTATTCGTACCTTCTGTGGCCACTATCGTAGTAGTCCCCAGGTCCCATGTAGTGCGGTCCCATTTTCGAGACATGGTCAGAGCCCCCGAAATTGATCAATGATTTAAACGTCATCTGAAAGTCGTCGACGCGAGGTGTAATGACTCTATAAAAATTGGAATACCTGTTCGCGCACCTCTCTTAATATTTTTTCAAGTTCAGCCCCCGGAGTCAGTTCAGGAGATGAGATGAGTCAATCGGGCACCTTCCTCTGGCGAATCCCAAGGAGAGACTGTTTCGTCAGAAGGCACGTTGTGACACTTTTGTCAACGGCATGTCACGCATCGTGTCATCGTCCACCGTCATCGAGGATATTCATGCTCGTTGGGAACAAGGGAGGCGGAAATTTTTTCCAGTCTTTACCTCGTAGGACCCCTTGCTGTTATTATTTTTAATTATTCCCGCCTCTTGTTAGTGTTTCGACATCAAAATTTAAAGTCTCGGAGGAGAAGGCAGATAATACATCTGCTTGAATAAATTTTAATGTCGAGCTTACTTTTATTGATACCTACGAGGTACAATCATACTGCGCATACATACAACTTAAAGCTACGTGATATTAAGAGCTACGCCAAACTCCAGCCGTATATAATATATACAGTTGAATATTCCGCAAAATCGAACATCCTGAGATATTAACTCGTACGAATGTCGGGAGAGCCGCACCTCGACGGAGACAAGTTTTCTCGAATTTATGGGAACTCCTTCATTTTGCACTCCCTGACCCGGAGACATCCCGAGAATCGTTCACATGCCGTTATCAATAAGAGCACCGATTTTTGATAAGTGAACTGATTTTCGAGTGACGTCATAATTTTTAACGCAGTCTCTCATTGCAAAGGGAAATTGCTTTGTCTAACGTGTAACTACTTTGGCAACTTTTTCGGCAATTCTCTGTCTCCGAGCAGGATGTCCTCGAATTATTAAAAAAAACTGCCGGAATCGATTCTTTACATTGATTAAATTACCACTAATTTTCCCCCGCGAAAATGAGTCGCTAATGTACGTGGATGAGAGCACTCGAACAGTTACCAAAATTCCCGGCTTAAAGTGGGGTTACAGAAATTTCGATAATTACTCCAGCACGTCTGATAACATACGTTTAAACTATGGATAAATACGCGTATAAAAAATAAAAGCTGCAGCGCGGATGAAATATCAAGATTCCTGACCTGCCTTGACGGCGACCCTAGAACTGTGAAAAGCCCTAGAACCAAGCAGTATCTGAAATTGATTTTTGACGTGACGATATGTGCAAATTATTCGACTGTTCACTAAAAAAACGATAACGTGTACGTTCGGTATTACTTGAAGAAAGGAAATTAAATTTGGCAAGAAGCTCGACGTTCCCGAAATGTCGGACTTCCTTCGTCGTCCTGTCGGTATACTCAGGGCCCGGGGGTTCCACTCGCGCATTATCAATTAACATATTTAGGCTCAATAAATAACAATAAATATTATCAGCATAGCTATCTCGAGTTTTGGTTGAACCGAAATAATACGTAGAGGTTCGTCCAAGCTTCGAGTCTCGTTCAGTCTACTCGCTATGGTGAGAACTCCGTTGGCCATTACGTCGTATGATTTTTCTTGCCTATGAAAGATGAAACACCTCCGACATTCCGACGTATCTTTCCCTAGACGCAAAGGGTACGAGTATTAAATTTAATTGTTTCTACTTTAGGTACGCGGTCATTAGTTCGGATGACGGGAAAATTCGGCAAAGGTTTAACGTCCCGTTAAATACTTGCTGAATTTCCCGCCATCGGGCGGAGGACGAAATGGAGAAGCGACCTCGATCTTGAGCCTCGATTACGGATGAGAGAGGTCACGGAGTTGGTAGAGGTTCCCGAGTTATAAATAATGATAAACGTTCGCGGATCGTTAAACCGGAGTGAACGAGGAAGGAGACCGTCTCTCGTTCTCCCAAGAGGCTCTCCACTCTTCCAAGAGCTCTCTCCAGGAGTCTCGTCCATTGTGCCCGTTCTCCGGTCGGAAATGAATTTCGTTCTCGCTCGGGTCTCGACCCGAGCCTTTCGCGTAGGGAAAAGGGAAAAGAAGCGCAGAAATTAGCTTATTTCAATGGCCGTCGCGAGCGGGGCTCGGACTCGAGGGTGGACTCCTCGAAGAAACCGGAAGCGAGGACTGCCGTCAGGGTCCGAGCTGCGCCTCGAACTTCTTGGCCGGAAGTCGACTCAGACGGCGTTGCAGTCCAGGAAAAGCCTCCTGCAGTCTTCCCCGGAACGTCCGCGTCTCCCAGCCTCGTAGAGGGCCTCGAATCCGACGCCGCTCTGCCTCTGGAGGATGTAACTCGTCGCGTACCTGAAACCGGAAGTCGAGGAATCAGAGGACGTCGCGCGTCACGCGCCGAAGACGACTCTCATTGTCGCCCATTGTCTCCGGGACGAAGGAAAGAAAAAAAAAAGAAATAATCGTCGTCTAACGAAACCGCAATTTTCAGGACCAACTAACTCCACGAGGAAGGAAGGAATAACCATTATCCTGTTAATTCGACCATCTTGCAAGGCCAGGTGCAGACAAGGATCGCGGTACCTTGTGAATTACCTCAGAATTAATTTTAATTAACGCCGCGGACTTTTGAGCAGAGAGAAAATTCTGTATAATTTTCAAAGACTAGGGAAAGTCGTTTCACTTACGATCCGAGCTGGCAGAAAATCGAGGACGTTCCTTGGGTATCGGCCACGCACTCTGCACTGGCTTCGCAAAGAGCTCTCTCGGCGCATCCTCGTTGTCCCTCTTCTTCGGAACGGCCGACGTTACCGAATGTCTTCATCGATCGAACGTATCCCTGGATTAATAAGGAAAAATTATTCCAAAGTCTAAGGGTCTGCTGATAAAAAAAAAAAAAATCGCTCGATGACCTACTAGGAACGTCTCGTCTTATTTTTCGACGACTCGGTAAACTGATCTAATTCTTTTTTAGGTACATGTAATACTCCGTTGCAGCTGCGGCTGCCGTTGACAAATCATTACCTTGAGCATGGAAATGGAAGCCACGGCAGCCTCGGAAATGGTGTCTCTTCTGCCGAGGGAACGAGCTGCCAAGGACCGATGCGAAAAGGAGGTCTTCAGGGCGTCCAAGAGATTGATGACGATGCTGATGAACTGCGCGACAAAGTCCTTTCGTAGTAGAGCGAAGCCGACATTCGGGAGACGATTAAATAATACATCGAAGGGAATTCCCGAATCCGCGATGACACTTGACCCACGCTCGAGCATGCCAATGTACATAGACGTGCAAGAAAAAAATTGAAAAATCGAAGAAGCGACCACAGCGTGGAAGGCATGCCTAGCCAAGCGACTGTACAAACGTCGAATTTAATTCTTTTTTTTTTCTTCCAGAACATCTCAGTTGATTTTTCGCTTTAAATCGAATAGGTTGGAGATTTTCTATTTTTTTTTGGTTTTTGGTACTGACCTCGGTAGCCTGCTTAGCCATGACAGCAACCTGATCGGGATCTCTGCCCTGTCCTAGAAACGCGCCCAGCACCGCAGTCAATATGCCCTAAACATCCGACACCAGCCAAGTGCTCTAAGTCTACATGACCATCGTTATTTACAAGGGGGTTTAGCAACATTCGCGACATCTCCCAGACTCCGAAATAATTTATCATCGCCAACGAAAGCGCGACACCGAGTCCAGGACCGACTGGGAGACGTCGCGACTGTAGACAATGGTTCTTTCATTTAACATTTGTCCATTCTAGCTTTGTAGACAAACGAAGCGGTGAAAACGTGTGCGGGAAAAAGCGATCCGTGCGTGCCAGCGTATGTACGGAGCAAATGGAGCGAAACTCGAGGCTGCAGTTTGGAGTGGATTTTTAAGCGATAAAAAATAGGGAGACATCGTCGGCTTCACTTTGAGTGGGAACGCCGATTAAAGGGACTCGCGTTTGCTTGTTCGAACTTTAAGCCTCGATTGCAACCTGCGACCCGCTTTTCCGCGGAATATGGGTCGGCCCGTCTCGTTATACACGAGGGATATCCTAGTTTACTTTCTCGTGTAAAAACGAGGATCGCAGTCGCGCCAGTTTGACTTTCTCGAGGAGAGACGGCCTAGCCGAACTAATGCGGGAGTTGACTTTCTCACGGATGTCCCGTTCCGAAACGCAGCTTTAAAGACCAGGTTGCTCCCATTAGAAATTCAACCCTGCAGCGCCGAGTGCCCCTCGATTCCGAAATAAACGACCAAACGATAACTCGGAGTACTATCTTCCGTCGAGATATCCGGAACATGTCGTACTGACCGGAGGTTGGGCAAAAAAAATGGCCGGTGAAATTATTTCGATGAACATTGGTCGAGAATTTCTCGGCATTTTTCGGGCCAACCTCGGGACCAGATATTTACACGTTACCCCCAGGGGAGGACCCTGAAGAGATAGATCCTCGATTGTACCTGCATAGGACTGCTCTGGTTGTCGACCTTGTCGATGCCGTCGACGGACTGCTGGGGACCGCCCAAAATGGCAGTGAGGACCCTGAGACCCACCGACAAGAGGTTCGCCCAAGGACTTGCCGGGACCCCGTCGTCGACCTCGTTCTTGCTAGGTCCCGGCATTCCTCCGGACTGGCCCAACAACATCTGCATCAGCATCCCCAACATGTTCGACCAGGAGAACCCGCCGGCATTGCCCTCCTGGGTGTAAGAAAAAGTTATCATCGAAGGTCCCTCCAAACCAAGTCAGATAAAAAGAGGTCTAATTCATTCCTACCTGAATCTGGTTCGTGCTGATGTCGTCCAGGTCGTCGAGGGCCACCTTCTTCATGGCATTCGGCTTTTCTGCGAACTTCCTGTCATCTCTGACCTGCTGGTACTGTTGTGGGTACTGAGGGGAATACTGAGGAGGTTGCGGTAATGCGGCTGCTTGTCCCATGACAAGTACCGCAAGGCATAGCGAGAAGTATTGCGTGGACTTCAACCTGAAATACAGGGCAGAAAATAGAAATTCAAAGATCCAAAGAGTTTAACCGTGGAATCGGTGGAGTTCGATTGTCTCTTGATAGAGACGAAAGAAAGAAATGTTCCTTTTCCAGAATTCCAACCAAAATTCCCTAATGGAGGGAACGAGAGCCAAATGGAGTAGCTACGTCGAAGATGAGTCAGAGGACCGATGACATGATCTCAATCGGAATTTCGAAAATGTTCCTGGAAGGTTCGAAACTTTCTCCCTGCATCTCTCCTCGTCATCGACAGAGGACATCTCTCCCACGCGTCATTTCTAGACCGAGCATCCGGATCGCCGAACTTCGATGACCCTATTCTCGATCGAAAATTGACTGGAAGTCAAAGCGTTACTTTCCGACTATCTATGCGTCTTCAGGATTTTAGATCGCAAAGGGAGGAGCCTTGACCGCGAAAGTGTGTCATGGCGGTTAAGGCCATCCCGACAAGAGCACGACGATCGCTCGTTAGCCCACTTCCGATCGGCAGTTTATTGAACTCACCGCAAGACCGTTACTCGAAAAGGCGGTCGCGACCTACTGTCGCCGTGTCTTCGACTCCTACAGGTCGAGGGAAAGAGAAATAACCATCCAACGAGGAGAAAAAGAGAGAGGGGCTTGACCCTACTTTCCTATACCCCGAACAAATTGTTCCCGAATGCGTGCGGCAACTAAGAAAAGAAGTTTCAATCGAATCAGGAAGATTTTCCATATGAACACGCGACCTTTTTATAAAATAATTTTTATTCCAATTGATTAACTGCCCTACAAAATGCTCCCATGGCCGGAAATTTGGAGCGGAGGTTTCATGAAATCCTGTTTAATTTTTTGTCAGATCATTCGAGTCGATAAGTGAATTATTACATTTTTAAAGGACCGAGTATGTAAATTGTTAAGATGGCGCCGGAATTGCGGAGCAAAAGTCGCCCTCGAAGACTTACCGGTCATGTAGGCAAAGAACGGACGGACCCCATGATTTTGCGGATAACTGAAAAATACGGATGCCCCACGGAAACGGTACACGGTCCAACGAAAAAATCAGAAACGAGTTTCTAACTGTACCCTCGCACCTGCCCAGGGCATTCGCTACCTGTTCCCGAGCGAGATCATCTTCCCAACCTGTACCCGTACCTCTACCTGTACGGGATCGTAACCCCAGTTCCCGTTTCCGTAAAAACACGGTCCAGAACTGTCCGGCAAAAATTCCCTCGTCCCTCTTTCAACCTCTAAGAAAATTTCTAACGACGCTCTTTTTCTTTCCTCGGGCGATTTCCGCTAAACTTGCGGAGGACATGTCCTATGCAGGCATCGAAGTCTCCGAGAGAGTCACCGCGGTCCACGCGAGAACGTATAAGTTCTGTCATTCAACGCCATTAAAAATATTTCACAATAATTATTCGCCTTGTGTCTTGAGCCTCTCTTAAATTAATCCACGTTTATAAGGAATAATTAACCGTAAACGTAAGTGGAAACGAGATGGTGAACGAAGGAGACCGCGTCCGAATTCTGAAGCTTACCGACACTCGCGCGACTTAATTGTTAACAATTATTGGAATTAGGTGGGTGTGTGCCGAGATGGAAAAAGTCGTTCGTACTCACATCGTATCGTGCAGGTGGGTTACCGTGACACTGACTCCGTTCTGAAGATGAAATTCCTCGGTGGGTCTTCTATATAGCCTGCGCCGATCGTGGGGGTAAACCGCTCCTCCAATGGCCGGTCACCTTTGCCACTATTTTCAAGGGAACCAGCCAATCGGGCAGACCGGTCGCGGATACTCGGGGATCTACTTAGAGCGCATCTTTTCCTTTGATTTTGCAACCTCGGCCAAGCCGAGGGTCCCTCTTTTCTTTTCGGTCCTCGCACCGAAGATCGTTCCGCTCGACGAGAGGCGTCTCTTTTGAGTTGCGTGCCTCCAGCATCGTTCCGAACTACGAGGAACAGGAGGAATTGAGGAAATGCCCGTCAAGACAACTGCGTTTCCTCTGTCCACATTTTCCCGCATGTTACATATGAAATAAATGTTCATCTCCGCACTTGGTCTCCTCAAAACCCAAATAATCGAAATCCATCTCCATAATTCATTTGATGCCATTTTGACACTGGAATGATCTAAAAGGAAAAAAAAAATAACGCCAGAGGAGTTGTTTCCCTAATTTTAATTTAATGGCTAATTAAATGCTCAAGGGGTCATGCAGGCGTTGGGGTTACTGGTAATCGTTAATTAGTCGGCACGTTTTCCTCGTACTTTCCTTTCGAGAATGTAGAATAGGAGATTCCGAGGGTCGTCGGTTCGTTTTCATTCTCGGATAATTGTCGAGGATCGTTCTGCCAGCCGGCTGCGTTCCCGTTCGTACACAAGAGGAGTTAACCGGTGATTCTTCTCACGCTTAATGCAACGTCTTCGTTATTAGTTACGGAATGTAGGTGGCCCTGAAAAACACATCGAATTTTCAGGAACGAGGACATCGACGAACCGTGCGGACGAAATTGTAGACCGGGCTGTGGGGTCGCGATAATGACGCCTTATCGTTAATAATATTCCCGAGATAGCACTCGTTTCTCTTGTCATACTTTCCTTTCGATGGAAGGAAACGTGAGCAACTCTTCGGCTCGAGGAGTCGTGCCTTCTGGAACCTCCTCGAGAAAAGACAACCGGAACAACCTACAATTCCACGTATGCGACTCTCGGCCGAATTGAAAGTGCAACAAACGATCGCGGCCTGTATGCGTAATTAAGTCATTAGCGCTCCGCAATCCGTAAATCTGCGGAAAGCCGATAATTAAAAAAGGAGAACCTAAGTACGAGGAGTATGTAAATTATTTGGCAAGTATATATAAATGAATAATATATAATATTTAAAGTAAGAAAGTACGGAGACTGCACTTCAAGCTCCATTGACGATTTCAGGTGCGATCAGGTGAGCCGTTGGCCTCGTTTCACCGATGATGAGAACGGAAGTTAAAGTTCTGTCGGATGTCCTGTGAGAGAAAATTCCATTCCAGCCATTTCGTTTCGAATTCATCTTCCTTGCTTTCTGGCCAGCCTAAATCGTCACTACGTCATTCCTCGAGTGACTGTGGTCAGTTTTTGCGGCATCTCGTAGCGTGCAAGTGCATCCTCCAGTGTGATACTTTCCTACCCATCAATACACCTCTTCGGCATTCCTCGGCAGTGCTCAAGGCGCTACAAGTTTCTTCATCCTCCTCTTCTTTTCATCTCCGCACTTTGCACGGGTCCCTGCATCCGCGTCCCGTTCTTCCTGGCCCGTGAAAAAGCGAGGAGTGTCCGGGTAATGTCGCAATTACGCAGGCCATTTCTGGACCAGTCCTGTCGGAGGGTGAAAAGCCGTGAATGTAAAAGAGCAAAATTGTAAAAAATAAAAAATTAACAAAAAATCCAGGGGGGATGGTTTTGTTGCTGGTCCGTTTCCAAGGCACCGCCTTGCTCGTAATTCCTGCCAGAAGGTGACTTCGAGGAGGTACCTTCCACTTCGAAGTTCCAGTTCTTGCTCGAGATTTTTCACGGAAAGAGCCCGGGATTAGTAGAGCCGAGTAAACCGCCATTCATCATAACTGTTTCGGTAGCGGGATGCTGCATGTACTCTTCTTGTTAGACCGATATCACTAATCGTTCGTGTAAGGTACACCGCTGGGGCACCTCGGATGTGCGCAAACTCGTTCGCCGATCTGGGTAACGAGGAAAATTCGAAATCGCGAGATCTGACCATGCAAAAATGTTGTCATTAATATAATTAAGGGCGGTATAATTGCACTTTAAGAAGGAAGTGCTTACATCGCACTGGGCCCAAAAGAATCGCTTTCGTGCACCTTCATTCCTGCATGACCGTGTACTTTTCTTGGCACGAGCACTCGTAGCCATTGTATGTAATAATAGCTGTCACCCCACACATAAGACCGTGCTAACGACCATATAGAACCTGAGAAATCCGGGATACGAGGTGTTGAACTTGCGCATAATCGCGGATCCCCACCCGGAAGCAACTGTGCGACTTTGGGCCTTATCTGCGCAGTGACCTTAAAACAAGGAAGATCAGATTTTTTTTCTAGGTAGCGTTTTAATAATTAATAAAATCCCATCCGCCAGAATGCAGGCGCTAGCAAGACGTCCGATAAGGTCCTGACTAAGAACGTGATTACGATCGTAGAACGTAACGACACCCGTCGAACTGGAAATAGTAACCCGCTATCCGACCTTTGCCACTGACACAGAAAGGCACTCGATCGAATGCGAGAAGGCACTCTTCGAAACAAGTCACTTGCGCGGTGAGTGTAATGCATCCCAGGAAGGCCCCTCGGCTCGAAACGAGAAGGCCCGACCGAGAGTGCCTTCTTAAGATCGCATTCGATCGCGTCCATTAACTCGAGTAATCGAATTTACGATAGCGGAGATTGGATTGCTTCTGCAGTCTCCCAGAGACAATGCCCTGAAACGTCCCAAAACCCCTAAGACTAAACATTTCGGTCCGTCAATAAAGAACCACATTGGCTCGCGTCTACGAGGGACGGCTAGCCGTGTAGTCATTGCCTTTATTTACGGAAAAGCCTCTCATAACGAGCGTCGCATTACCGATCAACTCGTGTAGCAGGTGCAGGACGCGCCGCGGAAGGCTCCTCGGGGACCTTCTCTCCCCGGGCGACCGCAACTTCCTCCGTACCGAGCATAGAAGAGTGCCGTTACAGCTATTCGACACAGAAAACCGGCTAGCGGGACTCGCACGCCCGATTTACATAATGATCTGTGCACGAGTACTCGCAATGTCGACGCTGGCGGGCCCCGAGGGCCTCCAGATGGCTCGCGCCCCGTTGGGTCGTCCGGGGCCTTGGCGTGGGGGTACGGACCGCGTACGACCTTGCTCGAAATTCCTCTCTAATCTACCGATCGCGGTCGGCTAAGTCTACGAGGAATCTGACCCAGAGCCAGCGATATTGCTGCGACCACGAGGGGCACTTGCATAAGCGCAACAGCCATTAAACGTGCTCGAAATCCCTGGTTGATTCTGCCAGTACTCTGACAACGTTTGGATGTACAATGATTTTCTTACCCAGTCGACGTCTCGTCATTTAAATTGGATGTCTGGTTAGATTATAATGAAAAGCAGTTTTCCAAACTAGTATCCAATGATTTCCAAGTATAGCTCTATTCAGCTTGGCATAAACGTTCCGAATGTGAAGCACACCGAAGACTCCGTTGGACAACAGACGGCAAAATCAAGGCTGTGACTCGTCGAATCCGGGGAACCCACTAACTTGGTTTACGGTACATTGAGCATTGAGGTCAGGATTGTTCACTGTAAAATAAATAACGATCCATCAAACTAAAGTCGCTCGTAGAGAAGGAACGGTTGACTGAGCGAAGTGCGCAATCGCAACGAGTGTCGCAACTTCCCTCTGTCTGTAAATAATTACTATTAACTATGATCCTGTATGCAATTGCGAGATGAGCTTCTTGTTCCCCTCTGATTTCCTGGAATGCTCCCACATCTTCGACATTGGAACCAAAATCTCTGTCGAAAATTCGTTCTTCATCCGTCGCGAATGAACCGCCATCTGTCCGCGGATGCTCGAGACTGGTGATACCAACGCTTATCTTCCGCCATCTTCCTTCTTATCCTTTGGTTTCCTTCGAAGGTAAGGCGGGTCGATTATCGGCTGGGTAAGGTGCTAATTTTTCTGCCCGGTGACTTTGTCAAGGCCGGTGTCAGTCTCAAATAGTTTTCTTATTGGCCTTTAGCATCTGTGCTCGTAGTCCGTAGCGTATACAGATCGAAATACAGAGGCACGAGTACCCGTAGCTAGTCCGTAGTCGTGCAACGTTCGATGTCCATACTAGAATTAGGAATACCCGGTCTCGTTGGTTATCGGTTATACGTCCATTACCCCATTTTTTTCCACCCCCGCGATATCGCTGAATAATCGTGAAATGGCGAAAAAGACTTACGACTTGCTCTTTAAATTGTTGCTCATTGGGGATTCCGGCGTTGGGAAAACTTGTATATTGTTCAGATTTTCAGACGACGCTTATTCGTCCACCTTCATTTCTACCATAGGTGAGGCCCTGATCGTTCGCGAGTGTCCTTTCCTTAGTTTCCTGCAATTGTAAATTCTACGGTGTTAGACTCTCTTTAATAGGCTATACAACTAGTGCCTATACCATTTTGTTCACATGTAAATGGTACGACACTGTTCTTTTTTTTCTTTTTAGGTATCGATTTCAAAATTAAGACCGTGGATTTGAGAGGAAAAAAAATCAAGTTACAAATATGGTTAGTATCGAGAATTCTTGTATGTCACATAAAATATTTATTTACTTAGAACTACCGTTGTTTTAGGGACACCGCGGGTCAAGAGAGATTCCACACGATAACTACGTCGTACTACAGAGGTGCAATGGGTATTATGCTCGTTTATGATATCACCAACGAGAAGACCTTTGAAAATATTGTCAAATGGTTGAGGAACATCGACGAAGTAAGTACGTCGATCATACGAAATTCGTACCAACTGTGTACTGGGCATGCAATCGACGAAAAGTACCGTTAAAGTATGTTCGCCGAAATGTGACCGAACCAGTGATAACATTTACTTTATTGCAATTCTTACACCACCAGCATGCCAATGAGGATGTAGAAAAAATGATATTGGGAAATAAATGCGACATGGAGAATAAACGTGCCGTCAGTACAGAAAGGGGCGAGGCCGTGAGTTAAACAAGTTATTATTCGTGACAATTGCGTTAATAGCAATGATATGGTTTCAACGGAAAGCATAAAGTGATGACATTCATTGAAAATAGATTAATTTCTAGGTGGCAAGAGAGCACGGGGTAAGATTTATGGAAACATCTGCAAAGTCAAACATCAACATAGACCGAGCATTCAGCGAGTTGGCGGAGGCAATTTTAGAGAAAACCCACGGAAGAGAACCGCAAGACGCTGTCGATCGTGTGACAGTGGATCGAAAAGTAGAAAGAAGTTCCAATCGGTGCTGCTAACTTAATACTATTTATTTTAACGACGTATTATAAGCCATGTATCGACTCGTGCCAGTTTGATTAGACTTGTGTATAGAGTTAGAGCGTACGTGTCACCGTTTACTGCTATTTTTACATCGTTTTTACTAAAATCGAATACCACGGCTTCTCAAGAGTCACGCTTTTCAGCCGGTGCGTTCTGTTAATCGGTTGAGGTAACTTCTCGACGACCGAACACGCAAGATTCCCATAAGATCGAATATCATCGTCTATACCGTAACGCTTATTGCGATTTTCACAAGAACTTTTATATCTGAATCTCGTATTAAATCACAAGACTGCGTTGCATACGTGTTTATTGTACGCGCACAATGTCTAAGCTCCATCGCTTTGCGGTACGAATCACTCTGGCGTGCACGACCTGTCTGTAGTGGTACATTTAGCGATGGTTTTGGGACGTTTAGTTGGACTGTATCCACGGCATTGGTATAAGAAAAAAAAAAATAATAACTAACGATATCCCAAGACGATTAGCGTTCATTAATTCGCAAGCCTCGAGACGCGAAAGGAGATTGCAATTTGTTGCCATACGTGTGAAAAGCGCTTTTGTTAATTCAGGATTATGGCTGTGTCGGATCGGATGAATGAATGTCTGAATATCAGAGATTTTGAGGCCCGCAATCAGGATGCCCATGTGTCAGAAAAAGTAGAATTTCCCGCTTACTCCATTTAGGTTCTAAATAATTTGGAGACGTCACCGTGGGGGTTGCAAAATGTATATAAGCGTCAATCAACTTACAGTCAATGATCGGCGCAATTACAAATGCCTGTATCCGTTTATTCGAATTAACCGAAATCCGAATGTCCGAGGGGTCGTCGATATTTCAGACATTTGGATGCCGAGCACAGACCCGTTTACTTGAAATCGGTACAAACGTGAGTGTTCGGCACGTGGTCGAAGGAGACAGAGTGGCTTTTGTCCTGAATTTTAAGTGAAACACTTAAAGCTAACAGTTTCTACCCTGGTTGCTGTAAGACTAATTTACCATAAAATACATACGTACACTACTTCGTCGGTTCTTTTATCTTCCATTTTATTTCTTGAATATTCCATATCCGTTGAAACATCAAACTACGCTTAATTCTAATTACATCGTACTCTTTATGACCGAGTGACTAAAAGTTTTCGCGGTGTTTGCGAGGAACCCCAAGATGCATACAATCCAATGAGCTTTTTACGCTTTTTATCATTAAATATCAAGATAAATATACTTTATTATAGAATGGGTAAAACAAGTAAGGAACGTCATCATTTACAAAATTCAGTGAAATGCCACGCACGTAATCGATGACAGAATCAGTGCTTTCATACAATTCGCGAATGTAATGAATATATGAAAGGGATAAATGAACGATATATTATTAGGTAACGTGAAAGAGTACAACGAGCTTAGAAAATAAGGCAATCTAACTAAAGCTATAACGCTTGGAACTAGGTGGTTTTAAAACCCATTCTCCCGTCATCAGTCCTTTCTTATGGAAAATGTACCGCTTGCTTTATGACTTTCTGCAAGGCTTTTGAGTCGCGTGCTTTCTCTGAGCCATAGCGGAATCAAAATTTACGCACATATCGTATAAACATCCTTTGTAAGTTTTGGATTAAGCAGCTGCAAAGTGACTTTTGCCGTCTTATTTTTGCTAATCCCGGGACGCTCCAATTATGGTCAGGATGTACAAGAAGATATTGACGACATCGAGGTAGAGGCTCAAAGCTGCGAAGATGTACTCCTCGGGTGAGATGGAGTACTTGTGCTTACCGCCCATCATCATTTGGGTATCGTAAACTAAATATACCGAGAACAAAAGCGCCCCTAACGAACCGTAAACCAAGGACATGATTTTACCGGGGAAGATTATTGCCAGTATTCCAAAGAGGAGGAGAACGAAAACGGACATGAAAAGAATGGTATGCAATACCGTGAAGTCGATTTTGGTAACGAAGGCGAAGATTGTTAGCGCAAGGCAAATTGCAGCTGTGATCCCGACTGCCATTAAAACCTGAACAGGGAAAAAAATAAAATAGTTATAAATGCAATGCCATTTTCGGTATTTCTTAATAGCTTATAAAGAAATTCTATACATACTTCTTCCGCTTTGTACAAAGATGATGCTATGGACAGGAGTAAACCCTCCGCCAATGTAAACATTAATAAGAAGATGAAGTTCATCGGCGACTTTCTTCTAACACTGGTACAGCAAGCCATCGAAATCAGTAGGACAAAAGTTATAATGAAAGATATCCAAAACAGTTCCGGATGTCGACGAACCCACAAATTGGTGGGCTTGTGATACAAAACCAAAGTAATCATCGACAATGTTATTAACAGTTGACACATCAGAATCAGGTACACTTTCCTAGAAGAGAAGAAAATAAAAAGTTTGTTTATTTATCAAAGTTCATCACTGCGCGGTCAAACTTCAGTAAAGATACTTGAAGCCAAATTGGTTTGAAACTAAAGGTTGAGGTTAAGTAGTAGAATTTCTTACCTGATAAATCCTCGTCTTATGGTGTCATTACTGAATTCAAACCCCTTGACCTCCCCTTGATCCTGTGCAGGATCATCTGCATAATTCGAGCCGTACATTCCAGGCTGTGGTTGGCCCCCAAAAGGAACTCCTGCAGGGGGTGGCACTTGGCCGTAAGGAGGAGCACCTGGTGGAACGAAACCTGGTCCTAAGAGGATAAATAACCAAAAATAAGGATATTTGTATTTCAATAATGAGTGATATTATTAAAAGCTGTATATAAATGTATTCTATATTTTACCTGGAGGGGGTCCACCTCCGTAAGGTGGGGGATATCCGGGGTATCCGGGATTATGGCTTGGAATTGGACCTGGACCTATAATAAGAATTATAAATTAGGTAAATTTATGATAGATTAATTGTAAAATTTCACGTGTGTTAATGACTCTTTGCTGCAGTGCGTACAATGGCTTTGCACACAAATTATTCAAATCGCATAAAAGTTCCTGATAGCATAGAATGTTATGTAATATTAATTATAGATTTTTTCATGGATGCTAAATTACATTAAAAAAACCAGCTACACAAACCGAACGTTGTATCACACCCTTATTACCACTTATCTATAATCTGTCATTTACAATTTTATCAAGCACAAGATATCACTTTGCTAACCTAAGAGTACATCGCAACTAATTTTTATGCGATGAAAATATAACGAGTCACCACCCTATGGAATCTGTGGGTTCATTTGTGAAATATTACCAATTTACAAAGGTAATTCTAATGGTAATAAGAGATCGAAACCTTGTTGTCCTGGATAGTATCCACCACCAGGATTGTTCTGCCACGACGTCATCTTATTGTACGCTTAAGCTGAAAAATAATGTAGCGTTATCACGTTGAATACAGGACCAGGACGAACAACAACAATGATGGGAGTGACGACAGTGACAACTGTGAATAAAAACGACTGGAATCCTTTAATACATAAACAGTAACAAAAAAGCAATTGCGTATTTACAATACTACAATTTAAGAAACAAATAAAAGCATGACGATGTAATCATTGCCTCGCATTAACTTTACTTAATATTTTTCTCAGCAATAATGAACAGTTAAATATAAAACTCATAACCAGGAATACTTGACCAACCAAATATTACATTTGACTATTTCGATTAGCTCATTTCAAATGAATTATGCCTTCCAGTTAAATAGGCATTCTTAATTTCCATCACGAAGGTATATCGAATTTTCAAAATACCCTAGGTATTATATTACGGTGATGCGTCATTTTTAAGATAAGAACCAGATAATACTTTCCCCCTAACCTTGGAACTCCTTCCTAGAAGCTATCAACCTCAATTCTTATAAACCACTCAGATATAGAGCACACCTCATCAAGTATGAATTTAATTCATCTTATCTTACGCCACCATTACATTGACGATTTTAGATTGCAAGAGAAATTATTTTACAGAACGTCTTTCCAATATAGGTGAACCTCGACATAACCTTAACGTATCGCGTAAGAAAAACGTAATCCCGCTTGCCGAATACGTCGAAGATCCATAAAATGATATCATCAAAAATTAGATTAGTCTCAGATAAAACGTGCGTTTCTAAGGATCTAGTAAATGACCGAAACGTTGCGACATTATCGAATGTGCAGGTAAATGAATTACGTCTTACGAAACGTCCTTGTAACGTAGATGAACTTCTCTCACTCGTCCGGCAAAGGTAGTGGCTTTTACCTCCCACGTAACGCGCAAACAACCGGCAACTGGCAAAACTTGGTACTTCCGTATCTAATCAAGAAAAAGAGGATGCGTCAGCAGGCACAGGTTGAAGCAGGGAAAGTAAAAATTTAGGGCAACGTCACGTAGGCTGCTCTCTCGATACCGACAGCAATGCCAACAGTTTTTGACAGCTAATTGACCAAGGAGGAAAATCATATCACGCAGCCGTATAGAAATACATACACGACGGCGCGATGCGTCATCCGTACGTTCTGGAAAGCGACAATCAATTGGTAGATTCGAGCGAGTAAAGATTATTATTTATTTACCTTTGAGCGGACTGTCGGCGTCCCAGTCGAGAGAATACTAAACCGACACGGAGGAATTAACCACAAGCGCGACCGGAATGCAAATACTGAATCGCGTTCTACGTCGAACCCGTCACTTAGCGTCACGAAAATACGACTAAATCCATCAAGCCCACAGCCTAACGGAACCAACTGGAAGTTTCCCACAGATTGTATTGATTGATAATGAACAGAGTAGCAAAATACTTCTTGATTCGCATCTGTCTGGAGCCGCTGCCATCTAGCAGCCGAGCAACGAAACCGGTCCAGACATAGCATAGACTCGATCCCTGTTCCCCGATGTGCCATTCTCTCGTCGAAGGTAATTCATGGAGAATTATTTTCCGCGACTTGTGAGATGCGTCACGAGGTGCGCCAAGAGTGAGCGCAGCTCCCCTTCTAGAATGTGCGGAACCTCGGAAAAGTGTCAATAGGAGACCGTGTAGTTTGTCAACTTTGTCATCGGGGTTCTGTCAAATTCCTGACACCGGACGTACGCGAGATCGTCTCCGTTTGAGTTTTTATCATCGCGACCATGGGCGACGACATCGAAGGGGAGCGGCAACATCTCCTTAAAAATGACACCTCTACGTACAGTACAAATGACATGATAGGTAAATCCGAGGAGAGTTCTAAACCAGTTAGGCTATTCAATGCGGCATGTCATCGCTCATTTCCGTTTTCAATTACTGCTTTAGGTGCCTCTCAAGAAGATGGGAACACGGTCTCTTCTATAGGGCCCAACGAGTTACCTCCGCCTTACCAGTCTAATGCAAATGCAGTGCCGATGGTGACATGCAGAGTGTGTCAGGCACTGATTAATATTTCTGGCAAGAGAGATCAGCATGTTGTTAAATGCCCTCAATGTAACGAAGCTACGGTACGACTTTTTGGGTCTCCGTTCTCTTGGCGTGGCTATCTCATGCGTTTCGCTAATTCCCTGTTTGCTGATTTTAGCCCATAAGGAACGCACCACCTGGAAAAAAATATGTGCGTTGCCCGTGTAACTGCTTACTCATATGTAAGAGCTTTTCGCAACGTATCGCCTGTCCTAGGCCAAATTGCAAGCGTATCATTAACCTTGCACCTAGTCCTGTTACTCCACCTGTACTCTCTATGCCGGGAATGTGCAGAGTCGGCTGTGCACATTGCCATGATACGTTCTTGGTAAGTCCGGATGATTTCAGATTATCTGCTCGTTATTACATTTTTTAATTATCTACCCGGACGAGGTAGTTTCAATATGTAGCACCATTTGTTTGTTGCAGTTTAATTCGCTCAATAATTCCTTAGCCAGATGTCCACACTGTCGCAAGGTTTCCTCCGTCGGACCAGACTTTGCTAGAGGCAGAGGAATTACATACATTATAATTGGCATTATTGCCTTTGTTGTCGGCATTGCTGTGACGGTATGACTTTATTTCTCTGACTTTTTATCATCTGCTCGAGAATTAATTTTATCTAATTTCACGTGCAGGTTGGAACATATTCATACGTAAAAACTAACGGAGGAATTTATGTGGCATATGTTGGTAAGTTGCAGCGATAATAATTTCTCTACTTTTCTATTAAAAATTAACAGAATACATTGAAATACTACTAAACTCTTCTAAAATGTTGAAATAACTGAGAGGATTTTTTTGTTCTATGATCAGGTGCATTCCTGATAGCACTGTTATGCTTGGGTCGCAGTATCTACTATTATAGAATGAAGATTAGTTTTATAGAAGGACCCATCTAGTCTTTTTATGGAAGATCTATGGAGAATTATGTCAGAACCCTAATTCTTCCAACGTCGATGTCGTATAACCGATTTAGATCACACATCGCAGTAATAAAGCGTAAGTCCATGTATATGTGCAAATAAGTACGTATGCGGATTGCAAGTGTTGATGTACACATTGACACGCCGATATTATGCATATATAACGTATAACAAATCCATACACGAAGCAGAGACACACGTATACATATGTGCAGTTAAGTGCATTTTCTAATCTCTGTTTGCCTATGTCATTATCTATACCCAAAATAAATAATAGAACTATGTAAGATCGAATAGCTGGGGCCTGATTTATACGGTTCATGACAATGGATGCAAATGAGATCAATGATTCAACATGAACGCGATATTAATGGATTGACTGAGGCATTAAAAGCAAGCGTATTTATATGACAATGTTAACTATGGAATGTATTTACCATTTAAATATTTTGAACATTTTGAACGTTTGAGTCCCATTCGACGTTCGGCTATTAAGTTGCATGCGTCTTTAAGAATATTTAGGGCAGGAGGATGAAGGGTTAATCGAAATGACGAGCCATAAGTCAGAATTGTGCATTTCCGAATAATGTTTTTTCCACTATGTGCAAGCGAATTGACACATGCTAACTTTTAAGTATGTGAGAAAATTCATGGTTGTATTCTGAAGAAATAATAATCCTTACGAACAATACATCGTTCTTTTACTCGGTGACGAGTTTCAAGGAAATTACTACAGCTTCCAATTCCTCTTTTCAGAGAAGTTGCCGGCAAAGTTGGGCGGAAGGTGAATTCAGCGTCCGTGTTATTAAAAAGTAAAATATTTATTTTCTAATAAAACATATACGTAGAATGTATCCAGAAAAATATTCACAAAATGAACTCTAGGATGCGCATGTCTCTTTGTGACATTTTTTAGGTACCTACATAATATTAATTGCACGTTGTATATATTTTGTGTTAAGGTCCAACAGCGGAATCTTTGGATACACGGGAAGCCTGAATCTCACGCTTCACTTGCCACTTTTCGGACATTATTCTTTACCTTCTGCCTATTTTAAATAATTTCATTTAAGTGGGTGAACCTCGAGCATAAAACGTGAGGCAAACCGCTAGGTATGAAAACGTAACAAGGATATCACAATAAAATTCCGTATTACTCGTTCAATCGAACACTAACATCCCAGAAGTGCACTACAAGATATTCTCCCGAATGCTCTCCTCTATACAGAATTATTACGATTTGATTATCCGCAGGGGCTTAGCACTGAGCATGGAAACATCCGCTTTTAAGGTACGGATCCATAAACCTATTTAGACGGGCATTTAACGACGTACCGAAACATCTCTCTGGTATCGCCCTGAGACTAGGACTTTAATTAAAATAGTTATGCCATCGGAAGTCCATTTAACAAAAATGGCGCCTGTACGACTCCTCGCGAAATCCCAAGTTTTTCGGGTAACACAGGACGAAGAAGTCTCGTTAAGTCTTTGACACGAAGCCGAACATATCTCCATCGTCACAACTCAGCCCCCGAAAAGAAACATCCATATTTTACAACCTATCTCAGGTGCGGCATTTTAAGTCGAACGCTACCGGCGCACCCTGATGTAAAATTAACGGTATTTACAGTATTTCACTCATTTTACGTCGGAAATTCGAATCGCCATTCGACATAACACGTGCCGACGTTGCAAGGAACCGCAGCGATTAATAAATCCCACGCAACGTCTTCACGATTCCTCCAGACAATTCCAGATCGGTAAGACCAGCTTAATTCGAGAGATTCCTTGCCCGGAGCCCACTTTACTCCAGGGTCGCCAAGAGATCGTCGCCCTCGACCTTCATCCCTTGATTGACGTCGAGGGTTTTAATTTTCCCTGCCTTCGGGGCCTGCACTATCATCTCCATTTTCATTGCAGAAAGGACGACCAAGGCTGCACCCTTTTCCACGGTATCGCCCACCTTGACCCTGATGTCGATGACGGTTCCTGGCATGGGTGCTCCGACCTGGTTCTTGTCTCCTTTGACAGCCTTGGGATGAATGTGAAGTTCCTGAAAAGAAACGGAGAAAAAATTAGGATTCGGTTCGCTCCCGATCATCGGGATCCTGAAAGTGGAGGCGCCTACCTTAACGGCCTCCTTGTCCTTGATGAAGACGGACCTCAACTGGCCGTTCATTTCGAAGAATACTTCTCTCTCTCCGTTCGGGGTAAGGTCTTCGGCCATGGCCAGGGTCTTGATACCAAGGGTCTTGCCCTTCTCGATGGTAACGTCGAACTCCTCTCCAACCTTCGGCCCGGTCAGGAATATCCTCGTCTCCAGTTTGTCGACCGGACCGAACGATTCCCTGAAATTGAGGTATTCCTCGGTGACCTGGGGATACAAAGCCGCCGACATGATGTCCTTGTCCGTGATGTGAGGATGGCTCTCTTGTAGATGCTTCTTCAAGGCACAGAAATCAAGGGGCTCCATGTTTGCGCCAGGTCTGCCCTGGACGCGGGGCATGTCCTTGAGGACCTTCGACCTAAGAGGCTCGGGGAATCCTCCGTGCGGCTCCCCGATGGCACCCTGGAGGAACTCAATGACCGACTTGGGGAAAGACAGCTCTTCCGCCTTGTTCATGACGTCCTCGGCCTTCAAGTTATTTTGCACCATGAACTGTGCCAAGTCGCCGACGACCTTGGAGCTGGGGGTAACTTTGATGATGTCTCCCAACAGAAGATTGGCCTCCCGGTAGGCCTTTTTCACGTCCTCGAAGAATTCTCCCAGACCCAGAGAATATGCCTGGAACTGCAGGTTCGTGTACTGACCCCCAGGAATCTCGTTCAGGTAAACGTCCGCATTCCCTGCCTTCATGGTCGTCGTGCACTCGAACGGGGCGTAGAGAGTCCGGGTCTGTTCCCAATAAGCGGAGTACTCAGAAATGTCGCTGAGTTGCAGCTTGGTGTCCAAAGGCGTGCCTGAAGTAGAAGACAAAATCGTGAATATATGTCGAAACCTCATTTACCGACATCGATATTCACCTTGTAGAGACGCCACGATGGCTCCCATAGACGGCTGACTGGTCATCCCCGACATGCTGTCGACGGCAACGTCTACAACGTCTGCTCCATTTTCACCACAAGCCAGCATGGCTGCAACCCCGGCACCAGCGGTGTCATGGGTGTGGATGTGAAGAGGGATATCGGGATGTTTCTGCCTGATGGCATCGATCAGCAGCGCGGCAGCCTTCGGCTTCAGGAGGCCGGCCATGTCCTTGATGCACAGGACATGAGTGCCAGCCTTAACGAGCTCGGTGGCCAGGTCGGTGTAGTACTTCAGGTTGTACTTCGTTCGAGTAGGGTCGCTGACATCTCCCGTGTAGGAAATAGCAGCCTCGACGACACCTCCCGACTTGCCGGCTGCTTCCATACCTGATTACAAAGGAGATACAGTTAATATTATACGTCGTCCTGTAATTGATCTATAAAAAAAATCAATGGTTACGGATTTTACCAAGGATCAAGTTCGGCAGATAGTTGAGCGAGTCGAAGACCCTGAAGATGTCCATGCCGGCTTCATGGGCGAGCTCGCAGAACTTGAAGACGACGTTGTCGGGGTAATTGGTGTATCCCACGGCGTTGGCTCCTCTCAGGAGCATCTGGAAGGGGATGTTGGGAATGGCTTTGCGCATGTCCTCCAAGCGTTCCCAGGGACATTCGTGGAGGAACCTCAGGGCCACGTCGAATGTCGCGCCGCCCCAGTTCTCCAGGGCGTAAAGGTTGCTGAATTTGTGGGCGACGAAGGGAGAGATCAGCAACAGGTCGTGAGACCGCACGCGGGTTGCCAGAAGTGACTGATGAGCATCACGGAAGGTGGTGTCCATCAGGAGCAAACCTTTGTTCTCTCGGACGGCCTTGGCGAACGCTTCCGGTCCATGCTCGGTTAAAATCTGGCGCAAGCCTTTTGGTGGCTCGTTCACCCCTAAGATAAAATGGCCACGGTTAGTAGAAGCTTGTCCGTTTCCTCAGGAACGGGTAAAAAGCGGTTCGTGAACCCGAGTACCAATTCTTTAGCTTTAAGCTCCCAATCGGAGGAAGCGAACATTAGGCTCGAGGGTCACGGGTTAACGCGACCTACGCCTATTGGATCGCAAGAATTTTGGCTAATTATGCGTGATCACTCAAAGTGATCCTAATTAATTCCTCGAGGTCAGGACAAAAGCGGATGAAAATAATTCGAAAATTACACTCGTACCTGGAACGTCCTGGTCGTCGAGGCCATCGGCAGCTGCAAGCCTAGCAAAGTCTAAAAAAATTGCCAAACAAAATGATAAAGCATGCGATAAACCATGGTCATAAGAGAACGGGGGAACGAAAGAAATTCCGGGTAAACTTAAGCTCGATCGCGCAACGATTTCCGGTAATTAACGCGTCGATAGAAGTTTAATAAACGCACGACTCCAAGACACAAGATGGAAGCTTGAGTGCACCTATTAATGCCACGGTGACGAGAGCACAAATTAATTCACGTACGAGGATGAAATACGAGAAATACCCTGACGGTAAATAGCGGTGCAATTCCATGCTCCCCAGGATTATTAATAACAAAGATGGCGGATGAAGTAAATTAAAGAAACTTCCAGGTGGCCGCCATTCGGGGAATGTGATGGAGATGGTGTACGAATTCTTGATTAGAGTCAGTCTCCATCAATTTTGGATGCTCGGAGGTGAACGGAAAAATCACACGGCCCCCAAAGAAAGTGCACTAAGACAAAGCGAAGTAATTGTTTCCGACGGAAACCTGAATACTGGGCGTTAACAGCGTCAGTGGTCGATTTGCATACCTTTTGCGATTTGAGGAACGTATGGCTTAATTTTTGCTGGTTTCAGCGACGTGGCCAAGGGCGTGCTGGGACCGTTGACCAGAACGGTTCCTATGTAATTCAGCAGCTTTTGAGCGCGATTCTGGCTGGGTAAAAATCGGAAGAGCTGCGGGTTCTCGTCTATGAAGTAGGTATCCACCTTCCCGTTGAGGAACTTCTGGTTCTCCAGGACGTTCAGCAAGAACGGTATGTTGGTCTTGACTCCTCGCACTCTGAACTCTCGGAGGGCTCGGTTCATCTTTGCGCAGCACGCCTGGAGGTCCGCTGCATGAGCGATTACCTGGAACAATTAATTACGGTGATTATCGACAGGAGGCAGGTACACGATTTCCATGGCGAGCCGGTTTCGAGTACCTTGACGAGGAGGGAGTCGTAGTAAGGCGAGATAATGGCTCCCGCGAAAGCTGAAGCACTGTCCAACCTGATACCCATCCCTTCACCGGACCTGAAGACTTCGATCCTTCCCGTATCCGGCTGGAAGCTCTTCGCAGGATCCTCCGTGGTGACGCGGCACTGTATCGCAAAGCCCTGAGGCTTGATCTTCTCCTGGGTCATGTTGAGCTCGGGAAGAGTCATGCCCTCGGCAATGTGGATTTGCGACTGCACGAGGTCGATGCTGCGATCAATAATTCGTTGTTAATTATTAATTCTACTAATTTAAAGAGTTCGACAGGGATTGAGCTTTTTACCCCGTGATCTCCTCGGTGACGGTGTGCTCGACCTGGAGTCGAGCGTTGACCTCGATGAAGTAGAAATTGCCAGTGTCGTCAGCCAAGAACTCCACGGTGCCGGCGTTCGAGTAGCCTACGTACTTGGCCAATTTCACCGCGAAATCGGTCATCCTGTCTCTAACCTTGGGATCCAATATGGGAGCAGGAGCGATCTCGACGACCTACCGCCAAAGACGGATCGGTTAAACCCATCCTTTAAATTTCCGACCCGGAAATGGATGGTAAACGGTCCTCTACGGGCCCTCGAAGAGCATGGAGATTACCTTCTGATGTCGACGCTGAACGGAGCAATCACGCTCGTACAGATGAACGACGTTCCCGGCATTGTCCCCGAGCAACTGGACCTCGATGTGTCGAGGTCTCTCGATGAACTTCTCGATGAACATCGCGCCGTTCCCGAAGGCGGCCTGGGCCTCCGAGGAAGCTCGCTCGAACATCTCCTTGACTTCCTCCATCTTCTTGACCACTCTCATGCCTGGATGTCAACGAGAAACCTTTGCCTCCAATATTCGAAAAGCCCGCAAACGAAGGGAACCGCCAGTTTTTATTTCCTGGCGAGCACAGAGCGTGCAATACCTCGACCACCGCCTCCATAAGCAGCCTTGAAGATCACCGGAAGTCCGTGCTTGTTGCAGAACTCCATCGCTTCTTCGGAGGTCGTCACGGGTCCATCGGTCCCAGGAACTATTGGAACCCCTGCTCCTATCGCGGCCTGTCTCGCCGCTACCTAAATAAAAAAAAAATATATATATGAACCCTCCATTTAAAAATTCATACCTATATAAAGCATATTCGGACACCTTGTCACCCATTTGTTGCACCACTTTGGGGCTGGGACCGATGAACCTGATCCCGGCATCGACGACTGCTTGCGCGAAGTCGGACCTTTCTGACAGAAAGCCATAACCGGGATGTATGGCGTCCACGTTATTATCCTTCGCAATTTGAATAATTTCCGGGATGTTCAAGTAAGCTTGGACGGGTGGCAGTCCTCGACCGACCAAATATCCTTCGTCCGCCTTCTGCCGGTGCATGTGCATCTTGTCCTGCTCCGAGTAGATGGCCACCGACCTTATCCCAAGTTCCGTGCATGCTCTGAACACTCGTATGGCAATCTCACCTAGAAATTGTTACCTTCTATGCTTAAGGTGGCAATTAAAAAATTTCTTATATTTATTTCGTAGTCATGCGCGATCTAAGTACCGATCTACCGAGGAGATTCCGAATCGTCAGATGGATATACGTATTTGTTTGTTTCAGGTAACTATAAATAATCAGGGGACTTGGCTGTATCTTCGATCAGGTACGCGCGCCTAAATTTCTCCCAAGTTTCAGTACTGAAATAACTGCCCTTTCTCTTGACATTGGACATTAGGCCGAGTCCAATTCTCGTTCCCCTCAAATATTGTTTATTTAGCGCGATTAAGAGTCCGGGGTCACTTCCTGGAGGGAAAAAATAAAATAAAAAAGAGAAAAGAGAACATCGCGTTATTCCGCATCAACAACACTGGCGCTAAATTTACCCCAAGATTCTGCAGCTCCGATCAGCGATGAAACTTTTTTCCCGTGCAAAGATCATTAATTGCGTAACGAGTTTAACAATCGGTCGGATAGATAATAAAGGAAGGAGAGAATTTTCAACACCGTCAAAAGCGGATAAGAACGGCATGGTAATTTATCAGAGATAAAAATGGTCAAGCAAGAGAGGAATTCGATTAAATTTATGAATATCAATTTCACGTGGTTTTATTTCTTTTTTTTTTCAGTCTACTCCAAGTAGTCTCATAGTGCATATGCAAACGAAGTTGCGGCCGAGTGATTCTCGTTTTACAGGAAGGCACTGGCTCTCGTTGCCAAAGGTCATGTGCTGAATAGCTTTGCGACGTCTTCGGGTACCTAAGTCGCGCGTACGCGGACCGAGGTCGAGGACGACCTCGAGCTAAGTCAATTTTGAACGGACTTACGGCATTCTTGTTCCTATAAACTAGTCTGAAAATTAAGGGAGTTTGGAACGGACTTTCCACGGTAGAATCGAAGGCTGGCGGTCTCACCTCTGTTTGCCACGAGGACCTTCCTGATGGGCTTGTACTGGACGTCGGTGCCGAAGTTCTTCGTGGCCACCTTCCAAACCTGAAGAGTGACCCTGTGCCTGGCCAAGGGTTTCCCAGCCTTGTGAACGGAGTACATGTTGCCTGTTTCTTTCGGTCCTTACTCCACGGAAATTCCCTCCTCCTCGTCGTCTCCTTAGAGTTCTTCCTGAGTACGGTTTCCTAGTCCTCGAATTCTTGAGTCCCTGCCTTCTCCGGGCTACCGCTCGGGAGGTCGAAGTCTGAAACGTGACGACAGGAGTGATATAATGTGCCGATGCGAATCTCCATACCGAGGAGGCGTAACGAGGAACCTGCAGAGAGCAATCGTTTCCCTCCCATTGACCGACGAGATGGAAGCAATCGATCGGCGTCCAAGATTAGATCTAACTAGAAAATCGAAGAGTGGAGTACCATGGGATTCATTTGCAATGCCTTGTCAACCCTAAAACAAGGTCGCATCGTTATCGTCCTCGGGAAGTAAAGTATGGATTTCGAGATAACGTCAAACAATCCACCGTGGTAAGCGGGGAAATGTTCGAATAAAATTGACAATGACTCGACTGTCGGTCTTATCAGAAGTTGCATTACCATTCCCGAGCACCGTTTACCGTGTTTAAGACTCTCGGTTACGCTTTTCCAGTTTTTTAACGTTTAATAGCTCCCGGAGTCCGAATATTGGGCATCCATTCATCAGGCGGCTTATCCGACTTGACTTTGGCAAAAGACTCCTCTTATCGTCTGCCTTGGCCCTTACGTAACGCCGGGCGCGTAGACTCTGAACCTCGCAGACGGTCTGCAATTAGCAATTTCATTATCTTCGTCTGCCGATCCGCGGAAATGTGCGAGTGTGGGAAAGTTCAGGGCGACGCGTGTACAGATGCAAACCCGAGTCGTCGTTGGCGCTCCCCTTAGGAAATCTTTCAAGGAGCTTGAAGGAAAACACCTAGTTTAATAATATATATTACGTTCTTCTTTACCGCCCGGAATATACTCCGACATCTCGACGTTAAAGACGTCGCTTGAACCATAGCCATTAATTATTCTTATCAAGGCGAAACGTCAGAAGTGGACGAATAAAAAAAAAAGCTCGGTTAGCGGAAAAATAAGAGGGAGATTTTTAGCGTCCACTTAAATGGGATTTTTATTTTTTCTCCGCGTCCATTTTCTGTATAAGAAAAAAAAGGAAAATCAAGGAACAACGACCTTAACGTCCTCGTCCGCATTTCGATCAGCATACGGGTGCAGGCTGCACTTTACGTACAGGCGTTGCACGCGCCTGCATACGTGCACTTGTTTCTGCAATGTCGCAATCCCCATCGAGCAAAGCACTTGACGCCGAGAAGCCGGCTTTTAATTTATTTCCCGATTGGTTCTGTAGAGGAAAAAAAAAAAAGAGAGAAATTGGAACCCCCAAGAAAATCAAAATAAATTCCCTCGAATTCGCGAACGGCATCTCCGGAAATGATAAGTCGCGATAAGACACCATAAGTCAGATCCGATGAGTCACTCGCTATCAGACATTAATGAAATTCGATCTACCGACGTATATACCGGTAAATCGTCAATCGATCGATAAGATACTCTCGATAGGATCGAGGCGTGCTCTCGGTGTAACGCCGACGAGTACATAGGTCGTGAATCGCGAATTGCGTCCATTGAACCGCGGTGCAGCTCGTGCATCTCTTCGTACTCTCCGTTTAGCTAAGATCTGGAAGTCCGGGGTTATTCGTTAAGGAAAGGGGCCCGGTTCTTTAAACGTTTCGTCAACAATAAACTGCGATTGTTTTCGAGCCAGTAATGAATTCCGACAGCTCGTTAACGGAGTCCATAGTCCGAAATTTCATGAACCCCTGAACCCTAAGCCGTTGAGCTTGCGGCAACTCTTCTTCGGCATATCAGAGCTTGACTTCCCGACACACTTTTGCAACGATTGCACCGCGATAGGCTTCGGTTTATTTATTTGTCTTCGTTCCCCCCCTCGCGGTGTACATTTTGTAATTCATCGCATCCATGGTTGGCGTATCTTTCGGGGCGTGGCTCGAGAGACGAAGAGACGTCAAGAGCGTCGAGATTGAGAGGCTCGTCTCGGGGAATCTTACGAGATTACATGACGACCTCTACCTCGACATGGACTTCTTCCGTCGTTCCTAACATGCCGAATATGTCCAACATGTCAACGAAACGTTACGCGCCTTTAAACGAGCTCTCGTCACGCGTGCAACCCTCGACTCCCTATTCCCGCTTCGATCAGCTGATCCCTCAACTCGGCCAAGAACCCGTCCAGGACGTCACGTGCGAATCGATATTTTTTATATCGGGGTTGAACCGGAAGAATTTTGAAAATTCCTTCGGGGATGCTTATGATAGGAAGAATTAAGTCGAGAGGCCGAATAGCTCGTGTCGACCTGGACTTGTTCGGGGCCGATCAATAACTCGTACTGCGGATGTTGAACCGAGCTCGGCTTCAAGAAGTTCCCACAGGTGTTTTGACTCCACCCATGTCATTTGACAATTTAGGTCTGAGTTTGATCTCGATCGATTTTCTCTCCTTTTCAGGTGGACCTAGTTATTGACCCAGCTTGTGTGTCAGTCACTCCTTGACGAGTAGTCATCCTTGTGGAGACTTTGTACGGCCGCGTACATGCTTTGTATGGCAAAAACTCGTGGAACGAGTACTCCTTGAGCACGTGCTCGTGCCGAGTCATCGGTTCAATCATCTCGCATGTAATTTTCTTTCCGTCCGAGGCGATCCTGTCGGCGGTACCGATTATTGGGACCAATTCCCTGGTCGATCGAAGTGCATTACTATTCACGAGTGGCCGGCTCCTTCAATGAACAATTTTTTTTTTTTCTTTATTTCGCAGCATCTACTCGGGAAAGATCTTCTGTTGCGTAGAAGAAAAAGAGAAATACAAACATTGGATCGTTCTTGACTTTTCTCTCGAGAAGTCCAAATTTATAGGCTGGCGCAATTTCTCCACCGTTCACTTTTGCTGGTACTCGACAATTGTTTCGCACTTTCTTTCTCGTTTCGTGAGAGCAGTCGGCCGGGATTTATCGTAATTGCTCAGTGGAAACTGCCGACAAGTCCGGCACTCTCTTCTTCCATCTGGTAGGAAAAATTTTTCCAAGCAACGAGTTCGGTGCTTGGATTTATTTTTTTTTTTTAGTTTTATCGTGGCACTAGATCCATCTCGTCGGTGATATTTCCGGAATTGCGCGATTGAATGATATTTCGTAATCTTTGTCAGAAAAGTACATATGGAGCAATCCATGATATCTTGTGGCGAGCCACGAGGTACCCTATCTCGTATCGATGACTTTCCAAATTCATGAAATCTGCACTTTGAGACAACTTTTTTTTTTCTTTCAAGCGATAGATCGAGTCTTTTCAAGAAATTTAATGTCGGATACATTTTCCAACATTTCATGACAAGGCTGGTAAAATTAAATTCAATCGTCCCCCATGAATACAGGTGAGTGGATTACGTCGTTCGAAGGCAGACATACTCGCTCGCAGATACCATTTAATTGAAATGAAAAAATTCCTAGATCTTTTTTGCCAGTCCTTGACAAAGTTCATCTTGACAAGGAAATTCACGCAATCGTGAGATGTTTCGCAACCGAGGAAACAGGGTATTTACGTTATCAATTATCAATGGCAATTGGCATAACATTTAAGTCTGAATAAGATAAAGGCGCAAAAGCGGTGGCGGGGAAACATTACGTGAAAATGATAGGATAAATGAACACTTTCCCTCGTTAACGAAATAAATTATCTAACCCCACCTAGCACATCTATTATTATGCAATCAAGATCGATATATAATATTTTCCAATCAATGACACTCGAGGTGACGAAGAGCCGCTGCTCGTCTCTGTCATTCCGATTTAAAATTTTGAAAAATTCGATCACACGTTCTTCCCACGTGGCATCCCTATGAACAATTCCGGAAACGTGAGATAAAATCGCAGAATTGTATAAAATCTTGGAGGCGGCACTCATAACCTAGAACCGGCGAATACGTACGTGCTCCCGACGAGTGAAATTCCCGGTGACACGAAAATCCGCTTTGTCAAGAAATTTCCTCGATATTCAAATTTTTCTACAGCGTCTCGTTTGACGGGCAACGATGTAGGGGGAAAAAAAGGGAGGAAACTAAATCGCGTTAATTCCGACGGTCAGGCACGAGGCTCGAAAACCCTGTCGGCGATTTAAAGCGGGACAGAAAGTAAAAGAAACTGCAAGGGGAAAATAAAACTTCAGTCGAGTTTTCCCGAGCGACGGAACTGACGTAACGTCCGTGTCCCACGGGGGCGCCGACGGCGTCTTTCAAGAAAGCAAATTTGACGTACTTACGTTTTCCGCGGAGACAAGACAGGCTCGACCCTTGTCCGGCAAAAGCCCAAACCGTACTAAAATCTTGTTTGGTAAACGTCCTGGCGCACGCGTTCGACCTCTACCGAAATAGACTTGTGAGCGTACGTGTGCTCGCGAATCCTCTGGAGCGGTGCCGCCATCTTGCGCGACTAGAAGGAACGAATTGAGGCAAGATAAGGCGTGACATATATTGACGGTTTAACGAATTCCATGCATTCTAATGATTTCCGAGATGAAAGGAAAGGACCGAACGAAGCCGCAAGGCTACATCCAGGGGACACTGATGGTGCTTTGTAATTTTGTATTTTTAAATACCGGAAAGAGATTCAGGGGAGGGATTCGAAAGGAAACTCGGAGGGTAAAACAGAGGAGCGTTCCAAGGCATCCGAATGAAATTCAATGAACGGGTGTATTTCTTGCCTGCCTTTGACGCCCGTTACTACTTAGCTGTCGATATTCGTTTTTTCACATAAAAAGTACGTTTCTTATCGAAGTAGTAAAACAATTCTCTGCTTGATATTATTGTTCATTTTATAATTATAAGGAAAATTGTAACACATGAAGGCAAAAACTGTACTTTGGACTGTGAACCCTTTGCTAATCTGGATAATGCGATAATTGGCCTTGATAAGAAATATTTGTATAAAAAATGTTTTGCAACTGCTCGTCAAGAAAGTCTTAGCGCAATCGATTAAACAATGTGGGCATAGTGGCTTAAGGATATTTTTTTATAGATGTAGATCCATGTACGTTTCGCAACGCGGTATTCGATTTATTATACACATATACGCCCTAAATGGGCGCGAGCTAATTCTCTTCCAAGTTCAGTTAACAATTCAATTCTCGATAGTAAACATCGCGATCGGTAACGTAGTCGTAATTATTCTGACATACATTATTAATTATACATAGAATTGATTTGCCTACCTAAAGCTAGCTAAAATGTTACGAAATGCATAATGGAGGTGACTGATCCAAGATGGCCGAATCTCCCGCGAGTTCCCATCTCGTTAATTTCCAAGATTAATTTTATGGGTCGCTTTTATCGCGTCGGATCGACCGACAATGTGGAAACGCATTTTATCGCAGACCCTGGCAACTCGAATAGGATTATTCTCCGTTACACATCTCTCAGGCTAAGGTTATAGGTGTATATATACAGTAATTCATTACGCCCGCTAAGTATAGGTGGAAGTCGAAAATTAATAAAGTTAAAAAAATACAATCTTAAAAATAGAAACTATAACCGTCCTCTCTCTTCGGCTAGCACGAATATTTGTTTCTCCCCTGCCTCTCGGTTTTTTTTCTCCTCTAGGTTCTCAAGAAAACATCGAACATCATTTTTGTACAGAAATTCGATCTACGATTTGTATTCGGCAACGGGTCCGTCATGACCGTCATCAAGGGAGAAGTAAAGGAACGTTTCTGCATGTCAAAATGATACATAAAATTCAAAGGTATCCTACATACTTATCAACTTACCCTAAAAATGATACCTAGTTTTGCAGCAAAATGCAAAGTGCCATTTGCGAAGTCACAGACTCGTACAAATACTCCGAAGGTATTCATTTAGCAATTTGATATGCTGCATAGCTATCGAAGTACTCCGACACTCCTTCACGTAAGTCATCACATTTTAACAGACCTCAGTACCTGTAACTTTGAAAAAAAAAAAATTGTTCACACAAGTACTCAGGTCTGTTTAGTTTTTTAAATGTCACGCTCGATATTTACATCTAGTTTTGACGTTGGGCCGATTATTTAGTTCTAGGTGAAAAAAAAAAAAATTGACGGCCCTAGTGTTCGAAAAAAAAATTTATTTAACATTGTCCGAGGTGTAAATATCGCGCGCGGATGCAGACTCGTTCTTGAGGGGTCTTCAGTCAAGCTGCATTCTACCCTCTAGGATTCAAGTAGCAAATGAAGTTTGCCTCGCTTTAACGCTCTCTGCCGAATTTTTCGGATCATTGGTAAACGTCTCCAAAGTAGATCGCGCCGTTATCTCAGGCAAACTACGCTCGATTGATCTTCGCAAACGATTCGGTACTCTCATTGCGCGTTTCCTCTTGTCTAGGTACACGGTGTACTGGATTGAGTAAATTTGTAGCTCCGGGTGCAAGTGCGCGTCTTTCGAAACTTCATTGTGCGCTGGGAGGTCCTCCATGCGACGAGAGCACTTTCCTATATAAATTTCCTAATCAGCCCTTTACTCAGTTAAGACACAAACTTAACGTTGAGCCTCCCTTCCGTAGCTTAATTAAAACGTCAAAAAATTAAGAACTCCTCAATATCGGTAAAAAAGTGTAATTCAGAAGTGCTCTTCTTGCACCCGGTGCTCCGTTTTGTACTGCCATCGAAAAGGAACTTAAAATCGGCCGAGGGAAAGAACAATGCCCCTTAAGCTGCACTTTTCTAATTTTTTTTTTTTCTTTCAAAACGGTTGGAGGAACCTTTCCATCCCCGGTTGAAACTGGGTAAAGGAGACTGTGAAAAATCACGAGAAGAAAAAATACTCGACGTCGACGAATCAAGGTATCAAGGAGAACGTAAATTTTAGGTTCGTCTCTCGTTTAAAAAGAGGGAGCACACTTAATAGTCCGCTTCAGCTATCATTGTTGCTTTTCAAGCAGCGTAAGTACTTAGGTCCCTGGGACCAGGCCTTAATACGTACGAAGTACCTCTCGTGAGTGAGAAAGATTTTCCGAAAATCGACTGCACGTCTTTTCGTGTAGTTACGAGTAGCCAAGTAGATATAATACGTAGATAGGCAGACAGATCCGTCGATCCTGTTCTCATCGTGAATCCCTCAACAGGGAGTCCTCCTCTACAAAACGGAAGGATCAACGGATCCCCGATCGAACTTCACGAGGTCTTGAGCGATCTCCGATCGACGTCCGGGCGAGCTGTCGATCGATTTTTAGTCGGAGTCATCGTCAGAAATATCTCCAGCCCGGTGACGGAAGTTTACGATTAAAAGTCGATGATTAATGGAAGTCATTCTCAGTCGCCGAAAATCGATTAACAGCTTCCCGTGAAAAACCATGGAGCTCCTAAAGTCCCGGGGGAAAAAAGGGTTCCCAGGGCGATCAGTGTTTCTTTACCGCGTTTCCTTCCCCAGGGACGGCAGGACTCTCGCAAAAGACCTAATCCTAGCTGATGTGTTGTAAAAATAGGCGAGTCTTATGCTACGTATAGTATTTCAAATTTGAAAATGGTTATCCCTGCTCCCTCGATTCGAGTTGAGGGAAGGATTACTCCTTGTTGTCGGCCTCTTGCTTCTCGGTTTCGCCTAAGAGCGTCGACTTGTCCTCTTCGTGGCCCTCCGCTTCCGGTTCCTCGACGCTCTGCCTTTGACGTCTTGACACCTTCCTTTGCACGTAAAACATAAGGACGATGCTGACGCAAGCCAACGCCGCCAGGCTCGCCAGGACAATGTAGATCATCATCGGCATCTGATTTGATTTCTGAAATGATAATTAACGAGCTTGACGCATGATTCTAAGTACTGCATTTTTATAGAGATCAAGGATATTTTTTTCAGGGGAGTTAATCCCGCGTGAAAGCGAGCTCCAGTTTCCGAAGTCGATTCCCTGTCTGCTTTTAGATTCGCGAACGCACTCCTCTTATCGATCAGGGCTTTGGATAGCTTTGGTGCAACGCGATCAATATTTACCCGAGGTCCTAATTTACCCTGACCGAACAGCTGGGGAGAATCCCTCGATCCTGACGAGTTAGAAACTCGAACAGAAGCTAGAGTATGAAGAAGTTTGTTCGAGGTACCTTCCACTGGAAGTAGGAAGACGCGTCGGTGAAAGGCCATTTCCGGGGCCAGGGTTTCATCGTGCCTTCGGGAGTCTTGAAGATCAACCCTTCCAGACTTAGACCATGAGCCAGGACACTGGTAGTGATGTTGCCTTTCTTGTAGGACGCGATTCCTGCCTTCATGTACATCTGCGGGATCGTCTCGTTCTCTCGGAGCTTCAAAGTGACTCTGGGAAGCTTCCTGGGCAGTTCCGAATATATATTCATCTTGGATCTCGGTGAAGTGGGGTACCTGGAGCTGGAGGTGGTGCTCGGAAGCTTCGTCGAAGTCCTGGAGGAAGTTTCCTGGACGCCAGCGTTCGCCGTTAAGGAAGACTCTGGAGGAACGGCTGAGACAAACTCTGAGAAATTAAATACAACGGATCACTCGATTGCTCGTTGTCCTTTATTAATTCCTTCTTTACCTTCTTTATCCTCAACGGTGGTCTCAGGGTTGGACGTCTCTTTTCCAAGGAGCTGCGTCGTCGTCTCGTGGACGATCTTCCTCCTTTCGGTCTCCGTCCTCGATTTCTCGGAGACCTCCGTTCTGATTTTCTCCTTGATACTCGTCTCCTTGTGGAAGGGTTTCGAGGAGTTCTTGAAGATCGCGTGCCCGACCTTATCCCTGGAATGGGAGGCCTCGTGCAATGATTATCGATTGCGTTCACAGGTGATGGGATTTCGGGGCTACTTGCCTGTCCATCGCTAGGACCGTGTTGGCGAAAAGGTTGTGGTCGTTCTGGTTCATCAGGAAAGGCGTAGCTATGCAGGAGAGCATGATGATCACCATCAGTGTACCCATCGTGTACTTCAGGATCTTCGGCCGCGACTTGCTCGAGGATTGCGGAAATCCGCTCGCGGAAAACTGATCCGTTTGCGGAAGGATCGTGTACTGGAGGCTGGCATCGCCCTTCCGTACCGTTTTGTACATCTTCTAGCTTGGGCAAAAATTAGGAATCTTATGGAGACGTCCCCGAGATTACTCATTTCAATTACTCGAAAAGAGGCTCGATCTTAAACCTTGAATCGAGGTAACTTTGAGAAATAAAATCGAAGGACCAAATAATAATCACCCTTCTCCCACGCTGATAATCTCTCTTACCAATAAATAATTAAAATGCGTTTAATTTCAATCTTCCACTGAAGAGTAGAAAAATTAAAATGTCCAACAAAGGACGCACAAGCCGGTCCCCCATGCAAAGGCTGAACCCTAAACAAAATAATTGCTACAAACTCGACATAAATCCGAATCCCAAAAAAATAAGAAGAAAATGTTATAAAAATAAGTGACAATTGTCGCAGGGTTCACTGTACACTCCGCGAGTACTTCAAAGTGACATCCAAAATCCCGTAATCCATGGTCCGGGTTTCCATCGATTTTTCCGAAAAGAAAAACAAGCCAACGCCGTGCGGGGCCCAAGGGAGGTGTTTTGTAGGAAAATCCGAAAATCTTGAGAAACGGAACCGAGCGGAAAATGGACCGATCTGGTCGACTTACGATATGTATTTCAGGCGACAGGTTTTCCTTCTGTTTTTCCGGGGCGGGCTGTCGAGGCTTCGGTGGTAATCCGGGACAGGCAGAACCTCGCCTGTGAGGAAATTCTCGTGGAAAGCGCGCAGATGCGCCCCCAGGGGGTGGCTCGCCCCTCGCACATGCGCGCTGTCCACTTCCGGTAATTAGCGCGGGTTCAAAAGGCTCCGTGAGATTGTTTCCGCGACGACGAGAACGAAGGACGTCGTAATCAGTATCGACCCGAAAAAGTGTCTCGTTGAGACGGGCTCCTATGAGCTCGTTTAATGCGTTCTTAAAAAAAGAGCAACTACTTTCGCGATTCTTAGTGATCCTTGCCACCCTTGTCATTTTCTCACGTTCCGATTCCAATTCACTCGAGTTTAAAAAAAACTTGACGGATCCAACGGAAGGATCAATGGACTGAGAAGATGAGAGATCAGCCTCCGTTTCCCATGATTCTATAAAAATAGCTTTATTCCTATAACAAGCGCTTCGTAACAAAACTGGAAATCTTATACCTTAGGAACCTGACAATGGAAGACGACGGCGTGGCAGTAACCTTTCAAAAGCGGAAGATCTTTTTTTGGGTCCTGTTCCCTCGATATGAAATAAATGCATTCGTAATTTTTAGTTATTGTCCATTGAATAAAATACTAATCGCACATCCCGAATAACCGTGAGAGATCTTAAGAGCGAAGAAGATGAGATCGTCACTGCATTGTTGGCATAGCAGTGGAGGCAACGGTATCGGTGGCATCGCTGGACCTCCAGAGTTGGGTCACCGTTTTCGTTTGCGTGTGGAAGTTGATGCCCTGAAAGGAATAGATTCTAAATCGATACGAATACAGATTGCCAAGGCGATGAATAGACGTGTCAAAGGATCTGCGGATATTCGCCGGGGCCCAGATGAGGAGATAATTAGGGACGCATGAATTGGAGTTTGCAGTTGGTCTCTTCAATTGTTAACGAGTCGCTGATCCTGCGAGAATACTTACGTATTTCCCGTAGAAGTGGTTGTCACCGAGGAAGGATCCCTTATTGCCGGTGAAGCTGAACATTGGCAGGGGTACCGGGATCGGTACATTGACGCCGACTTGACCTGCCTCAATCCTGTTGACGAAGGCCCTAGCAGTCGCTCCATTGGTCGTAAAGATGGCTGTCCCATTCCCGTAGGGATTTCTATTAATTATTTCAATGGCCTCGTCCAGCGTGCCGGCGCTCAAGCAGCAGAGAACTGGACCGAAGATCTCCTCCGTGTAGCACTTCATAAACGGCTGAAACGAAGCGTATGTTATAAAAAAAAAAGTAAGAAAGAAAAATAAACAAGCCCTTCACCATGTTCTCTACTCGCGGCGCTCTCCAGGTCTCCTTTTCCATTAATTCCGGATTTATACTCTAGTAATCTACCAAGTTACACCGTAGGGGGAACGGCTCTAACCTTGACGCCAGATAAGACGGTCGGGCCCACGAAGTTCCCGGTTTCGTAGCCCGGAACGACGATATCTCTTCCATCCAGATCAAGAGACGCTCCATCCTTCACCCCGGAATCCACTAAATCGCGAATTCTGGTCTTGGACTGGGGAGATATGACCGGTCCCAAGTCAGTACCTGGCACGTGGCCAGCGTTCACCTTTAGCTTCCTCGCGGCTTCCACCAACTCTGGTATCCATTCTCCGGACTTGCCCACGAAAATAGCCACGGAGAGGGCCATGCACCTCTGGCCAGCGGCACCGAACGCTGCCCCCACGATCTGCGACAGGCTCATCTTCCTGTTGGCATCCGGCATCACCACGCAATGGTTCTTCGCCGCCATGTTGCACTGGACACGCTTGCCGTGCTCGTTGGCTAACTTGTAGATGTGTTTCCCCTAAAACCAGAGATCAACCCTAAGACTACAAAGTTAAGGGTTTCTACGTGGAACCTGTTGCGACATCCTGGTCCGACGATAACTGGGTTCGATGGAACGTTTATAAAATACCGCTGGATCGGAGCCGACGAAAGATACAGCTTTGATATCGGGGTGTTCGCAGATGAAATCAACCGCCTGATGCTGGCCGTGGATGACATTGAGCAGCCCTGGCGGTGCGCCAGCTTTGGCGAACAAATCGGCCAGAATCATGGACGCTCCTGGGACCCTTTCCGACGGCTTCAGGATGGCAGCGTTTCCGCATGCAACGGTAACCGGGAAAGACCATAAAGGAATCATTGCTGGGAAGTTGAACGGGCAAATCGAGGCCGTCACGCCGATGGGGACTTTGTACGAGATGGTATCCATGTCCGTGGCGATGTTGGGCACGGATTCCCCCATTTGCAGGATGGGAATGGCTGTGCAGGCGTCTATCACCTCTGTGGGAAGGAGGAAAATGCAGTCACTGCGGAATCGAAATTCCCTATTAAAAATGGACCTCGCATACTTACGTAGACCCCGAAGAACGTCGCCTTCGGCGTCCGCCATGGTCTTCCCATTTTCCTGGACAATGATCTCGGCAATTTGTTTCTGCAAAGTTACCCGATAATCGGTTAAACTCGTATCAGAGGTAATTGTTTATAGAGAAATGAGGACCAACCGAATGCTCGCGGACTTGGGCTTGGTACTTCAGCATCAAAGTCTGTCTGGTCAAGACGCTGGTGTTCTTCCACTTCTGGAAAGCCGTTTTCGCACACTCCACGGCTCTCTCCATCTCTTCTTTGGTAGATTTCGGGGTGCGGCAGAGCAACCGATTCGTCGCTGGGTCATGAACGTCCGTGAACTCCGTGCTCTCGGAGTCTGCAAATAAAATAGCTTTTAGTAGGCGCACAAAAGATGATACCGAATCTCGTTATTTACCCACGAATTGTCCATCGATGTACATTTTTACAGCGGGGGCACCGGAGCTGTAGGACCGCATACTGGTCCGCAGCTGGAAAACCGTGAGAAAAAAAAAAGACAGAAAAATTAGAAACTCATTTAGAAAAATATAGAAAGTAAAGTGATTATGCGGAACTCGATAGCATGGAATGAGACGACACCAAAAAACGAGGAGTTTAAAAATTGGTAGTGGTCATTTAAATATTGAGGAGCTCGAGATTTATTCAATACGGGTAGTTCTGTGTTTCCTATCCTTCTAACGAAGCAAAGAAATCCTCATTAAAGCAAAGTTACCGACGTAAAGGTTAATTTAATCCAGGGATTAAATCACTACATGATTTGAATAGCCCACCCCGCGGCGCATTAAAAGTAATGGTTTCAACGCCGGTGCTATCTAGTACGGCAACGGTAAGTGATGCGACATGGAAATCACGGGCCGAGAGAGCAATTGCACTCATAAAGACGCCTGGGCGAATTGAAATAATAGGACATGATCGAATGAATAACAGCTATGAAGACGCACTAGAGTGCAGAACGGAACGGTGAAGATTTCCATTTGAATCTTGCGAGACGACATTTGCTAAGAGCGAGATTACATTTTCTCTTTCAGGTACAAGTACTTTAAAGGGGAGCACTTTAAAGTGAAGTACAGTAACACTTTACTCAGTTTACTTTCTTTTACTGCGCCGTCGCCTCCACAAAGTTTCGCTAGAGTAAATATGAAAAAAATAGTGTCTCAGGTAGAGGTACTATCGAGACGGTTGAGAAAGCTGTTTCCAAGATAACAGCTCGAAATTATCATACGTTTTCGTTTATGTAACCGGTCGATAACGAGCGAGATATGAAAGCAAAAAAAGAACGAAATAACAACAACGTCCTTAACAGTTGCGCAAGCTTGCTTTTTTCCAATAGTTGAAATCTGGATTTCGAAATCGTGATATTAAATCTCGGAAGTCGTTCGATCCCGTGGGATTTTTTTCTGAGCTTTGCCACGAAGTCGGAAGTGATATAGTGGATAATTGAAAATGAAAAAACGGGTCGATTTCGATGAGTGAAAAAAATCCCTGGATCTCGTAGTACGTAGTTCCGCCATGATCCGCCAGAGGGAAAGTCCCCTCGCAACCGCGAGAATCGATCACATGACTCGAAAGTCAAAATGGCTTCCGACAGGATGTGGAAGCCGAGTGTATGAACGAATTTCTATCGTCGAACCGTCTTTAAATCTGCGTAATGTCGTACCTCGCGGCCGAGAGCTTTAACGAGGAGCGCCATTGGTCCCACGCTCATCCCGCGAAGTTGCCGTACAAACTGAAGGAATCCGCCTTAAAAAACGACCTTGCGTCCAATCGATGAACTGTCCGACGTTTTTCGAACCGAGGTTAGGGTGTTTGCCATGGAGCGGGTCGACGTTATCACGACGGAAGATAGATTAGGCACTCAATGGCGTATCAAGCGGTGGAGGAGCTTCCAACTAATTTTTACATCTCATCTCTTATCGGCTCGGCTCTTTCACCGATTAACGACCAGTAATAAGTAACGATTTATTTTAAGCTATCACATAGTTCAATGAAAACAATTATTAAACTCAACCATTATATTTAGAGGAGTCCCCTGATTATTATAACAAGCGCGGGTTATTTAATCACGTTTGAGAAATAACGCGCAACCGCGTTTGGCCCCTTTCTTTTTATCACGCGTGCCCCTTTGCACATCGAATAATAAGTACGCCATTGGTGGGCTTAATCAAATGCCAGAACGTTCCCTGTGTGAACAATGATTCCGACACATCTACCCAAGTCATGCGACATTCACGCGAGCGATGTTTTGACCGCACTCGCAGCCGTAATTGCCGCATTTCGTGGGCCGATACACTTTCGGAGTGGCGTGATAATTATCGCGCCGGGACAATTGAAATCTCCATTGCAAAGTTGCCGTTAAAGTCAATCAAGGTTAGGCTCGCATTGGGCCATGGGGTCGCGACGTCATGAAAGTAAAAACAAAGCGGCTAAGCGATCAGATTTTCAAATTCCCACCGCGAAGATTCGAGAGTCCGCGAGTTATCCCGCGAGTTCCGGTTGGCGCTTCGAGCGGTATTTCAAAGATGGCGCCACGGTCTCGCTTCCCGGCGTCGAGGTCTTCCTTTGTTCCGAGTGACTCGAGGAAACGAAGAAAGGTCTCGGGGTCTTCCACGCGGGATTAAAGAAACGAGCTCGCCTCCTGCCTTCGCATTCGACTCTCTCAAGTCGTTAATGTAACGTTTCAATCGCGTGCCGCCATGCTCGTACGTATTGAGCGTCTCTCGTATTTTTCAGATGCAATCCTAGGTTAGCTGGCAATCGACGATAGCTTCAAGGCGCACCATCGGCATTCCGGAACGGAGACTAGTGGTCTAACTGCGAACGGCAAGCGGATTTTCGACAGAGGTACCTAAAGACCAGCGACATACCCAGCAACGTTTAAGTATTAAGATTGCGAAAGCACCGGACGCCGCCATGTCCGTTCCTCGAGGGAGAGAGAGAGATAAGATTCGACCGAGCTTCGTTATTTTCGACTCGGCCGGTATCGGAACAGGAGTGCGTTGTTTTCGCGCCCGGCACTCGGAGGAATAATTTTAAGCTTTCGCTCTCATCACTTAAGACCGTTTGACCCTATTGGTCGAGGCTGAGGGGCCCCGACGCGGCGCAGTCGGCGAGTAAACGTCGAAGCGCTCATTCGATCGGCCTCGAAGCTTCTTCAGAGAAGGATCGATCTCGCCTCCTTATTCGACGACGCTAAAGAGCCTGATTGGGAATCCATACGCGGCGAGCGAGGCATAATGGTGCGATCTTGAACCCCGAGAAGGTGCATTATCCCCGTGATTTATCCCGCGCCCTCGAAATGGCTTCCATCTCCATAGCGATCTTTAACGAATCGATCCGCCGGACTTCTCCCATTATCGTTGTCCGTGCACCTTTGCCTCTTTCATATCGCCGAATGGAAGCGCTCTCGAGGACGTCGGAAAGCACGGTAGAGCTTCGCGCCAAGTACCATTACCCGTGTATTCATGTTATCTTTTAGAAATTAGCTTCTCGTCCCGAGAGAAGTATCGCAATGGATTTTCTAACGCATGCGCGCTGCGTATTAAGTTCCCCCGGACGATCCTACGCTACTCGTGCAACCCTGGTCGCAAATGCAGGACGCGAGGATCCCGGGTAATCGTTAGCAAGCCGATCACACGTTGCTTCGCTCGCTGCCAGGCTGGACTTGATTTGCGGCCTTGGCAAGTAAAGTCGGTTTTCACGAAACCTGTAGCTTAGCGAGTCGCTCGCCGATCTCTTCGGGGTCGACCTTGGGATTTCGCGACCGAGGTATCGTCACGGTCGACCCCGAAAATCGGCGACCAGGATGAGGCCGGTCTATCACCGGAACCGCAAAACCGAGTTACGACCGACACGACTCGTTAGATATCCAGTCTAGTCGATCTTGTATGTCCGGTTCCCTGCCGAGGTTCTTCACGACAGCGAGGCGAGCTCGGTTTCTTTTCGACATGTAACCGGTGGCTCGTCCAGGCGGAAATTTAAGGCGAGCGCCAACCGGTCCTCTTCGGCCTCCATCTTCCTTTCCTCCAAAAGCGGAGCCGCGCGTCGAGCGGCGCGCCTCGGAGTTTTGGCGATTTTTCACGTCGCGTTTTTTCCCTTTTTTTTTTTTCTTTTTCGTTTTTTCCGGAATTTCTTCGAGGCGGTCACGCTTCGGGCGGCTCCGAAGCCATAACGTTGCGGCTCAACTGGTTTCCGCAACCTTTTCGTAACTCTACCCGGTAAAACGACACGCGCCGGGTACGCGTCTAGATATTTTCTATCGCCTAGCATTTCCGGCCCGATTTCGAGAGCCTTAATCGCGAGGGGACGTCGCTCGATCCAAACGAAGCGGGAGAAAGTTCCGATTTCCGAGACTAGAAGGCTAGAGACTGCCTCGTAAGCGGCGCCGTGGAAAGCGCAAGTCTCGCGTAATACCGGCTTAATATTCCGCTCGACGATATGCCGGATTACGAAAAGGAATTGCGAGACGCAGCCCGCAATTCGATAATACAAGACGAAGTGGCGCGCGACGTACGTGACGGCGAAAGCGAAACGGGAAGAAAGCTTGAGGTTAGATTCCAAGATGGCGGCCAGATCTCCGAGGCCCATTCAGGAGACCCGGGAAAGCGTCTCGTCTGCCCGGACGAGGCCGAATCCCCTGGGCGCCGATTCCGCTAAGGTGCGAACCGCGGTTCCATTATCCGGACGCGAAAGACCTCTCCGTGAACAGAGGACGCCCCGACATTTTTAACCGATGCGCAAAGTTGCGCAATCCCCGGGAAAAGAAAAGAGCGGTGAAATCATCCCGCTCCTCTGGCCCGAGGGTGCGATAGCGCACGTAGGACGTTGCACGGAGTGGCCGAGATATTTGGCGGGATTCCAAGACCGATTCGAGAGAAAGACCGAAAGGCTGCGAGTGCCAGGATTCTTCGGGAGAGGCGTTCGAGGTGGCGCGGGACGAAATCGTTATCGCTCGACCGGGGCGAATGGGAAGGATTCTCGAGGGGATTTTTTTAGGTTAGGTGGCGCGCTCTCCGCTCGGCTGAGGCCCGAGGGGCCTTATGGACCGCGGAACTCGTCGAAGACCGCGTCTATGGACTAAGGCGAGGCCGCGGGGACAAGTCGCGCATACTAAGCCAGGGAGATACGCTCGTCGAGTGGAAATGACGGCCGGTGAGCGTTCTCCAAAAGGCACCAGTCCGTACAGAGGTCGCGTTCCACGTTCAACGTTCCTGTCACTCGTAACCTTCGGCTCCGTTTCCCTGTTCCGCGTTCTAAAAATATTTACGCCGCGCGATCGGCACGACAGCGACGAGCCCTCTGCACCTTTCCTCGTCCTGTAGAAGACGTTCCGGAACGGCCCCGAGGCGTCTCCGGGTGGAAGGTATTCCCAGGAACCCTCGGACCCTTCCGCGAGTTCCTTAGGGTACCCCGATTTCCCATGGATTTTCATCTCGCCGACTCCTTCTGGACAACGTCGGGGCATTTATTTTCATCCTTGCTCGCCGGCGAGGGAAAACAATCCTCTCGCCCACGTCCACGTTTCTACATTCATGCCGCGTCGTGAGAATTTCTAGACTCAACAGCTCCCCATCTTATGGATTTTCACTTTTTACGAGGGTCCCGGGCCTCGAGCGTTCCCCCGGGACCGATCTTTGCGTTCGATCCCCTGAGAGGAAGGTCGTTAGATTTTTTCCTTCCAGGGTAATTAGTGATAATGGACTCCTTTCGCCCGATAAGGCCGTTTATCGGTCGATCGGCTTTTTCGGCGCCAGAGTAAAATCCGTAAAATGAAAAAAAATTCTGTCAAATCGTCGCGTTAGAGCTTGACGAAGCCGCCATGGTTGCGGCAACCTCTTCGGCGCGTACTCGGACGTGCCATGAAATTCCCCATGGCATAGGTAATCCGCACAGTGGAGCGGTTGTTTGCCCACGCAGGCTTCGACTTTTTCTGCAGTGACGTCAGGGCCGGTTCTTGTTTTGCCGCACAGCCCGTGTCCCGGAGTTAATGGCTGCGTTTCCAACGCGGCGAGAAACTCGCGGTTCGCCAAACGGCCGAGGGAAGGGAAACGCCGGTCGCGGACTATTTCCATCGGCGAGGTGCATCGGTTATCGGCTCGGCGATAACGAGAAAAGGGGAAAGCAAAACAAACCCGGTTGCATCGCCGAGCACGATGCGTTCGCTCGTTAATAATACATTATCGAGTCGAGAGCGGGCAGGGCCGATCGATCCATCGTGGCGTCGGGACGCGAGACGGCGTCGACTCCGGTTTACCGAATCCAAGGGCCCCATAAGACGGCTCCAGGGCACGCTTTATGGAATCCACTTGCGGCTCGTTGAAAGTTACGCCGTAAGAGGCCCGCCGGTGGCCACTTTCAATCGTAACGGCAACGATCCCGAGGGACTTTCCATTTCGATCGGACATATTGTTCGCGAGCGATCGAGCAAGTACTGCCGGTCGAGCGTACGCTTTCAATTAATGCTACTTTCGGCCCTTCCGTCTTTCCGGTACGTACGAGTTCGGCCATTTTTATGAACGGCGTTAGTCGTAACCTCGGAGGGAAATGAGATTTTTCTCGAAATTCCGCACGGCCCGCAGACGGAAAGGTCATCGCAGCGTTTCGTAGCGGAACGGAGCCGGGAAAAAAAATCGGTCTCTGCATAGACAACTCGAGGGGACCACGCCTCGAGGCTGTAACTCATAGCTGGACGTCAGGGGTTCTTTGTTTCGGACCCCGGGTTGTCTGGTTATTTTAATTATTGCTCCCGTTCGCGATTTTTATACCCCGATCCTCGGCGGCAGCGGAGCGTAAAGGCTTC